CTCAGTTCCGATTACGCATTATTTTGTGTGATGGAAATGAGAGATCATGGGATATGTCATGTGATATTAATGGACAAATTACGGTTCTTTAATCGGAAAAAGGGGGGAATCGGGAAAAAATCTGGAAATTTTGTATTTGGCTTTATTCTGTGTTGTGTGAAACAGTGTTCGTTATTTTTGGATCCCCATGGCCCTAACTAAAGTGAATTCAAAATGGGTATTTAGTGGGATTGAAAGGGGGTTAGTAATAAGGTGTTTCTTTAAGGTTGTGCGAGATAGAAGTAAAGATGTTTTATTAAGTTATTTATTTTACCTGGTACCTTGCTGTGAACTAGAATTATGATTTTAAAGATCCTGAAACAGAAATAAGAAAAGTTTATCGGACATGTATCAAGATTCTGAAGAAGATTAGGTAAGTTAGTATTTTTAATTATTTGAGGATATTATTTTTATGCATTGTTCTAAATGTAAGGCGGAAGTAAAGTAATTTGGTATTATTGGGAAAATTGTTATTAGCAATGATTTAGTTTAAAATAATTAGGATTGTAAGCTAATTTTAATTAATTTAATGTATGCGCTTATTTATATTTTAAATGGGTTTTTGAATTTAATTATATTTTAATTAAATGATAGTTATTTTGTGAATTTTATGTTTGTAGGAATTTGGTATACGTTTTAGTTGAAGTAAACGTGCATGGAAATAATTTAAATATTTGACACTAAGTATTTGTAATGTTTGCGGTATGAATTCGTTGGTGACGTTTATAATATAATAGATAATTTAGAGGTAAAAGTTTTTGGATATTTTATTTATTTTATACGTGGAAATGTTCATATTTGATATATTAATTAAATGATAGTTACAGTCAAAAGTCGTTAATTCGGACACCCATAATTCGGAATGTTCTATAATCCGGACCTCAAAACTAAAAACTTTCTGCGCATGCGCCACCTTGACACATGCGCATAGGTGTTTACGCATGCGCGTAAGACCTTTTACGACTGCGCATATGAGCGTGCGCAAGTGCAGAATACGTTTTCGCGTGCGCGTTTTATGTATAATGGACATACAAGCTAAAATTATTTCAGTTAATGTTGATGATTGCGTTGTTCCTTAATTTTCGAATTGGATCCGGCTTATTATTTTTTGCAGACTGTAATGCAATTTTATAAAAGTAAGCTTAAACTTTCGATTATATCAAAAAGAATTTCCCATATATATTTGTTAATATGTAAAGGATCTAAAGCGAAAATATGTTTTGAAATCCGAAATCTGTTTATCAATTTCACGCTGCTCGGCGGGGGAACGCCGCCCGGCGTAATGAATTGGAAGTTGATCTGTCAACACTATCCTTATCTTCAGGGCAGATATTTTTATTTTATTTGGCTTATAATTCCTTACCAAATTAGTATTTCATCTCGATGTGCGCTGTCTTTGATATGATTTAAAACAAATTCCTCGTCATTATAATTCGCTTCCGATAGCGAAGAAAGTGACAGAGGTTAGTGAAAATGAAAAAATTTCGATTGACAAATTAGTCGGTGTTCTCGACACAGCAATTATAGGACTTGAACAGCGTAACTTTGTAACTAAACAAGAAATTATGTCTGTTTAATAGAATTAAAGAGAAAGTATTATCACATGAAACGAAGCAACTTAAACAACTTAAATTGAAAGAAATGTTTAATAAAGTAAACAAATAAATATTAAGCTTTTTCTTTTTGCAAATTTTGATACCCTTTAGATCATAATTGTTCTTTATTTCATAAATTACAGTTTCATATTTTTAATTTTAGAATTTCTGCATGCCATCTTACGAGATTTAAACTGATGATCTATAATCCGGAAAAATCGATAATCCGGAATCGACGAAGTCCCAACGAGTCCGTATTAACGACTTTTGACTGTATTTTGTGAATTTTATGTTTGTAGGATTTTTGTATACGTTTTAGTTGAAGTAAACATGCATGGAAATAATTTAAATATTTGACACTAAGTATTTGTAATGCTTGCGGTATGAATTCGTTAGTGACGTTTATAATGTAATAGATGATTTAGAGGTAAAAATTTTTGGATATTTTATTTATTTTATATGTGGAAATGTTCATATTTGGAAAGGTTATATACTTTTTCGCGATCAGGTAATTTCATATATGTTTTTTTAACCGGGTTTAAAGATTCAGAAAATTGTCATGTATTTTCGTGAAATTTTTCTAATTTATGAGAAAAAGCAGTGTACATGGATATAGTGAAGAGTGTGCGCAATGCCATTTTGTGTAATTCTGGGATGTTTTTTTAAGTAAAAATAAGTCGATGTGTACATGGTTTATGTGTATGTGCGATTTTGAAAAACGCATGGCAAGAAGTTATGCGTATTCTGAACTTTTTCCCAATCTTGCAGTTGAATAGTTGTCATGATTAAGCAGTTTTGTTCCAGAAAATTTTTAGCATAAGTGTAATTCGGCTAGTAGATTGCTGGAAGAAGTGTTCAGTAGAGAAAAAGAAAATAAACATGTCTTTACGAAGTAAAGACAAAATGGCGGCGGGAAAAAAAAAAAATAGAGGGTTGCTGTAGGAGAGTTGGTCGCCAAATTTTCGCCAAAAAATTGCCAAGTTACCATAATGTAAAGATCAACCTATAATTTAACCAATATTAATTTTCAAAATTTTCCTTTTATATCATTATTCTTCAATTTCAGTATTCTGACAACCTTTTTTTATGACCTAATTCTACATTGAAAAAGATCTCTTTCACAAAAAATTTTGTATATATACTCTAAAATATATGTAAATTTGGGTTTAATCCTAGTATCCGGTGCACACGGGATTTGGCTACTTTTGGCGACTTTATGATGAGCAGTAAAAACGGGACATACACGATGACGAGTAACGTAAACGGGTCATTCAAAGAATATATATAGTTATACATAGTATATACTATGTACATAGTGTATATACAATGTATATACACTATAGTATATACTAACTATGTATATAGTGTATAGTATATATATAGACGTTCTTTGGATCATGTTTGTTGTTGGAGCTAATTTTCAAAATCGCGCCAAGGCTGCACCATATACTAGGATTTTACCTAAATTTGAAATATGCAATAAAAAAAATGCAATTTTTGAACCTATTTTGATAAAAAAAAAAAAAGCATGCTGTGAGAGGGTTAAAATCAGATCCAAAAGTCATATTCAGATATGGCAATGTAGAAAAAAAAATGGTGTACACAATTACTGCATAATATTGATATAAATATTTTTTTAAGTTTAAATATACTCAGATAGAACATAGCAGAAAAAAATGAAATTTTAACAAAACAGTGTAAATAACCATTCCATAAAAATTTTTAAAAATTAAATGATGTTTTCTGTGACATTTCATCTACAGATTTGTATCCCAAGAAATGAACCCATTATATTTGTTTTCAGACACTTGCATTTTTTAATTTATTTGCATACATTTTGAACATGTTTCAAATTTGTTTCTAATACTATTTTATTTTTCCTCTATTTTAAGCCTTCCTTATTATAAAATAAAGATCATTACAACATTTCTTGCAATAAAATAATTTATGGAAAAAACTTTAATCAGTAACTTGCATAATAATTGAAGCACTCGAAAATTTTGTTGAAATGCTTTGTGTTTGTGATTATTATTATTTCATTTTATTGTTTTTTAAATGAAAATACACCACAAGAATTATTTCAAACTTCCATGTTTGGAAATTATTACTTGTTTAACACAATATAATATCTATTCTATATCTGGAATGCACATGGCAGGATGCTACAAATCTACGAAAAGTTCTGTTACAAGATTTATTATTTCTTATTTTAAAGATGGTAAAAATACCCAAACAATCCCTGATGTAAAGCATTCAGCTATCTTTGATGTTATAAAATGACTGAAATTGCATAGACCTGCAGAAAATACCTGCAAGTCTGTACCACATTTAACCTAACACCATTTAATTAGAGATTTAACCTATGAAAAACCAAACAAGACCCAAAAATTAAATCTGTAAAATTTGCAGATAATTTAGAACAACAGTTTGAAATAATATTTACCTCTGTAACTGTTAGAGGTCATTACAGCACATTGTTATATTGGATGATCAGCATGAAGAAATTATTTGCCAACAAGGAATATACGCTTGGAATTAATAAATCTATGGTAAGCAAACATTTATGACACTAAAATACTGTTATATTTGCAGATGAGGTAAGATTTAATGTATTCAGGTCTGATCAAAGAATTACTGTGTAATGAAACTCAAATTAAGAGCTGAATCCAGAAAACCTATTTGCCAACTGGTCAGCATATGGGTGTAGGTAAAATGGTTTGGTGATGTTACTTTGGTCTGTGGGAGGGGAAATTTAGTTTTTATAGAAAATAATATGGATCAGTGTAAATATATAAATATTTTCAATGAAAGCCTGAAAGCTACATGAAAACTTGGAATGTAAAATATGTTCAAATTCTCGCATGATAAGAAACCTAAACATAAAAGCCTAAATGTTTGCTTGTGATTTTTATACAATTGTACTGAAGTTATCAGACGTCTCCAAGTTCTTCAGACTTAAATCCTGTCAAACATATGCAGTTAGTTGCAGAAAAGAATAAGGAAAGATGATAATTTTTCAAACGCTCTACTAAAAGCAATTCTTATTGAGAAATGGGGGGGGGGGAATGAAATAATCTTTACACAAAAAAATTAGTTGAATCTATGTCAAAGCGCACGAAAAGCGTAATTTCTCTACCAAAAAATTTTTGAATACCCCTTTTTTAAAATAAGCAGATTCTAAAAAACGATTTTTAAATGTACATGTGAAAGAGAATACAGTCATTTCGCCAATATTTAATTATTAATATTTGTAAATAAAACTGAAAAATACAAGTGTCCGAAAACAAACAGGAGTCACTGCATATATGTTAATATATTTTGTTTGAATGCATTTCGTTTTTCATAACACTGTCATTGTTAACATACCTATCCGGAGGAGATGGTTGCACATACACATCTCCCGAACTACTGGATCTTTCGGAGCTTGTTTCTTCGTTAATATCATAACTACTCTCCACAATGTGACGACCGATGATAGCGCTGAGCTCACTTCGACTGATTGATGTCGAAAGAGTAGAATAGTCGAACTGAATACTGGACATACTTAATTATAGGATGCTTAAAAGAAAGAATGGAAAATGCATCTTCCTTTCTACATATGAGATGACTTGATTAATTCATTAATGAATCAAACTATTCAAACAAAGATTATGTTTTACTACTTGCACAAGATACAGCAGATAAGATAAAAACATGCTGAGAAGAATACCGTTTATGTAACAAATGCACGAAATTAAACGGGCCCCACATCAAATAAATCTGTAGTTTAAATGTCATCACACTCTAAAGTCAATAAACGCCTCTGACAACAACTAAAATCAAAACTATAAGTTGAGTTGCACAAAAGCTGAATAAGCAGACACTGAGCCTTGCGAAATATATAACTTGGATAGGTATTTCTATGTTTTACTGATTTCTATAAAGTAATATTAGATATTTCTACATTTTACTGATTTCTGGTACATTAATTTTTAAAATATGATGATTTATTCTATATTTTATTTTCAACTGAATGAATATTTAATTTTTATATTAATTTTATCCTTTTTTCGTTTCCTATTGTATTTACTTTGATTCTATCTAAAATATATGCAATTTCTTATTTATGTGTAATTACATTATTTAATAAAACGACTGAAAAAGTAAAATAAAGTGCGTCATTGAAAAAAGATTTATTATTCCAAGAAGAAGGCATTCAGATTAATACCGCGCGCTTTTTAAGTTTTATGCTCGATTGTAATGAAATAAAAGCCATTTTTTCAGTTTTCTTTTCCATTATTGCGTATGTAAATTTCATAGTTAATGAAATTAGTTAGCTGTTTCAACTAGGTATTGATGGTTAGTTTCGTATTCCTAATATATCGTATGACATTTTGGAGATGAATTTAAATATTTAGTTTTTGTTTCAAGATGCAGTCGGATTTTTCTGATAGTGCAACGAAAGGTTCTCTAAGTATAGCCGAAGTATTTCATGGCCATATTTCTATACAAGCTCAGGTTAGATGTTATTTTATAACATATTTTTAATATGCTGTAGTTTTCTTCAAATAATTCATGAAAATATTGATTAACTGTTATTATTAATAGATGAAGAGGTCGAAGGTCAAATTCGAACTGAACAAGAATTAATTTACAATTATAGTATTTTCACCATTGTCAGAATTTAATTTGCTATTAGTAAATGCTAATTTCAACCTAAAGATTTCATTACCCTTGCCACAGTGCATTTTTTCCCCTAAAGCTCGCCAACAGCTAATCGGCAATAGTTTTAAACATAAGGTCTTGCAGAAAATACATGGTATTAAGTTTATATAGGGCAAATTTTTGTTGTTAAGCATGTTATGTGTATGAATCAAAATTATGACATTAAGAATATGTAGCGTAAATTTATATATAGTTAAATGAGTTATTGGTATGCAGAAAAAAGTAAACATATTAATCATAAAAGTAGGTTAAAAAATATGTGAAGCATTCAGAAGTCAAATTTAGCTTATTAATACATGCTATTTAGTGTATGCGAATTAAAGCTGTAGGTGGTAAAGAATGCTATTAAACATGTGCAAATAAAGTTCAGCGTGTTGAGCATGATATTTGTACATATAAATTAAAGCTAGTGGGAAAAAAACATGATATTAAATATATGGAAATAAAAATTAGCTGGTTAAATACAGTACGAGTCTATAAATTAAAATTAGCAGAAAAAAGAATGTTATAAGTGCATAAAAGTAAAAATTAGCATAAAGTAAATGTTAATTGTTTAAATTGATTTCTAATTAATTCTATTATTAAAAAAGATTTTAAAATGCTAGGAAACTTATATATAGTACTACTTTATTTTCTTTTTATTAGATTTGTTTAGCCCTGAAAAGAGCCTTTAACCCTCTTTCCCGTGCCACAAATAAATAAATAAAAAGACACCATTAAGAAAGTTGCTGGAGACATATTATCCTACAGCAAAACCATTTTTAATCACATTTAAAATTTCTGTGAAGGGATCTTGGCAATTGTATTTAATTTCACACTGAAAAAAACTCTTTCTATAAGTGATGTGTTAAATTTTCTTTGTGAAGATCGCTTTTCAGTAATGTTACTTTTAAAAAAGATGATGTGGAAACCAGATAATAAATAAGTGAAAAATATATTACATGTGTGAACAAAACACTGATGAATGATGAGTGTGATGTGCAAATTAGAAACAGCAATGAAAGAAAGCAAAGGATATGTAAAAAAAATGGTTGCTATCTCTGAAGAAGTGCATTTATGGGATTACCAGCTGTTCTTGCTTATTTTGGCAATGTTTGCATACATGTGGTTCTCTGCAGTAGTTTATTATACAAGCTAATAGTTTTTATTACGGAATTGAGTGCTCTTCTATTATCAGAACCATATTCAGAAATGTGTACGTGTATGCGTGTATTATATAGATGTATGTATGTATGTGTGTGTACACACATTCTGAATCCAATTCTGATAACAGAAGAGTACCAAAAATTATGAATAGGCAACTATAATACTACATAATGATACAGATATTTCATATTTATATATCATATCAATTCTCGTGAATATGTGGATTATTTTATAATTTTATTAATAAATTGTTAATGATTTTATTTACTAATTTTTTTAATTCTATTTAATCTTGGGATAGGTTCTAGCAGTTATATTGTATTCTTCATAAAACTTGCAAAAGGTTTTAATTTTCTTTTTTTTTTTTTTTTTTTCCCCTCTCTTTTCAAATCAGGAAGTACCATTTGTTCATTCATCTAAGTTTGACCCTGTGGCAGAAATATTAAATATAATGATCAAAGTATGGGATCTCCCAGTTCCAAAGATAATGCTGGTTATTTTGTCTGATAATGCTCCATTAAAAGACTGGACTAACTTCGAAGAACAAGAAAGTTTTGTTAAAGGTTTAATTAAGGTGATATTTCTGTTACATATTTATTTGTTAACCTACAGCTGGGAATGCAAGGCTGATGGACATTATAAAGATGATAATTAATGAAATATGATTGCTTGTTTCAATATTAAAAGAGGAAACGGTAAAAGTATATTTACGGGTACCCCTTGGCAAAAATTGTGTATTTTTGGCGGTACATGGATACCGAGTTTGTGCAATTTTTTTACTTGTTATTTTGGCTTGTGTTTAATGAAATCACTGCTAAAAAAAAACCAGGAAAAATGGATCGCTGCTACACAAAGCCAAAATAACAAGACAAAGAATTGCACAAACTCTGTATCCATGTACACATCGACCTATTTTCACTTCAAAAAACATCCCAGAATTACACAAAAACGGCATTGCGCTCTCCCTTGACTTTATCCATGTACACATCAACCTATTTTCACTTAAAAAAAATCAGAGAATTGCACAAACTAGGCTTTGTGCACTCCCTTGACTTTGCCCCTGTACACATCAAACTATATTCACTTAAAAAGTCAAAAGAGCAGCCAATATAATCTCAATAAACTACATTTTAAATCAAACAATGAAATACCATAAAAAAGGAAATTCATTTTTGCACTACACAAAGCAAATATCCGCTTACGTTATTTGCGAATTGATACGCCTTCAGCGAAACAAAATTCCTTAACAGCATCCAAAAACTTCCTAAAATTATCTGAACTAGAATCTGTATACTTGTGTTGCTACATAAATTCACAAAATAAGAGTAAAAAATATCCTCCGTAGCACCGTATTGTCCGACCATATGTATTTCCTTCTTAAAAACAGGACATTTAATAATGGCTAGTAAGTAAACCTTCATTTACACAACAGACAAGTAAAGCTCTTTTCCCCCTTTCTTTCCAAATGGTACAAAAACTTCAAATCAATCTTACCACATTTAGCCATTTTACCATCCTAACCAGAAAACAAGTAATGTACTTCCTAACCAACACATGTGATAAGCCCTTACAAATTCACCGCAACCATGCAACCGATTACTCCATAATAGGGTTTGCATAACATTGAACTACTCAGGCAACCATAAATAAACCACCACTTGGCGATAAATGAAACAACAACTTCGCGATAATACAAGGGGTACCCTTCTCTCTACTCTAACCAAGGAAACTTGTCAGTATGACGTATAAATATTGCCATTGTCTTCCTTGTATTTCCACATGAAAATTAACCATTGCATTAAAAGGCTAAATTATTAACCCTTCAGAATTAACATCATTAGCTTCTTAGATAATTTCTTTTTTTATTTCTGATAAAATTATCTAAAAAATTTAAGCAATGAGTTACATTTTTTTAAGACAATCTGCACTCAATTGGATTTTTAAATTTAAAAAATGATTCTATTTCAGATACCAGAGGTCGAGTGTTTCAAGATGGCTGAATAATGTTCGTTTGTCTTGAGTTTGAACTCGAGTAAACAAGCTAGCACTGCGATTAGTTTCTGTGATTTTCTGGTGTTTAAAATGAATATGAGCCAACTTTCCTTCAAAGTCCTCCACGAATTCCTCCTCTTAGGAAAATAACCCCCCTGTGCTTTGCAATATTCAAATAACCTATATTGTAACCATTTCAGATTTCCATATCTTCAGGAATAAAATATGTTTGCCTCTGCTATTGAAAGACTTATGGAAGCTTACCTTCAAAATAAGTACAGTTTTTTTCAATATTTACGCCAAGGTTGCTTTTTTTATTTAATTTTAAGTGTATGAGTATGTTTTTTCAAAAATTAAAAGAGGAAGATTGTCAAATAGTACTTCATACTCTGAATGTATTCTCAAATGCCTTGAATTGGGAAATATTCCAATAAAGCATTAGAATTGAACTGAAAGAAAATTTTTGGAATGTAGAAACAGCCATATTTTAGAAACTGGATGTGTGTAGTGGAAAATGGATAGGAATTATGCTGGGAAATTGCAAAAACAGCATGACAGTAATAAATATCATATTTTCCTTCTAAAGGGATTTTAATACATTCATCAGACAGAAAAGATGAAGACATATGAGGCGACTAATCTGGACCTCTTGAACATCTGCCTTGTAAATACTGAATACCACCAAGCTGAACAGTACCTTGTTGGTTCCATTGATTCATACAGTTTTCTCCATTATTGATGTCTTCTGCCCATTCAGATTATTTAAAAATGTAGCTAGACTACTCTTTTGAATGAAGCAGACTACTCTTTTAATGAACTTAAATGAAGCAGACTACTCTTTTCCATTTCCCTTGGAAATGTTCATGAGCTGAAAGAAAGTGCAGAACTTTTTTTTTTTTTTTTCTACGAGATCGGCATGAAACTTTCTGCAATATGCTGTCTAACCTTGCCTTAAATACAAATACTTTTGCTATTTTGTTTGTAAGAACAGCCATTATTTTACTTAAAGATAACTCCAAATGTGCCCATAAACTTAGCAGTCTATTGTTAAAATTAAAGATTATATTTAATAACTGGGTGATGAAACTACCAAAATAGGAAATTTTATTACTTCTGACATCAGAACCATCATATGATCAATTAAATCTCATTTAACACTGTCATTAAAAGTGCTGTGAATAGGACCCTTAGCTCCAGAAATTCTCATTCAATGTTCTTAATTGAGAAAAATAAGAACAGGACTGTAGCTAGGGTTTTCAGCCTCCAGGCACAGTTGAAAATTTTGCCCCCCCTCCTGTTTACCAAGAATGCAAAACATTTCATAATATCAATTTGGCACCCCTTGAATGCTGCACCCAGGGACTGATGTCCTTCCTTGCTTCCCCTTAGTTATGTTCCTGTATAAGAATTGAATATGCATCAATTCACATTCTTGCAGGCAGAAAAATACCTGACATCACAGATCCTAAATTGTCTGATTAAGAGATTCTAAATCTCACAGTTGGTGGCCATACTTTACTTACATGATCATAATGATTTACATAGAGCTCATTGCTTCATAAGTTGCGAAGTTCAATTCCTAGAATTTTGGTCTGCACTAGAAATTGGTTACATAGAACTATCTGCAGCTAATGAAGAAGGTTTGTGCTTCCAGATTTAAAAATATGTTACAGAAAGCAGAGTTAAATTGTACCACCATTTATATTGAATTATCTGTAAACACAGGGGCGTAGCTAGAGGGGGGCATCTGTCTCCGGGCGCCAAACTGATGTTACGACATTTTAGAATTAAATGTTTTCCATCCTTGGCAAGGAGTAGGGGGCACGAAATCTTCAGTTGTCCCTGGGCGCTGAAAAGCCTAGCTACAACTCTGTGTAAACAGAAACAAAATCTCAGTCAATTAGGTCTTAGAAAATAGATTTGTACCATTTAGATCAGCCAAGAGGCTCAAATGATGCTATGAGGTTAAAAACAAATTTCTCCTTTCCCACTGCATGCTTTCATACTGTAATTGATAGCTGTCAAAAGGTCCAGAGATGAGTAGGTCTCATTCCCTTCTTCCTAGTTACCTTTTACTAAGGGAGAATATGAGGAATTTTTGCCTTTCCCACTGCCTGCTGTCATAGAGTAAGTGGTTGTAGATGTGAGTAACTGGAGGATCTGAAGTTCAAATCACAGCAAGGGTACCACTTTTCGTTTCCTACATTCAAATATGTATGTAATGGCTCCATATTGTGTGTCATGAGTTTACTCCTTCTTAAACTGAGTCATTTTTCAGAATCTGCAAGAAAATTTTAAATATTCCATGTGAGACATACTTTTTTTTATTGAGTAATTACTGAAGAGAAAAAGTGAATATAAAATGCATGATGCACACTTTTCATATTAGTGTCTGAATGTAGCAGAACTTGCTTTGCTTATGTCTTCCATTAGATGTAAAACATGACAGTCTGAGAAAAATTTTGTCATGTATGTTTCAGAAAGTTATAAAGATGTAATCTTGTTTGAAATCTTTCGGAACGGTTGAGCCAGCAGTACCAAATTATGATTTCAGGAATTAAAACAAATTTCAGTATTCTTCTGTTATCAGAACAGGATTAAAATATGATTGCATGTATGCACGTGTGTGTGTATCTATGTGTATACATACATACATACATACATATATATACATATATGCATATATGAACATAATATAGCCATACATACTTACATTTCTAAATTTGGTCCCAGTAACAGCAGAGTATCAAAATTTCATTAGAGTTGATATTTTCTTTCATTCAACAAAACTGAACACTACTGTAGGTGTACAGTGTAAAACTCATATCATTAATTGGTTAAATTAAATTAAAAAAACTGCTCACAATCAAACTGATGCCACATTCATCAGTACAGTTGTAATTATACCGTTTTTGACTGAAACTTGTATCGGGCAAAAGGGGCATTTTCCCGAGAAGAGCATTTAATTAATTTGTGTAATATCAAACATGATTGCCCAGCCTTTTGCCCAGCCGGGCAAAAGGGGCATTTTCCCGAGAAGAGCATTTAATTAATTTGTGTAATATCAAACATGATTGCCCAGCCTTTTTTTTTTTTTTTTTTTTTTAATCTCTAAATTTAAAACTGAATAGTTAATAGGAATTAAGTTTTTAGCAAATTAATAAATTGAAATATGAAATAATATTCTCTGAAATTTTGGCATGGGTAGTTTTGAGATTTTGATTGAGAGAAACTGTTTGCTCTAAAATGTAAAATTTTCCTTTATATGTGAATAGTTATCTAAAATAACTGATTATGTTGTGATGTGTGCAAATTCTATTAAAATTTTTCAAAGTGAGAATTGATTATTTTATTACCTGTACCTCTACTGCTATAAATTCCTCAACCACACTATAATATGATTAACCTACTCATCTCTAGCCAATTTTAAATGAATATATAAGGCTTTTAATGCCATATAAAAATTTATATCTCCAGGATCTGTTGTTATCATTTAAAATTAGTAAATAATATATTTCTTTCATGTTGTTGTATTCTAAATGTATAATAAAATGCAGAGTATGCATAATTCTTAAAATTATATTTTACTATCATTATGAAAATATGCAATCTGCTATTGAGATTAAGAAAATTAAGAATGGTTATACCTCTATGATGCCCAAGGCGACAGACACAATCCTATACTTCTTGCAGCAGTGAATTTCGTGGGCTTATTCTGATGTCAGCCAAACAAGATTCATCACAGCAACAGAAAAAATTATCAGAAGAATGAATCTTTACAGATCTTTTGTAATCTGCTGTGTAAGTTTAATGTTAAATTTTGGTGATAGCACCATTTACTAGCCCGACACAGAAGTGATGAATTTCCATCATCTACCATTGATGATGGAATTCATGTGTGTGTAATTTAGCACTCGGATAAAATACTTATAGACTGGGAATCTTTTGAGACAAAGTGTTAAACTCACCATTTCTTCTGTGAAAAAGCAGATTCTTGAAGTATTAAAAAAAAAAATTTTTGAAATATTGATTTATGTTTTGGATTTTAAAATTTTTATTTAATTTAATGACTAAAACATTTTTATAGGTTTACAGACTGTAGAAAATTCAAAATAATTGTATAATTTTATAAAAAATTCATAAGAAAGAAAAGGTAATTTATTTATAAATAATTATTGACCTTAATAATGCAGATATAATACATGCTTAAAAAAAAGTCCAAAAATTTGTTTTAATGAATTATTAACTGGTGAAAGCAGAAAATTAGGCAATTTCATCATATCAGTCAATAACATGTAGCTAAAGTATGATCTGTTTATTAAATTAGGGTTCAAATTCAACTTCAATGTGGATTTTTACTAGTGGACTCAATACTGGTATTTCAAAAGTGATCGGTGATGTATTTCAAGCAGAATTCAATGCTCGTCTCTCTGAAGCATGCTGTGGCCCATCTGCAATGAAGTCTAAGGTTTCAAAATTCCCTTTGATTGGTATCTGCCAGGAAAATTGTCTTACATATGCAGAGAAATTCAAAGTTCTGGTACTACTTTTAAATTTCGAATTTTCTATTTAAATTATTACGTTTATTATATGAGAAGTAATTAATTTATACATTTTTTTAAGGGAAGTGTATTTTAAGTTTTAAAGTATATAGGCTTCTAAAATTTTTCATTTAGGTTGTATTAAAAAATTTAAATTGGCAATACTGTCAAGGACTAAACTATCATGAAAATACTAGGAAAGCTATAGCAAGTGATTTTCTAGTTCGCTGCTTTTTGCCATTCCTGTGATTTCTGATAGCTTTGTCCTGAATAAAAGCAATGTTAAAAAATTTGATTGGTATTAAATAATTTTGCATTTAGCCCAAAATTTAATCAAATTTTAGTATATTTATTTGTAATCCTGATGAGAACTAATAATTAGTTTTTAATTTAAAAACATTTTAAACTTGTTAGCCTATCAGCTAAACTGCAAAAATTAGGTTGGAAATGAATATTTAAGAATGTTTGCTATGTAGTGATAACTGTCACTGTACCTTTATTTTACCCTAGAGACAAATGCAAAAACTATCATGGAAGTGAATAATTAAGGATGTCTGCTGTGATACTTGTAATTATATCTTTATTATAATTATTATGTACCTTGTTTATTTTATTATTATTATTATTATTATTATTATTATATCGTTATGTGAAAATAAAATGCTACCACTGCATCTTTAAGAAAGAACATTAAAAATTCAACGAATTCTATGATTACTGCACTTTTTCTTTATAATCTCTTTGCATATATAAATATAAATACTGTAATGTTCTTTAGTACCTTGATGTTCAACTATAACACTTATAGTTCTTGATTATTTATTCCCATTGCTTACGTGAAATGTATGATACCTGTGTTCTGCAGTCTTCATAATCTATAATTTTCCATTAATAACGCCTTATATCTTTCATATGTGAGAGACATAATCATGAATCCTTTCATATTATTCTAGCGCTATCAAAAATTTGGAATTATGAGACTATGAAACAATAATCAACTCTATACAAAAATATTCAAATTTTGTATCCTATGTTAATTTCTAATGATTATAGCAAATAATATAGGTTATTAGTGAAGGTGCGAAGAATACTGTGCAGTTTTGATAATCAATGTTGAATTGCATTGCTTTAACTAAAAATATTCATTCTAGAAATGTTCTGACTAAAAGCTCTCTAAGATGGTTTGTATATGTCATGAAAATGTATCTTAATTTTTAAAAAATTTTTAAGGTGTCTCTTATAAACTAACCAAGAACCTACAGTGAACCTGCCACACAGACATGAATGAAATACCAGCGCAGAAGAAGGGTGAAAATAATCCTTTTATTAAGTACAACTAATAACAGAAAGGCGTGATCTTCGGGTTTTACAGTAACACTGTAAACTTGTGCTGAAACTTAAATGTAGAATATAAATCAGTTCAAAGTCTAATTAGAATAGTGCTGGATTAGCACACTAAACTATGGCTAACTTAGGCTGACTCAACAAAACCTAGCAGATATGGCAATTATCCACAAATGGACAAGGGGCATACTAGCATAACAGCGAGATAGCAACAAAATGTGCGCTGGCTAGTGAAAACACACTCTGAATAAACTTGGATAGTCGTCCATTTAAATACTCACTTAACTTAAAATTTACATCCTGTTGAGGAAATGCAAGGGCAAGTTGAGGAGTTCAGGAAAGATGTCAAACTTAAAATAATTTATTATGCAAATTAAGGGAAACCCTACAAAGCATCAGACTTTTATTCTTCATTAGCCAGTTCTTTGAAACTATAATGATCTCTAAAGCTAGTTGTTAATCATTTTAATTTATATAGCTATAATAAAATCATTTTAACTTATATAGCTATAGAAAATAATGGGCATATATTCAAGTTGCTAGTACATATCCGTGTCACAAAAGTGTTAGCTACTGAATTAATTTGTCCTAAAAAAATGTCTGAATTTATTTGTCCTAAAGAATTCTATAATTATTTGCTAATAATCACATATATTCATATAATTCCTAAACTTTGAAAACATATAGTCTTTCCTGAAACAGAAATGTTTTGATTTAATTATTTATCACATTCTTATTTGGTAGCCTATGTGGCTGTCATAAATACAAGCATCTGTTAGCCCTTTAAATAGATATACAGGTGATGATAAAGGTAGATCAAATTGTGAAGTATCAGTTGTTCATTGATATTTAGCATCACGTAAAGGTCTGCTGAGTCAATCCATTCTCCAAAATTGTTTTCTGATTTTTAAGTGTTTTGCATATGCAAAGGGTGAGCTAATACATTAATGACACTGATGAAAGCTATATCGACCTTTCCTTCCCTAACGAGCACCTATATATCCTATGTAATAACCTTGCTGTACTAGTAGAAATTCAATGTGTATTATTTTGCATTTTCATCATTTGAATGGCATGGGAAATTTTATCATTAAATTAGGAAAAAATGTGATAAAAGTATCTACTAATAAAATACTAAAATTTTTCAGCAGGAAAATGGAAGTTTACCATCGTCACTGATATGGATGAAATAATTACTGTGATTGTTTGAAATCTGATAATGCATTATAATAAACTACTAAGTACCACATATGGAGTAACATAGTTTAATGGGAAGTGAGTGAGAAATGTAAGTGTAAAGTTTAGCTATGTTATCTGCATATAATAAAACTCCAAGCTAATTAAACTATGTTACTCCATATGTGTATCAGAATAGGTATATATGAATATATATATAATTCTGTTTTGATCCTCAAAGTTACATTTTGCTGTTTCTGAAAAACTGGTAAAACTGAACAACAGGGTTCCATTCACCTGAAATGTTAAAGAAATAAAAAAGGAAGTGGGGAAAAATTGTGTATATCAGTTCTCTCAGATATTAAAAGTGCATATTTTAAATGATATCCAATAAATAAAGATTTCTGCTTAAAAAGAAAATAAAAGAAAACAGATGAAGAGTTAGTACGCTTCCTCCCCCCAGAAAATTAGCCCATTTCAAATCTGATCACCACCTAGATTTGGTCAACTGGGTCTCATTCTCTTCCCTGTCACTCTTTAACTAGTAGAAATTATAAGGAATTGTCACACTCCTCCTTGCATACTTGTGATCCGTGTGGTGTAATGGGTAACACATCTAATTTGCATTGGAAGATCTATTATTCAATCTAAGCTTCTTGGTATAGCTGATTTTTTGTGCTTCTCACATATATTTAAAATATTGCAACATTTTGCGCAAAAATTTTTAAGATCAAATAGGTCTTACGTATCATTACTTGTTAGCTTTTCAATTTCTATTTCGATTATATATATATATACAGTCAAAAGTCATTAATCCGGACTCGTCGGGACTTCGGCGATTCCGGATTATAGATCATCAGTTTAAATCTGGTAAGATGGCACGCAGAAATTATAAAATTAAAAATATGAAACCGTAATTTATGAAATAAAGAACAATTATGATCTCAAGGGTATCAAAATTTACAAAAAGAAAAAGCTTAATATTTATTTGTTTACTTTATTAAACATTTCTTTCAATATAAGTTGTTTAAGTTGCTTCGTTTTTTATGTGATAATACATTCTCTTTAATTCTTTAAACAGACATAATTTCTTGTTTAGTTACAAATTTCCGCTGTTCAAGTCCTATAATTGCTGTGTTGAGAATACCGACTAATTTGTCAATCGAAATGTTTTCGTTTTCAATAACCTCTGGGTCACTTTCTTCACTATCAGAAGCGAATTATAATGACAAGGAACTTGATTTAAATCATATCAAAACGAAGTACATCGAGATGAAATACTACACTTAGTAAGGAATTATAAGCCAAATAAAATAAAAACATCTGCTCTGAAGATAGGGATAGTGCTGACAGATCAACTTCCGTTCCGCGGCGTGAAATTGATAAACAGATTTCGGATTTCAAAAGATACTTTCGCTTTGTAGATACAAATTACGTATTAGTAAATATATATCGGAAATTCTGTTTGACATAATCGAAAGTTCAAGCTTACTTTTATGAAATTTCTCTAACAATCTGCAAAAAATAATAAGCCGGATCTAATTCGAAGATTAAGGAACAACGCAATCTGCAACATTAACTGAATTAGATAATTTTAGCTTTGCTTATACCGTCCGTTACACATTAAACGCGCATGCGCACACACATATTCGCAGCCGTAAAGGTCTTATGCGCAATCGTAAACACCTGTGCGCATGTGTGAACGCAACGCATGCGCAGAAAGTTTGTAGCCTTGAGGTCCGGATTATGGGTGTCCGAATTAACGACTTTTGACTGTATATATATATATATACACATTTCTTTTTCTCCAATCTGTCAGTTAGCTATTGTTCATGCTTTTCTTTAGAAATGTGACTGTTCTGTTACTCTTTACTTTAGAAATATAATAAATAATGCCATTGCACTATGTGGTTGTATATTGTAATCGGTAACTGTATTAATTAAGCATTTTTTTAATCCAATGTATTCTTAGTTTCTTGGTTTATTTTTAAGTATCATAGGAGTAATATTTACCATGAAAGATGGATTGTTATAGATTTTTTTTGCAGAATGGACATTTTTTTTAAAGGTTTGATATTTCCTTTTAAAAATATTCCCTGTTTTTTTAATGGTTCAGATAGATATTTCCTTTTGTATATGTATTTCTTTCATTTGCATAGTCGATTAGTAAGGTGAATTTTTTTTATAACATTCTTAGTTATGGCACTGTATTTTTTTCAATTCATTAAGTTATTTAGTTATTCATGTTTAAAAATTATGTTTGTTCATTAAGTTCGGTCAGAGAAATTGTTCCATTTGGTAATGGATAATTGCTGAAAGGCAGGGAAATTAAGAGATGAATTTTAGGGTCAACCCTTTTAACTGCTCAAAGAAAACACAGAGGATTGACAAGTGATTGAAAACTCCATAGTATTAATCAGTTGATGAAAAAATTTTGATAAATACCCCCCCCCCAAAAAAAAAGATATGCCCCAAATGTGTAAAGTAACACTTTATTAAAAAAAATAAGCTATGTATGTAAATGGGGAATTGGAATTAAAGCTAATTCATTTTGTTTATATTTATATTTTAAATTTTTTTATCTGAATTATTTGCATGATATAAATGTTTTACATGACTGGGACTATGTGGCTTTAAATCTTTTTTTTATGACTCTGAGTTTATCATCCTAAATGTTTATATCTGGGACAAAAGTTTTCCAGAAAAATGGAAAAAGAAAATCATTAGAATTTTCAGATGATATTTCATCATGTCTATGCGAAAACAAACTATAATTTGTATTCAAATTCTTAATCTTTGAGAGCTACAGGAAGCATTAATGTAGGATTATTTGTCTGTAAAGGGCTTTACTACTTTTATGTATAATTAGAAACAATGTTATGACAAATTTATTTCAGTTGGGGTCAATGCTTTCTTCCACCATAATCAAAACTATATTGCATGATAAATTATGCTATCATTAATTTTATTGCACTAGTTAAAATGAGGATGCACACTTAATGCCTTTATACACATTTATAAAAATGTTGTCATATGGTCAAACTCACATTTCCTTTTTACAAAAAAGGGCAACCCATATGATAACACACTTGAAATAAATGAGCTCATATAATACCTCTGAAAATAAATTTTACTAGCAAAAATAGTTATTCTCTTAGAAAATAATTTTTCTTGTTCCTTTTTAGGAAAAACGTGTTAAAGTTCAGAATACTGGCAATAATCTTGAAGAACAGAAGTTCAATCTTAACCCTTACCATTCTCATTTCCTCATAATTCGTGATAAAATAATAGATATAGAACACACTACTCGCTTTCTTTTAAAAATAGAAGAAATTTTACAAGGAAGTACCTTCTTAGATGCTCTTTATGAAGGTAACATATTTAATTCATGTTTTGCAGTAAAAAATATCTGAACTCATATTATTTTAATATGATTAAGCCAATATAATTCTAACATTTAGTTTCTGAGTTTTGAAGCCACTGTATGGCTATGATTAGATAAAATAATGAATCTATTGTTGTAAAAACACTTTATGACCTTTTCTGAGAATGTGAATGTTTATTAGTAACTAGTTAAATAGTTAGTAAATAGTTCTGCTTTTCTTTCTTTACAATCTGCTCGCTATTTTTTACCAGATGAAATTTTTACATTTTAACTGCTGTGTCTAGCACTGACTAATGCTAATTAGAGGCTTCATTAAACGTTTATTAGAGGTCATTAAACGTTCATTAAACACTAATTAGAGGCTTCATTAAACGTTTATACTTAATCATTAGAATTTTCATAATAAATTATTGACAAGGAGTTTTAAACTCCTTGTTTTATTTACAACTAAATTTTTTGTGTATAAAAAATAAAATTATTCTTCATTTGAGCTTCATATGTAAAACATCATATTGTGTTCAGGGTGGCAAGTTTCTGAAAATGTTTTTTAAATCATCGGAAACTGGTACAAATCATTGGAAAATGTTAAAAATCATCTGGAATTATGTTAAAAATGTCAAAATCATAATAAAATTGGGACAGCAAGAACTAATTTCTGCCATAAAAATGGCACTAACTCGCAAATCATTAAGTAATTTAAAATTGAGTTCTATAAGTAGTAGAGAAAGAAATGTATTTTAAAGTGTACGAAAAAAAAAGTTCACTTAAGAGACTTAAACTCTTAACAGAGGAAACTAATGAGGATAAATTTGTATTTTTTTATTTATTTACTTTTAACATTAAATTTTAATCATATCTTTTTGCAGAAATAGGATTATGAATAATAGAAATTTGACAAATTTCCTTTTTTTTTTTTTTTTTTTTCCAAATTAAAATATACGTATTCCCCCCCTTAAAAATAGTTTTATGAAATATTACTAATTTAAAGCAAAGCATTTAAAATATTTTATTAATTAGTAATATTAATTCACATGGTGTTTAAAATGTTACTTTTTTCTAATTATTGCCATTTTCTGCTAATTTAACCCCTTAACTGCCGTGGGCGTATATATACGCCTTGCTCAGCCGATGCGTTAACTGCCCCAGGCGTATATATATGTCTTTCCAAACTGCTATCATTTGCTTTGCGCTGCTACACCTAAAATTATTTGCAAAGTTAACGCATTGGCTGCGCATCTGGGGCAGTTAACGCATCGGCTGAGCAAGGCGTATATATACGCCCGCGGCAGTTAAGGGGTTAACCTGGTTAACAAGCAGTTTCTGCCAGTGATAAGACCAAACTCTTCTGCCAGCCTAGGTTCTGTTGCATAACTATTCATTTTGTCACTGTTCTGTTGCAATCACACTCATTGCTTTATGATAAACTATTTTTATTCATGTTTAATTTTATACTTGTGATATTTTAATAAGAACTGCAGTTGAAATAACAAACCCTTAAAACATGAGCTTTCTGTGCTTTCTGTCAGAAATAGAAGAGACGTAACACCAGAAAATTGAATTGATTAAAACTTATTTCAATTCAATTATTATTTGTTTTAAATTTAGTCAATAATTTATTATAATTTTATTTTTGAAAATTATAAAACTGAGATCAGATGCAAATATTTAAAACCAACTGTGTATTTATTCAAAACACTTACAAGCTTCTTTTGAATATTATAAACTTTCAATGACTTTAAATTATGCATTTTTATACTTTGACACTAAATGTTATGTTATTTGTTTTAAATAAACATAATTATCTTAAATAATTAAGTAATCCGAAATCAACAGAATGTATTGAAAATTTTCAGTTAACTGTTAAATGGGTTAATTTTTTTAAAGCAATATCTAGTTTATTTTAATCTTACCAATATGCATAAATATTTTTTAATGATAGAAGATTTTTCTTTCTTTTATTGAAGTAAAATGCAAATAAGTTATCTGCTGCACATGTATCGATATTCATTAGTAAAACATTAGTAATTCATTAGTAAATCATTCTTTTTTAAAGGTTTTAGAGGAAAATGAAAAAGAGAATCTCTTAAAATTATATTAGATGTAAACTGTAAATTACATAATAACTTTATTACATAATTGTAGTTTTCTTTGTTGTGTATTATTTATTGTAATAATAATTACTATACATAATTAAAATTTATATTCGGAATCTTGCATTACAGATGATCTTCAGCAAACTGTTCCAGCATCACCTATACCAACAATTGCTATTCTTGTTCAAGGAGATATAAATTCTATTCATTTTATATTAGCCCATTTAAAACGCAAGCTTCCAGTTCTTATTATGAGAGGTAGTGGGGGTCTAGCAGAAATTCTTGCATATGCCTACTATGAAGTACATAGAAGGTGAAATTAGACTTTAGTAATCTTATTTGTTTTTAATTAAGATCTCTCTTTATATTTCTGAAGAATGTTGTATAGTAATAATAATGAATATTTATGAAATTTTATATTTTTCTAGTAATTTTAGATAGTTGTAAATTTTTCTACTTCCCATCTAAAATATCATTTCAGAAAGATGCCAAAATTCTCTGCTGTGCGATTTGTCTCGTAGTCATTTTCAGTTCTTTTGCTAATTGATGCTAACATTTGTTTTCTTATTGTGTGACAGTAAGTCATAGTAAAAGTAAAATAATAATAAAAATAATATAAATATAAAAAATATGAAATACTTTCATCATTTCTATACACATTTGTTCATACTAACTTAGTACTTGTAACTAACTAGAACCAAGAGCTGTATTAGAAGCCAAAAAGTGTGATAACTTGCCACTATATGCCTCCTGTTGCGAATATCTGCTTTTTGTAGTCATGTTCTCAATTATTAAGGATTTCTTTGAAACTATAGTGTAGAAGATAACTAAAAATTATTCACTAGACTGCTAAAAGTAAATCTGTCAAATTTCTGCTATAGTTAGATCAACAGCACTGGAAGCAACCAATATTCATATTGATACTAACCTTGTCACCTATGATTCCAGCTCTCACTTATGATTTCAGTTGACTCGCTAGTGTTGAACTTTATAAATCTTCTTGTTTAAATGCCAGTATGCTGTTCAGTTTGGATTTAATAGTTAAATATTAAAATAATTCGTTTGAAATACATTACTTAATAAATATTTCTTTTTTTCCCTGTTTTAATGGTCCACATACAGCTTCTCGTCCAGAAAGGAGGGAGAAAATACCTTATATACTCTTCCTTTTATAGGGCGACTGCGGATTAGAGGATTTAGTCACCAAATCCTGGTGGTAAAGAATAATCATCCACCACCTTTTAGTCGGGTTCTACTGTAGAGTCATTTTATAATTTTTCGAAATCAAATCGCAGCGCCTTCACCAGGATGCGAGCCTTGGACCTCTCGAATACGCACTGAGTATGCCACTATTACACCACAAAGGCATGCAGAAAGGAGGGAGAAAATAGCTTATATACTCCCCCTTTTAAAGGGTGACTGGAGATTAGGGAACCCATTGCTAAATAATGGTGGTGAAGAATCGTCATCCAACCCTCTTTTTTTAACCTTCCAGCATGCGCACTAAGAGTCCTTAAAAGTCCTTGGGTTTTTTTTAAATTGGTTTTTGGTCCTTAAAAGTCCTTAATTTTGGCCAAAGCCAGCAGAAGGTCTTTAATTTTGGTCATCTGAAATTTCTGTCTGTTTTTAAGACTACCATTTTGAGTTTGAATTAGCGTTTTGGAGGAATATTTTTGGCAATTCAATGACATTTATGGTTATCTTTTTAATGGGTGAATGGGTTCATGGGTTATAATTATAACTTGTTCCTATTTCTAATGTAAATGATGGGATACTCGAGTTTCTAAGCAAGAAATAGTATAAGCATTTCAAAATTATTCCATTTTTTCTAATGAACAACTCTTAAACAACTTTTCGCCTTCAGAGTTGTGAATTCATTTATTATACGATTCTAAATTTGGCAACTTACCAACATTTTGGCAATTTTAAGATAAGTTTCTATAGAAAATTTTTAATTCTTAGATCTGGGAATTTTTCGATGATTCTTTTTTTAACTTTGTAACTTTGATAAATTTTATCAAAATAATTGTAATATATTGAAATTATATTTAAAAAAATATTAAAATAAAACATTTTTATTTTTTGCTGTCATATTATAAAGTTTCATTTTGGAAACTTATTATACAATATTTTAAATCTGAAAAAAAGATATAATGCTATAAAGTACAACTTATGATACAATTCTCAGTGAAAGCAAAATTAGCTAATTAAAATTGTTTACTTTTTAATTTTTCATGGTAAGAGTTTTTCCCATGTAATTGTCTTGAAATATGCTTCCGTCTTCTCTATAAAATTAATTTTACACTTTTTCCCTCTGTTGCCTCCTTCCCAAAAAAATATTTTCGACTTCTTGCTGTTACAGAACTGGTAGGGATAATTTTTCTTTGAGATTTTAGACATTGTAGCTTGGTAAGTTTAGAAAGATTTGAAGGCAAGATTTATAGACTCACAACTCTAGAAGATTCCATAAAAATGAGACAAGAGGAAAAATGTCTCCATGGTATTAACGTGTAGTAGATGTATTTTACAGAAGGTTTGCGATGAATTTAACATATTTATCTTCTCTTTATTTTCTCTATTTTTCACTAGACACAAGCATGAATATCAAGAATGCTTCTAATGTTATCACATGGACAGGCATTATAAAAAGGAACTTTTTGTTAAAAAAGGAATTGAAAACTGACAATTTAAAAAAGATTCTTCTAATATGTTTTGATGCATCATACACAGGGCTGGCACTATGCATTTTTTTTACTTGATGCAATCTTTGAGGATCCTAAATTCTGCTACATAGTGCCTTTCTAAATTCTGCTTTTAATGTTTGCTCTAAATTGTAAAAGTTTTGCCATTTCTAGATTTTGTTGCTCGTTGTGTCATTAAATTCTAAAAATTCTGCCACACCAGCTCTGTAACCGCCCTTATCATATATATTTCATATTTTTTCTGAATGTTCATATTACTAAAGAAATAAAATTTGCAGCTTTTTCTTTACGTTTCTAAATACATTTAGTTTTTTTAGAATAACAGAAATCCTTAATTAAATCAAAAAGTTCTAAAATGAAAAAGAAATGTGTTGAAGAAAGAAACTGAATATAGGAGGAAAATTATCCTTCAAATATAATTTTGTAAATCACCCATTTGTTATAATTTCAGCCTTTACTATAATTTCCCAATTCTATTTCCTCATATGATAAGGCCCACCAGCGGCCGAGCGGTAAAGTCGCTGAACACTGGTAGTTCGGTCCGAGGTTCGAATCCCGTGAATGGGCTGGCTGCATGGGCGTTTTCGTGGTTTTCCCCATGTGTAACATGTATACGAGCCAGTTTCCCTTAAGACCTCCACGAAGGCATCCCTCTCCTTAGGCATCAGAACATGCCTTTATGTTCTTTCTAAGTAAGAGGCTTATTTTAACCTTTGTCTGATATTGTAGTTACTTTCAGATATAGCAATAATATGCTTCACGTCTGTCGGGGGTTTTGGACTATTTAACTTTTAACAGATCAAGCAAACCCTCATAGCTACATTGTGGAGGGGTTGACAAGTTAGGAGATAAAACACGTAGAAACTAATGAGAACACTGGTTTGTATATTGAGATAAATTTCTGATTGTTAGAAAAGATGCTTAAAGAGAAGCAAATGAATATAAATTAGCCAAAATGTCTGAAGAGGCTTTAAATTAAAAAGACGGATAAATATTTTGTTGAGTGTTGGTGCTACAAAACGTAAATATTTTGTGGATTTTAATGTGTAATTATTCTAATATCGTTTAAGAATCAATATCATAAATTACATGTATTTTAAACTATAAAATTTTATTAGGTTGCGATTTTATTTAATAGGGCTCTGTGTATTAAAGCGAGGTATTGCCTTTCATTAATCCTTACCGTGGTCACATTGATAAAGTACAAAAATGTAAAAATTCACACCTCTGGTGCTTTAGTGGCTTGTTGGAACCTTAGTGTATATTAACTAGGTTACAACTCCTAAAACTCTACACGAAGGTACAATACTAGCTGAATCAAACAGAGCCCAACTTTCAAAAGTTGCCAACCATGCCAATATAAGGCGTTTCAGGTTTGTTCTAATCAGCAGGTCTCTCTCTAGGCCAGCAGCAGTAACATCCAGTCTTTTGTTATGAATCATGCTGATTATGATCTTACTTCTCATTTTAACTGTGCCGCTTGACATAAAATCTATCTGCTATTTACCAAACCTCTAGACTGAGCAAGTATGTGACAAATTGAGATATAAATGAAAAATCAACATAAAGCTCACTGTTAGTAAAGCATAACTAAAATATTACTTATCTTCTTTCAAATATGTCCAACTATTATAAGAGTAAAAAATCTTCTACTGGATAAATTTCATATAGTTTATTCTCAAACTTATTAATAATTCTGTTAATTAATTCATGTTTAATAATAATGAATCCTACTTACGGATCTATTTTATTTTAGGATGGTATTACAAAAGTGAAGTTCAGGCATAGATAATATTTTTAATTAAATTTATTCAGTTCCCATTTATTCATAGGTCCTTAACTTTTTTCATTAATGGTCCTTAAAAGTCTTTAAAAGTACTTAATTTCCGTGAGCAGAAATGTGCACGAACCTTGAACATGTGCCGAGTGTGCTACCGTTATACCACAAAGGCATGCAGAAAGGAGGAAGAAAATACCTTATAATTGTATTAAAAATTCTTATTGCTATTCTAAAATATTAAAGCATTGTTTATATATCTTTCAAAGTGTCTAATGGAGAAAGATGTACAGTACAAAGTCCGTAATCCAGACTCGTCACGACTTCGGCGATTCCGGATTATGGATTTTTCCAGATTATAGATCATGATCAGCAATTTAAATCTGGCAAGATGGCATGCAGAAATTATATTATTAAAAATATGAAACCGTAATTTATGAAATAAAAAGCAAATTATGATCTAAAGGGTATCAAATTTTACAAGAAAAAAGCTTAATATTTATTTGTTTACTTCATTAAACATTTCTTTCAATGCGCGCATGCGAAAAGCGTATGCACATTCTTTATGCAAATGCGTAAAGCTTGTGGCTTTGAGGTCCGGATTATAGATCATTCGGGATAATGGACATCCATATTACGGACTTTGCATTGTATAATAGAAATTTTAGCTTAAAGTATGATATGTATATTTTAACTGTAAAGCTTTAATTCTACAGTTAGGTTACTGCTGTTACACAAATTTAGTTTTATCATCCTGCTTTGTTTGCTCCAAATGCTGATATTGAAAAAGGTAAAAATATTTCATTTTCAAAATCTTTAGAATTCAAACTGTTTAAATATTAAAAAGGAGAATGACTATATTTTTCCAATAGAAAATGATAAAAATAATAAAGAAAAAATGATATTTTTTTGGGGGAGGAGATTTTAAATTGCTTTAAAGAACAAAATCTTGACTTATCATCTTACATACCATTTGGCTTTTCTCTTTAAGCTGGATACTATAAATGAATTTAAGTTCGTGAAACATTTTCTTTGTTATATTGTAACAAATAAACAAATTTTGAGTGTTTCAGTGCAATACATTGCATCTTAAAAAGAAAAGTAAGATTAACTTTTCATCCATACTATTTCAATGTTCAGCTGTCTTGAATCTGCTTTCATAGTTTTCATGTCATTAGTCTGCTATCACGATTTACATAATTCTTTAAAATAATGTCTGTTTCTGAGAAATTCTATCTTCTTCATCTATCCCTGTTTCATCATCATTTCCATTATGAATCCTTCCTCCCGATTCTAGATTTGAAAACCCTAGTTTGATAAGACAATTTTTAGTTCTTATTTTAATTTAGTCAGAAAAATCATAGGCACAATACTTTCATTTCTCAAAAATTCAGTTGGTTGCTGAAGAGCATTACAATTATTCATGAAAAGCAAAATTATACAGTTTTATGATCATATCATTTTGTCTGTATTAAGGCTTACTGTTATCCCCCTCCTTTTTTTTTTTTTTTTTTTTTTTTTTTTTTTTTGTTACTTTCACCATTATGGCAGACTTTCAATATATCAGAAATGTTTTGATTTGTGATTTATCTTTTCTATTCCATCAGCATTTGCACAGAGTAAAACTTTATTGTGTTCTGCTTTTCTTGATCCTGTTACATTCTTTGATCACCTTTAAATGTCTATGATCCATTAAGAATAGAAATAAAAACAAGGAATAATTTAATGAACTGAATTTATTAAATAACCGTAAGCTGGTATCCATCTATTTCATTGGATAAATTCTTGAATTGTTCTTCAACAGATTGAAATGGGACCCTAATTTGATCTTCTTTGTATACCATGCCATAAGATTTTGTATCACAGTTTATATGCAGAAATGCAGCTGAAAAGCTAAGAGTCTTCATATTCAATTCCAATGCTATTTCTTTTCTCTTCTGGAATATTTTTGATCTAATCATTGGACTATTTGATGTAGAGTAACGGAATGAAAAATTTCAGCAGTGTGTTGCCAATCATAAAAAAAAAATTTTACACAATTTTTTTGACATGAATAGGTTGTAAATTTCTTGCTTTTTCATTTGTTCTTCTACTATCAGAAGCAATTTGTTAATACCCAGTTTTTGAACTGTCTAACTTTTCCCAATCCTGTATTCATCTGTTCTGTTTAAGAATTGTTTTTGAGAATTTCTTTTGTTTGCAAAATATTTTAGCAGTAAATTAGGATTAAATAAAAAAGTTATAACTTAAGTACTAGTTAAGACATTTTTACCAAATGATACAGAAATGAAGCTTCTTTCGTTAGCAAATTCCATTTTATGTTCTGTCCTTCTATGCGACACCCCTTCCATTGATCAACTGAATTTCAACCCTTGCGTCAGTCTGAGATATCTTGCATCTTCATTTTCCTTATTCATATTACTGAATACAATCTTCAGGTGCTAAGAAAGTTTCTTCAGAGAAAATTATTAGAGCTATGAAGAGACATTAATGAAAAAATATCAGGTAAAATGGATGTGTAACCGAAATTAAACATCATATAAATGAATATTTGCTGTAAATATGAGGTAGGATTCAAAAGCTCCCGGACTGAGTCTATAGCATAAAATATATTATGAATTAAATTGTAGAAACACATCCTTCTTCGAAATAAGACCCTTGTGCAACAACATACTTTTGCCACTTCCTGTAAAGTTCATCGAAACATGTCTGGAATCCATTTTTGGCCATGTCCTTTAATTCATCTCGCGATGCACATTTAACTTCGCCTGAAGATCGAAATCGACAACCCAGTAAGCATCTTGCCAGTTCAGGAAATAGAAAGAAATTGCAGGGTGCGAGATCAGGCGAGTAAGGAGGATGAGGCAAAACAATTGTTTTCGTTTTTGCAAAAAAGTCATCGACGAGTAGGGATCAGTGAGCAGGAGCGTTGTCATGCAACAATACCAATACCCATGACTGCTCACGGCACATTTTTGGTCTATTCTTCCAGATCGACTCGCGCAAACGGTGCAGGATTTTGATGTAGAGTTCTTTGTTCATGGTGCGTATTTTAGGGATAAATTCCTGATGCACAATGCCCTGGATATCGAAGAACACCTCCAGCATGACCTTTCCTTTAGAGCGATCTTGGCAGAATTTCTGCTTCCGTGGAGATTGTGGTGATTTCCCCGTTGCCGATGCTCTTTTAGTTTGTGAGTCGTACAAAAAGCACCATTTCTCGTCTCCAGTAACAATTCTGCCAAATGAGGATGGATCTTTGTCAACAGCCGAGATCATGTCTCCCGCCATTTTCATTCGAATTCCCCTTTGGCCTACGTTTAAGATGCGGGGAACGATGTGTTGACACACCCTATGTATGTTAAGATCCTCAGTCGGTATCCACTAACATGTAGCCTCTGATATCCCAACTGATTCTGCTATTTGGCAAATTGTTTGCTGCCCGTTTGCACATACCGCCGCAGACACCTTTTTTGATGTTTTCATCGGTGTGCGAAGTCACGGGACAGCCACAGTGTTCGACGTCTTCGGCACTTTCCTTGCCTTCTTTGAAGCTATGATGCCACTCAAAAGCTTACGTTCTCGATAACATTTCACTTCCATACACATGCTTCAACATTTCGAAAGTCTCCGTAGCACTCTTTCCCAAGCGAACACATAATTTGATATTGATTCTCTGCACAACTGACGCCATTTCTTTCTGTCGCCAGTTACTAAATGCACCTGCCCACAAAAAATGCTGTTGCTGCAAACTTTCGACCACGTGATTTGAGACAAACCACTTTTAGAAAAGGGAGGGAATGTAGTAACATGAAAACGTTCTCGTAGTCACACTACTGCAAAAAAATTTTATGTTATAGACTCAGTCTGAAAACTTTTGAATCCTACAGTGTATGATCAGAAATGAATCAGGAAGTGTATAAATGTAAAAGATGCATGCGTAAAGTGTCTCAGAACTCTGCGTTTAAACTTTGAGGGATGTACAGAACACCAGTTTGAACCCTAAATTCATACAGGAAAACAGGACCAGAAATGAATAGGCGAGACTATACACCAGTGCTTCACATTGCTACTGGGGCATCTTTATTGAGGCTTGTGACATTATGCAAAAAAACATTCATAATTTTACATATGCTGACTTGGTGGATGTGCATTTCATGTATGAGTTAGCTGATTATAATGGATGAACAGAGATAGAAATATATGTGGGAGAGATAATCAAACCAGATTTGTAATGCATTATCAGAATCTAGCACACATCACTGCGAACAATCAGAGTTTTGAACACCTTATTTTTTTATTTATTTTATTAATGAGCACTTTTGAATACTTGTGAAACTATATTCTGTGTCTACTAGTTTTTGTATTGTTCAGTTTTGCTTAATAAAGTGCTTAGTGCTTTGCATTGCATTTTGTGTTACTGCTGTGGTTTTGTCTTTCTTTTATTTCCTGCAGGGGCATGTCTGTTCATGCTTTTCAATAGATATGATGCTTATGCTTTCTACCTGCCCACAGAGTTTGTACATGGAGTTCTGAGATGCCCTTATGTAAATGAAAATTGTATAATCAGTGCTTCATGGTACATGATGTTGTTCTCTACTTGCCTTTAAAATTTGTACATGGTGTTTTAAGACATCCTGTATAAATGAAAACCATATAAACAGTGCTTTACTCTGCTGATTTCAAGGTTTTTTTTTTTTTTTTTTTTTTTTTTTTTAATCCTATAATTATCCTTTTTGTAGTATTTACTTTTATATTAATTATATCATTATCTTTTGAAGTTTTCAGAAAATAAAGGATATAGAATATGTGGAAAATATTCTAAAAAAAAGCTTAAGTGATAAAATTACATCTGTTTTTCCTGCTTTGAAGGATAACAAAGTGGCTCATAGTTCATTTTTCTCTAGAATACTGGAGTGCATTAAATTTTCAGAACCAGTGAGTATTTTTTATTTCTGTTATCTTTTTCTGATTTAAATTTGCGTTAGTTTTCCCCCCAAGGCTTTCATTTACATATTTTTAAAAATTATTTTTTGTTGCTAAAAAACTGTTTGATTTTTTTTTATTAAATGTTTATGTATACTGAATAGACACTAGTTATGGTCATGTAGTTACAGAGCAATGTGCAACTTGTATTTTCTTACAAGTTACCTAGTAATAAGGCTTGCTTATTACTAGGTAGTAATCTATCATTTCTGCTAGCTATTCAGTGTTAAAATAATACATCTAAAAATGAAATAAAACAAGTATGTATAAATTGTTTTTAACATTAAAACTGATAAATTAATGAAAACTTTTTTAAATGTAATTTTATTTTTTCATTTTCCTTAGCCTGACTTAAAATATATTACTGTATTTAATATGCTGGACCTGACAAGCAACCTTGAAGATCTTCCTGTCTATCTTATGGAAACTATATTTAATTGCAAGTATAATTCAGATGCCAACTCATTTAATCAAAATATATCTAAAATGTTTTATATTTTAAGAAAACTAGTTTTGAATTTCTTATTTAAAATTTTATGAAATGTATCTCCTGCTTAATTAGATTTGTTTTTAACATATATTTTATAATTATGTATCAACATTTTTTAAAAAGTTTCCTCTGTTAAATATATAGCACAAAAAGAAGGTGATTCTTATGCTGAATTAAGAAGAGACTTGCAGCTTACCATTGATTGGAATTATCCCAAACTAGCTTTAGCAAAAGTTTTTTATAAAGATGTTCGTTTTAAGGTAATAAGAGAAAAGTATGATTTATTTTGTTAGTTTCTTTCAATTTTTTTTTTCAATTAAAAAATTCTATATTTTAGTTTAAATGTATATCTGTTTTTAATACCAATAGTTAAAGCATGTTACTCAGTGCTTGCAAAAACAGGTTGCTTGTATATTTATGTAAAATAAATGTATAACAGCAGCAGTTAAAATGTAATATTTTTTTCAATTTATTTTTATACACCTGCAATATCAAAAAAAGGTTATTAAATACACCCAAAATTCAATGCAATGGTTAGTCATCACTAGAGATACAAATGATAAAAATTTCTTCTCCATAAGCAAATAATATGTGTGATTTACATGCAAGTCCTTCTGAATTATGTGTGCAACTGAAATTAAAATTGACTTGGAAGCTAGGAAAGGGTGCATATGTATTAGCACAACCATCTTAGCAGAAGTTGCACAGTTGTCAAATTATAGCGAACATTAACAACCATGCGTATAACAATTCTTCATCTTAAACAAACAAAGATGTGTATGTGTGTTTATTGTTCTGTAATACAGTAATTTCATTCCTAATTATCCTAATTAGGGGATTAATTAGTAATTAGCATTAATTAGCTTAAAGTAGAGTATGCCCTAATAATCCCTAGGCAGACTTAATCTGAAAATGTCTCTGTAAAACTACAACTTTTTTACAAGAAAAAGGCAAAATACATAGAAGTTAAACAATAAATTAATTTTTTTAATATCTGAATTTTTATTTTTCTATATTTTAGATGAATAACATTATGTCTATTTCAGCATTTATATAACTTTCAACAACTGTTAATGCAAGCTTCAAAAATCTTTCATGTAACATTCTGATTCATAAATAAGTTACTTTTAGTATGGAAAATAATCTTTTGCTGTGTCACCAGGCAAAGTCAATAATATTCTATAAAATCAATAATAAATTGGGGAAGATAAACCGCTTAGTGTAGTTAACTGCAGAATGTTAAAGTTTGAATTTATCTTTGTAACTGTCATTAAAAGCACATATGTTTTGATTTCTTCCCCCAATTGTTAGTTTTCCCATATATCTTCTTCAGTTTCTGACAAATTGTATACCTAACTAAATTACCACTGTACAATTTTAGTAATTCAAAACATCCATTTAAGAATATCTACCCAATATCTAAAAGCATATAAAATATGTTAACTCTGAATTTGTATTCAGGAGTTTGCAGTGATTTGTCTTGATGCTCATACCAGAACTAACATGTATTTTGCCGTTATTGGATTTTAACTACAGATTTAGATTCAAATTTCCCATCTACATGGTCACTAAGTTTTTTAGGTGGAGGGGAGGGGATAGTTTTTAGCATATTGCTGTGATTAGAATCTGATCTTATACTGAGTGACAAAATAAAATTCTTCAAAGATGGAATAAATACGTTATAGAGGCTTATAGAGGCATTAGGATTTTTTGGAAGTGAGGAAGATGAAAAAGATGCAATGCCTTTGCCGGGAATCGAACCATGGACCTCTGGAATATGCGCCCAGTGGGCAGACCACAACACCAAAGGCATGCTAAGAAGTTGGGAGAAATACCTTATAAGTTTAATGATTTACTTAATGCAGAGTGCTTGCAAACTGAAGAATTTAACTCATCTGTCATTAATCAAGATAGTATTACACCTCATTAATTGAGGTTGAGGAAGTAATAAAAAAAACTTAAAAATAACAAGGCTCCTGGCCCAGACTTAATACCGCCAGAATTAATCAAAAACTCGGGACCAGATGGAGTGAAAACTCTTCACCATATTATTTTATCAGTGTGGGACAAGGAGACACTTCCAGAGGAATGGAGACTTAGCACAGTCTGTCTCATACATAAAAAAGGAGATATTCTTGAATGTTATAATTACAGAGGTATTAGTCGACTGTGTATTGCTTATAAAATTTTTCCAAACATTCTGTTTACTAGACTTTGCCCATTTGTGGAAAACATCGTAGATTATCAGTGTGGATTCAGGAGAGGGAGATTCACAATTAACCACAGTTAATATTTAACATTCGACAGGTACTAGAAAAAAACCAAAGAATTTGGAATTGGAACCTACCATCTCTTTGTGGATTTAAAAAATGCCTATGATAGCATAAATAGAAACTTACTCATTGAAGCTATGCTAGAATTTCATATCCCTGACAAGACCTTGTCAGGAATATTAAATTCTTGCCTTATGCTCTATTAATATCCTTGTAAGACTCACTGCTCTTATGCTGAGTAAAACCATGCAGAGAGTTAATGAAAAACAGCTTTTGGAAAAAAGTGTCAAATAAAATATTTGTTTCAAATACTGCAGAAGTTTTTTTCATAATTTTCTTTTTAATATAAAATGCTTTTATATTAAGCATTGTATAGAATGCTTTATATTAAGATATCAAAATTTATTTTATCCCAATCAAAATTTATTTATCTAAGTACCTGAAAATTTATTTTATGCAGGTTGAAAATGATGTATTCGAACAAGTATTATTCAAGAAAGGCAGGGAAGAATTTGTCTCATTATTCCTTGATAATGGATTTGAACTTTATAAGTATCTAAATGCTGCACGAGTTGTCACTCTTTTTGAACATGCACTAAGAGAAGAATTTTTCCATCAGGTTTGCTGGGAAGGAATTTTAGGTTATGGAAAAGTATGTAATAGTTTAAGAGTTGAAATTAAAGAAAAAATTTAAAGATATTCTAAAAATCTGGTAAATATTTCCACTACTGAAGTGATTATGATGATAGTTATAAAAAATTTCACTATATACACAAATGGAATTTTTTACTCGCATTATTGTATATGATTAATTCGATTTCCAAAATGGTATACAGTCAAAAGTAGTTAATCCGGACTTGTCGGGACTTCGGCGATTCCGGATTGTCGATTTTTCTGGATTATGACATGCAGAAATGCAAGATATAAAATTAAAAATATGAAAACCGTAATTTATGAAATAAATAACAATTATGATCTAAAGGGTATCAAAATTTACAAAAAAAAAAAAGCTTAATATTTATTTGTTTACTTTATTAAACATTTCTTTCAATGTAAGTTGTTTAAGTTGCTTCATTTTATGTGATAATACTTTCTCTTAAATTCTATAAACTATAAGACATAATTTCTTCTTCAGTTACAAAGTTCCACTGTTGAAGTCCTATAATTGCTGTGTCGAGAATACCGACTAATTTGTCAATCGAAATTTTTTCATTTCCAATAACCTCTGTGTTACTTTCTTCACTATCGGAAGGGAATTATAATGACAAGGAATTTGATTAAAATCATATCAAACACGGAGTACATCGAGATGAAATACTACATTTAGTAAGGAATTATAAGCCAAATAAAATAAAAACATCTGCCCTGAAGATAAGAATAGTGCTGACAGATCAACTTCCAATTCATTACGTGCCGCGGCGTCTCCCCCCCCCCCCGGCTGCAGAGCAGCGTGAAATTGATAAACAGATTTTGGAATGGTTAGAGAAACAAAGGATATGACTTTATCCATTTCTTGCAGCAATTCCACTTTTTGTTTAATGGACTTCGAAACATACTTTCGCTTTGTAGATCCTTTACATATTAGTAAATATATATCGGAAATTCTATTTGACATAATCGAAAGTTCAAGCTTACTTTTATAAAATTGCTGTAACAGTCTGCAAAAAATAATAAGCCGGATCCAATTCGAAGATTAAGGAACAACACAATCTGCAACATTAACTGAATTAGATAATTTTAGCTTAGCTTATACTGTCTATTATACATTAAACGCACATGCGTAAACGTATTATGCGCATACGCACACGCATATTCACAGCCGTAAAGGTCTTACGCGCATGTGCAGAAAGTTTGTAGCTTTGAGGTCCAGATTATAGATGATTCTGGATTATGGGTGTCCGAATTAACGACTTTTGACTGTATTTTAAATATGAGAAAACTTACATTTTCATTTTCTGGCCTTGAAGCATCTTCAATTTGCAAAGGAAGTCTTGCTTCTGCTGCACTCACAACAAATACCTACATATTAAAAATCAAACTTGTTAGTATATGCATTATGTTTAATGAAAAATATTAATATTTAAAATCAATAAAATATCTGTTTCAGATCTTACATTTAATGACAAAGTGAAATTATTACCTCAAAAAATATATGCAAGGGTTTAAAAAAGAAACTCACACATATGTGTTCAAAATATTTTTCAGATCAATATAAAAATGAGCTTAAAAAAATTGTAAAACAGCATATCCTGTAATTATTTCCACAGTAATACCAGTAAACAGTTTGGTAAAACATATGGAAATAGAATGGATGGCACAAAATATCAATCACTTTACTAGGTACATTCCAATTCTCACATTAACAGATCGAGTTTTGAGAAATGTAAGTGCCTTTAGCAGCACTGTTTGCAACAGAATTTCAGAATTTTTTCAATGCTATCAGAAGCATGTGGAAATTCATGGTGGTTAATAGCTTAAATGAACCCATTTCTTACAAACATGAGAAATTTTAAATCGGTCATCAATGTTTACACGATTTTTAAGGTATTCTGCATTATTAACCAGCTTTTATATAACCATAACCTCCTTTCATTTCTGTAATTATACAGATTAACAAATATACATCTATAGAACAATGAGAAGTTAGCTGCTGCCATGAATGATAATCACAGACTACCCACAGATCTCTATTAGCTAAACCACTAAAAGGCAGGAGATTTTTCTAATGAGGGAAAGGATAATGTTAGAACAACAGTTGTACCACAGCCAGCTTTACAGGAAACAATTTTTCCAGTACAACATATGTACTGTTAATGTTAAAGCAGTCATTAGTTCTCAAGCTTCACCCCTTTCACTATTGCTACATGATCATTACCTTCCATCCTTTCCAAAACTTGAAAAATACACTACTGGCCATTAAAACTGCAACACCATGAAGAAAAAGCAAATACAAAAAAAGATATTTATTGTACTTTAAGTGTATGACATGAAGACAAAATGATTAAATTTGTATGCAGTTTGGGGTTTACAGGGGTGCAAAATTAGTAGCAACAGCTGCCACTCCTAGCAACTAAAACGGCCCTTACCCGGTTAGGCATGGAGTCGAACTGGGGTTCAATGACACAAACAGGCAACTTATTCCATGCTGCTTCAAGTCTATGCACCACTTAATAAACAGTATTAGTTGAAGAGGGGTGGCAGGCCAGTCTCTCAGCAACCCATACCTGGCTGTTTTCAATGGGTGACAGATCTGGAGACTATGCAGGCCAGGGTAGCAATTGAATACCCTTTATTTTTTGTCATGAATTTTTAAAAAGCTGTTATCTTTTACCCTGTATATTGAGGAAGATCGGAACACAATGTACATATAGTCTGGCATTATCTGGTTGGAAGATGGCATTTGGCAGGCATCAAAGATAGGCCCAACCACTGGACATAAGATTCAGAAATGTAACTAATCTGTATTTAAATTACAATTGATTGATGTGTGTGTCAGGCACCCAATGGCTGCCCAAACCATCACGCCAGGTGCAGGGCCCCCATGCTGATATTGAACGCAAGCACGAGACGTACGGTCTCCTCGGAGCCTCCTGATATGGCCATCAGAATACTGCACGCAGAACCAGGACTCATCTGAAAAGACAACATTTTGCCATTCCTGTATCCAACTTTGTCGTTCGGTCACCATCTCTCTCTATGCTGCATTGTCAAGGGAAGCCAAAGTAATGGTCACCGTGCTGATAGCCCACACTGCTGCAAACGTTGACGCACCTTACGAGCAGACTTTGGGCATGTTGCAAACATGTCCATTTCCTGACTAATAGTCCTTGATGTGGCTGTACAGTTTTGCAGGGCGGACTTCATAATATGTCTGTCATCTCGGGCATTTGTCATGGGAGGGCATTGAGATCCTGCATGCCGTCCAGTACGACCTCCAGCAATCTATTGTTTCCATATTCGCATGACAGTGTTTGAATGTCAATCAGTACGGCGGGTGATATCATGGAACAATAATCCACACTCTTGACAGGCAACAATCCTGCCTCTATCGAATTCTGACACTTGCAGGTAAATATTCAATATATGTTAGTTTTGTTGAACAAAATTAATTTTACATTTTTTTAGAATTTTCTTCAAAAAAATCTTCTGATTTTTACTCTTAGAAAATTCTAGTAGAAAATAAGAGCAAAGAAAATGGAATGGCTGTTTTAAATCATCAATTATGATTAGAATATCTCATTTGGTTATGGCATAAATTAAGATGATGTACAATAAATGTTACAAAAATACAATGTTTGGATATGATCGTAGATTGTTTAATGAACAGCAAACTTGATAGCGAGGCAAATTAAATATTCATTTTTATTTCTAACTAACATTTGGGATCACAGATAATTTGGTATTCTAATTGCACTTATTTCCAGAATATTTACATTTTTGATATTGTTGCGATAAGAAGAAAGCTGCACAGCGGTGTCTTAGCAGCAGCAGAGGTAGAAGTAGAGCATATGGTTATCCAACATGCTAGCTTTGTAAGAGAAAGGTTTTGGTTCTGGAAATTTTGAGTCCAAGTTCTGAATTAGCTGTGCAATCATTATGTAAAAGTCATATGATAGGGATTAATGCAGAAATGACACAGTCCTGAAACATTATTACTGTTTTTAGAACAGAGAGGTGAAATACCCAAATTAAAATGAGGAATTAGAGGCTGTTGCTAATTTAAGTTATAATGTTGATTTACATAGCTTTAATATTACATGCATTGTATTATAAGAATAAACACAAAAAATAATTATAAAAAATATGTAATTATAATATAAGAATAATATACACTGAGGAGTTGATATGATAAATTTCATTATGAGTAAACAATAGCACACAAATGTATTTGTATAAATAATACATATTGTCAATGTATTCTAACTCTCCAAAATTGGAATGCAGCATATTTAAGCAAATTTAATTAAATCTAAATTGAAAATAATGAAAGATTAATAAATCTTTTTTTTCCCCAAAACTTTTATTCATATTTTTAGTTTAATTTTTATTCTCAAGTTATTTATGTTCAGTTATTTGTATTATGATTATGCTGTATACTATAAAGAAATATATAATGGATCAATGAAGAAAATCATTCATTTTAAATGGATCAGTGCAAGAAAAATGTTTGGAATCCCTGCTCTAGAGCTTTGATCAAGCAGATTTACGACAATTAAGTTTGCACATATCCTATTTTAAATCTGAGACAGCATGAGCTGTAATATAAGGCTCATATACCATGTCTGTTTTCTAAATGGATTTTATGAGCAAGTGGAACTTATTATCCCATGCATATTCTGTATTTCACATTCCTTGATTACAGTCAAGTTTTATGAAGTAAAGGTAATGCCTTGATATATATAGTGTAAGAACTTATAAAGTCATGTTTAGATTAAGAAGCATTGAAAGGTAGTTCTGTTCTGAAAGATAGTTCTGAAGTTACTAAAATATGTAAATTTAAAAATATATACATATATATAGGAATAGAATTAAAGATTCTAAAGTTAAAAGTAAATTGGAGTCAAAGCAAGGTTATTCCTCAACAATATTAATATTATCAATCGTGTATAAGAGGTTTAACACAAAATACAAACATATCAATATTAAATTAAGAATCTAGCAGTACAAACTCTAAAAATAAAAAATGAAATTCAACGGGGGAAAAATATATTAGAAAAATATAAAAAATATATAATTAATCTCCTTTTACTGAAATTCCAGTTCAGAACTCATCAGGGGAAAATGAATTAAAGCTTCACAAAAGTCAATTAATATGTTTCAAAAACATGTTTTTTCTCTTGGTTCATTTGAGTTCAAAAACCAAAAAAAAAGAATCTAATTACATTTTCATTAAAGAACTAAAATTCATATAAAACCGAAAACTCGACTCTCAAATTTACCAGGATTTTCCTTACATCCCTTCGAAATACTTGGTAAAATGAATAAAACATAACATTATGCTTAATTGGCTACTCGAAAAACCACAAAACTTCAAATTATGTAAAAAGACCATTAAAAAAATCAAATTGGTAAAATCGTTATATGCAAATCTAAAGCTCAGATTTGATTTTATTATTTAAAGAATCGTGAAACTTTTTTTGTTTGTTTGTTTTCATGGCATTAAAACTTTAGCATAATCAGGGGCAACCCAATTTTTGATTGTTGTTTAAATGACAGCTTGGTTTAAAGTATATTTGTTTTATTCTTTATGTTTATTTGCTTTTGAATTTCGGATTTGCATATAAGGATTTTAGCCCAATTTGATTTTTCAATGGTCTTTTTACATAATGTAAAGTTTTGTGGTTTTTTTAGTAGTCAATTTAGCACAATGTTATGCTTTTATTCATTTTACTAAGTGTTTCATAGGTGTGTAATGAAAATTCTGGCACATTTGAGATTCGAGTTTTTGGTTTTATATGAATTTTAGAGTCTTTAATGAAAATTTAATAGATTATTTTTTCGGTTTTTGATCTCTGATGAACCAGGAGAATGTAACATGTTTTTGCAACATGTTAATCGACTTTTATGAAGCTTTAATTCATTTTCCCCTAATGAGTTCTGAGTTGGAGTTTCAGTAAAAACAGATTAATTACTATTTTTAGTCCAAAGGGGCAATTTGCCCGGAAGGACTATTAATTTCGTTTTGGCATTTTGTGTTGAAAACTTTTAAAGGCTGTATCACTCTTCAAATCATTGTCACCATATATTATTGCCCTGTCTTATATTTAAAGAAATTAAATAATGAAGAATCTGTATAAATGTATGTATGTTTCTTGCACTGTGATCAAACAACAGGACCTAGAGCCATCCAAATTTGAATAATGTAATCTTTCATAGAATAAGGGCATGTGGAAACCCTAATTTGAATTTAAAATTTGTTGTATTATCGATTTCATATTTTGTAACACTTCAACCAATTTTTGATTAACAAACTAAACGATTTCAAAGCGAGCCATGGCAACAGTGTACGAATAAAACATTTTTATCTCCTGCGTGAAAGACTCTGTATCGGAAATTCTAAAGATATGCTCATTTTAAAATTAATTTGCGATATTGCTGTTGAACTGAATTTTTTAGTTTGAGTACATGGAACATGATATTTAATAAATAAAGGTAAAACACAAAACATTAAAAAAACACCCATTTGAACTTAATTTAAAATCTGAAACCTTTCACATTTTTATATTTTTATTTTCTATTATATTTTTCCCCTGTGTCATTTTCATTTTTATTTTTACAGTTTGTACTACTATGAATTCTTATTTTAATTTTGATATGCTGGAAGCACATTTGCATCAAAGTTATGGAATGTCTGTTATCTAGATGCTCCATTGCAATGCACTTTAGCTTCAAATAGTCAGTCATTATCTGCCAAAACTCAGTCATTTTCATATTCTATCCTAAGGTATGGGCATATGCAGTTTTGTCCTATTTTAGTAAAGCCTTGAAGTGTCACTTATTTCATAGAGTTTTGCCTTTGAAATATGCATTTTAATTATTAAAATTCCCAAAATATAAGCATTAATTTTTTCTGTTTTATTCTACGTTTAAAAAAGAAAAGAACACTCTTTTCTTTTATTTTGTTGAAATCTCATCTGTGTATTTATAGAAAAAAGAGAATACTCATATTAAATGAAAATATTCAGTAAAATCTTAAAGCTTCATGATTTTAGCACCTGAGTTAATTTGCATAATCAAAAACTTATATAATAAGAATTACCATGTTATTTGTTTGAAAAAGCAATAATTTGCTTTACTTTTTTTTAAGTCAACCAAATTATTTTCACCTGGTTTCCTGGCTTCAGAATTCTGATCTGGTCATTTTGAGTTAATGTCTAAAAATGTGCCAAGTTTCAAATTAGTCCAAAAAAAGAAAAGAAAAGAGTCTTAGATTGGCATAGATTTTGTGTACCAATTTGAAGACTTTTTCATCTACTTAGAGAGCAATGGCAAATTTAAAAAAAAAAAAATTCCGACAAAAATTATGTGTGTTGTAAAAACATAAACTTTAATTGATTATTCAAGTAAGAAATATTTCATTCAGGCACAATAATTAAATTTTCTTTAAATGTTATTTTGTATTCTTTTTTGTTAATCAAATGCTAAACTTATGTTTACTGTGCCCTTAAAACAGTTTTTTTTTTCCCTTTTCTAGATGATGCGGCTTGATGAATATTTTATTGACTCAGATTTAAATTGGATTGTTGAGAGTTTAGTTGGAATTCCTATATACATCAGTTCTCAAGAACTGAATGAATGCTCAATGGATATTTTTAAACTGGGCTGTTCAAAACGTATTTCTTGCGATGTAGCAAGACGCAAAGCTATCACTGTACTGATCATCTGGGCCTTAGTTTCAAACCGTGGAAAGCTGGCAATAGTTTTATGGCGTCATGTTGACCAACCTATAATGGTGGCCCTTGCTTCATCCTTGATTTTAGATAAAATACAAACTTATGTTATTGAAGGGAAGATGAAGGAAGGAATCATAGATTTAAGTCGGTAAGTACACTTGCTAGTGAAAAATTACATACTTTGATTAAAAAAAACTTTTAATTTGCTGCTGAAATATTTGTTATTTAGTGTAGAAAAGTTTCACTATTAGCAGAACTCAAAATGTGTTCAGTAACTAGAACCACACCTTATATCAATAATGTGGCTGTCTCTTTTCTGTAAGCATTGTATGCAGGGTGTTTCAGTACAGTGGTTACAAACTTTCAGGAGAGGTAGAGTACACTTAGATGATGGAAAATCACATAGCAGTGCATGCTTGGAAACGCTTTCCTGGTGCGATAATGAAAACACAAGAAAAGATGGACACTAACAGGATGAGAAAACATACTTATTATGCTTAGTATGGGAGAAAACAAGAAATAAGAACAGAAACAGACAATGATCATCATCAAAGAAGGTGTTCAAAATTACGACCTCGGACCATGATGTAGACCTCACATCTCCAATGAATGGCAGATTTTATGTTTGGGAAAATACCGACTGTCCCAAACTTCCCTAGCAGCTGCTGTAATGCATGCAACAAGTTCCTCAGCACTAATGGAGGTTTCGTACATCAGTGTCTTCACGTACCCCCACCGGAAGCAGTCAACATGAGTAAGGTCTGGTTATCTTGCTGGCCAATGGACCGGACCATGCCGATCCAGTATTGAAGTTATGTTGCATTCAGGTGGAGACACACATTCCTGTTCAAAGTAATAACTGTACTAAGCATAACAAACTTGTTTTCTTACCTGTTCATGTCCTTCCTTTCTTGCGCTTTGTGTCGTCACTATCACGCCAGGAAAACATTTCTGACCATGTATTGCTGTGTGATTTTCTTGTGCTTTGTGTCATCACTGTCACGCCAGGAAAGCATTTCCGACCATGTATTGTGTGATTTTTCCATTGGCTAGGTTTACTCTATCTCTCCTGAAAGTTTGTAACTGCTGTGCTAAAACACCCTATATATTTAGTGTAATGGATGTAAAGGAACTCTATTACTTTTCTTTCTTTCATTTTTTTAATTTATTTTATTCTAACAAGAAATAAGTAATTAATTTTTTTCTTTCTTACAAAATTCTATAAAACGAAGACATCTTTATAAGATTAAAAAAAAATTATTTATCTTTTCTTTTAGCCTAAACTTACAACTCATTTTTATTTAAACTAAAACATAATGATGAATTTAATTATTTTAAAATGGATTCCGATTTGATTTTTTTCCCCTTTGCATGGAAATTCTTAATTTTTTAGCATTTTAAAGGAAACCTTTAAAGGTGTTCATTATTTTCAGTGTGCAATTTTACGTCACACATAGATTTCATGGCAAAACAGAAATTTTTACCACACCAAGAAATATTTGTTGCAAGGTTTATATGGAAGCAATTTAGTTATTTTCTATAATAAAGAAGTTCACAAGTCTCCACATGGTGTTAATTTACAATGAAATAAAATTACAGTATTCATCTTTCTAACATTTTACTTTTGAACAATTTGAACGGCTTTGTTGAAATATAATAATTTATGTTTTATATCTGCAATTATTGCAGAACTCATTCTTAAACTCAAAGGCCTACAACTAGGCACTTAGGTTAAAATTGTGCCTGTTAAACTGAAAAATATGCACTAAAATTAGATTAAAATTTATTTTCAATCTTCTAATTTTTATATTAATTTTTTTAAACTTTTTGAGACTTTTATTACCGGCTCTTTGAGATTAAAATATTTCTTTAGTTTTTCAAATTGTAGTCTTTTCTAGTAGTTCTTAACACGTCTTTCTAGTAAATTTTTCTTCTGAGCATAGATGCCTTAGCTATGCACTTGTCTGTGAAAACTGCATTGATTGCATCATTTCCTTCCAGCTTGTCAGTGATGTTAAAGTTTTTTCAGTGTTTTAAAACAGGTTTTAAATTTTTACTTTACATTTGAAATCCTTGATATCCCATCTCCTTATCCATCAACGAATATTTTCCCAGTTAGCCATTTTATCTGTCTGGTAAAAATATTATCTTTTTCTTCCATTGTCAAAAACACATTCTTCCTTTTTGGTATCGTTTTAACCAAAATTAAAAATTGTTATATATTCTCAAAATCAAAGGTGGGACTAGGCCAAATATTGTCATGATAGAAGACAGCACCTTGATAACTGGGTTAAAAAAAATCGAGACTAGGGCTGGATTCAGAAATGTATCTGTGTCAGTAGAAAAACCAGGCATATGCTCATCTAGAATTAGTTAAAAATATATTATTTATTTTGCATATTTTTATATGATTGTTTTAAAAAATATACATCTTATAAACAATAAAAAAAAGCTAATAGCTGTCAGTAGCGTATTGAGCATAACTGGCGCCAGGGGCATGATACCATTTTGGCACCCCCTCAAAAACATATACAGTACAAAGTCAGAAATCTGGACTTCCATTATTTGGAATAATCTAAAATCCGGACCTCACTTTTTTTCTTGTATGCTTTATGCATATGCATTTGGTTTTCCTTCCATAATAAAACTTGGAGATATGAACTTAAAAATTCCGATTCTTAATTTCACTTAGACACTAAATAAAATACCTCATTATGGAAAAACAATAATGTAAGCTTAAATTTGTGAGATTAATAATTTGGCTCCATAGCTGAGTATCTGCTTGGCATACATCTCAAACCGAAACTTTCACCTATTTTATATCCCTAACGCCAACCTAGCGAGTCATTATTTATTATATTTTGCTTTCATCACCTCATGTTTATTAAAACATGGCAGCTTCATCAATAACTCATGCAGTGATGTCTAAACTTTTTTTATATATTGGTAATTGAATAACAAGAGTATGGCAACCTTTTATGCTAACATTATGCTTCGCGATCATTATAGATTTTTAAATACTCTAAGAAATGTTGACAAGGAAAAATTCAACAAAATTCCTTCTCATATGCTAAAAATAGATTTTGTTAATAAAACTCATAGGCCAAAAGATTACATTTAGTGCTATTTTAATTAAGAATAACTGATTATGTTATTCACCATAAACCCAGAAGCGGCGGCAGAATATGTCAGCACCGGACGGCAGAATTTAGGGAAGACGAAAATTTTGGAATTTGGGGAAGCACCGAGCAGCAAAATTAAGAGATGAGAAATTTTTTATGATTTAGGGAAAGCACTGGGATGCAAAGTTTAGGTGTGGTGAAAATTTAGAACTTAGGAAGGTGCTTTGTAGCAGTATTTAGGATCGTTGAAACTGCACCAGGCGGTATTTAGCGCCAGCCTAGATAAAAGCTTTAAGTATATGTGGGAGTTTATTTATTCAGGACTCAGATTAGTTTTAGGCATGTGCAAGAAATAAACGTAGGTATAGTAAATAACTAAACTAATACAATACAGTATGCAATAGGAGTAAGATAAAATTTAGCTTTCATCGCCAATCTTGTGATACACAGCCAATAATGTATAACGGACGCTATTAAGCTAGGCTAAAATTATCTTTACTGATTCTAAAGCATTTCAGTTAATGTAGTGGACTGTGCTGCTCCCCTAATCTTCTAGTTTGATCCAGCTTATTATTTTTTTCAGACTGTTATTATGACAGCAATTTTATAAAACTAAGCTTGAACTTTCAATTATGTCAAAAAGAGTTTCTAATTCTGGAGCTGCCAAAGGATCTACAAAGTGAAACTATGTTTTAATGTCCATTAAACGTAAAGTGGAATTGCTGCAAAAAATGGATAAAGGCATATGCGAGGAGAATGGCATTGGAAAATCAACTGTATATGTCAAAAGAAAAAGGAACTTTTTGAATTTTTTGTGGAAACAACTTAAACAACTTACATTGAAAGAAATGTTTAGTAAAATAAACAAATAAATATTAAGCCTTTTTTGTAAATTTTGATACTCTTTAGATCATAATTGTTCTTTATTTCATAAATTACGATTTCATATTTTTAATTCTATACTTTCTGCATGCCATCTTGTCAGATTTAAATTGAGGATCTATAATCCAGAAAAATCCCAAATCCGGAATCGCCGAAGTCCCGACAGGTCCAGATTTCGGACTTTGTACTGTAGTAATACAATATATAGAATATACTTGTAATAAAAATATAATACAAATAGTAATAAAATGCAGTATTTGCCTTAAAATACTTATAAGGTGCTTTTCTTCTCTTCCCTGCATGCCTTTATGGTGTAATGGTAGTATACTCAACTTGCATTCGGGAGGTCCAGGTTCTGGTGAGGGCATTACTCATTTTTCGTGTTTCAAGCATAAAAAATTCTAAAGATTTTACAAATGGCATCTGAACTAAAAGATGGTGGACAATAATTCATCACCACCAGGATTTGGGGATGGGGTCCCCTAATCCCCAGTTGCTCTTTAAAAGAGGAAGTACATAAGATATTTTCTTCCTCTTTTCTGCATGTCAAGTGATGATATTGGACGCATATTCAAGAGTTTCAGGCATTGAGACCTGGCAAGAGCATTGCATATTTTTCACATCTCCTGCTTCAAAATAACCTAATGACTATATATATAATATATGTATGTAATAATAAAATCACAAGAAAAAGCCGGAGCAGTGTCGATGCGTGATTAGACCCATATTGAAGAAGATTTTGATTGCATAGTATGCTAGTAATGCTAACTTTGGTAATATCTAAAGAACTTGGCAGTCGAGGCAGTTTTAATTCCATTTTTATTTGCAACTGATATTTGTAGCCAGAATCACTTGGCACTCTAGTCGTGCCTTTCCACAGAAGATTTTCATTTTTGATATTGTTGAGAGATAGAAAGCAAGCCAGCGATATTACATCTTAGCACAGTAGAGAGCAAAAGCTAAAGTGCGTCATTATGAAAGATGGAAGCACGCGAAGAGAAAAGTTTTGGTTTATAATTCGGTGATTGGTCGCCAAGAGGCATCTGGAATAAATGGTTACGTAAGATCGCATGATTAATTTGAATGATGCAATGCAGATAAGTTATTACGATTTTAGAATAGAGAGGAAGAATTAATGTTTATAGTTATATTGTAATTCTGATTCATACATTTTTATCTTACATATATATAATTGTAATATAATATCTCTATAACATGAAAAGCCACTACCTAACTACACCTCTGCAAAATACTGTGCAGTTTTTCTAAGTAAATGGTATACAGTTTTTTAGGGTAACAGGCTCCGGTTAGTCTTTAAATATGACACAAAAAATCTAGTTAGAAAATTGAAGACTAAGGACCAGATTCAGAAATGTGTCAGTGGAAAAATCAGACATACAGACAAATCTAGAATTAGTTAAAAAGATATTATTGATTTTACATATTTATATAATTGTTTTAAAAACATATAGTTTTCAAACAATGAAAAAAAGTTGATATATATTATATCTAAATAGACATATTTATTAATAAATAAAAAAACAATCTGAAAGTTTTCAGATTTTTTTCATTTACAGACACATACATGTTTCGAGAGCATTTGGACAAAAAATATTTAAAAACAGCATATGTAGAAAAATGTATTTTAAAACAGCATATGTGCAAACTCAAGAATGTAGAAGTTAAGGAGAGAAACATTTATAAAGTACTAATAACCTTTTCATATATAATGCAGAGAGTTGAACATCCGGAATTTGTTGCAAAAAATTTCAACAGTTAAGAATTACTAATTCAGAAATCAAACAACAAAAATCACCGTTATATTTTCAAATTTTCACAGGATGCTGATTTTTGTTGTTTGACTTCTGAATTAGTGTTTGTTCGGCATGTTATTGTGTCTTAAGTAAAGAAGTAGTTGCAAAACTTAACAGCAAAATGCATCAACTGCAATAAAGGCACAGCGAATTTTGGTGCAAATGAAAATTTACTGTGGTTTTTCAACCTCTTTCTTTAGTGGATTTGGCGCATTGTGACTTTTTTTTTTTTTTTTTTTTTTGGTGTGTATTTTGTTTTCTGAGCTGAAATTCAAATTTAAAAGTGCCTGTTTGTTTTTCTTATTAAATCACAGAAGTTGTTAGAGAGAGATTTTAATTAATATATGTCCAGGAATTTTTCCAAATTCAACACATGGATTATGATTTTTGCATACGTACTAAAGGAGATGAAGATCTGATTTAATTCATGTAATTTTTTTTTTTTTTTTTTGTTTCAGTTTGTTTGACTTTATTATTGTTAGGTTATAATTATCATTTTTCCATATCAAATCAATATAGTATTTGAATTTGTCTTTTCATCTGAAATATTTAATTAATAAATAGTAACTTTTAAAAATTAAACTCTAAAAAATAAATTAACCCCCTTTAAAATTTTTGATTATGTTTTCTTTCATTTTAGAAGATTTGCTGACATGGCCTTTGGTGTATTTGATCTCTGTTACAGCGAAATGCCTTCAAAAGCATATGAATCCTTAAGCAAGAAAACTACAGAATGGGCTGGTCATTCCATTATAGACATGGCTGCTCTTTCTCAAAACAGAAATTTTGTTGCTCATCCTTGTTGCCAGAAATGGCTTACAAATAAATTTATGGGTAATATAAAAATACGTGAACTGTCTTGGGGATTTGTAACATTTCCTGTATACATTAAGGTTAGTGCTACATTCATATTTTAATAATATAAAGCAGTTATATGTGATAGAATAAAACTGTTTCATAATTGTTATTTAATGAATCTGATATCTGTAATTCTTCTCAATATAGCAAATGTATACATTTTGTGGTGAACTTGTATTGATTTATAAATAGCAGTAATCCCACAACATTCTACCCCATACTTTGAAATACATCAGCATGGTATCCTCATTTTAGACATGGATATTATGAACAGTTTTGGTCTAGTTGCTAGCATGTCTGTGAATCAAAAGGTCCATTCTTTGATAAAGGAAACACAGTGCTTCAAGCAGCCTAAAACAAATGAGGTCACCTCTGTTCTATTATTTTATCCATGCTCTAGAATCTCTTATATGCCATCAAAAGCAGTGACACTATTATATAACATGATCTCCTTTTAAAGTGTTTCTCCTTACCTCCATCACCAGTAAATGAAAGCTACATCACAATGGCATGATGCTATTATAATCTTGACCCTCATCCCTCTGCTAAGATTATTGAACACATTTCTGTATTGCAACAAATCTTACTAATGGCCCATAAACCCTCGTATAGAAAATCTTTGATTTCATAATAGTAAATGATTTACTTATTCAGGGAATTAATTCATTTTTTCCCTTTAATTTTATGCTTTTTAATAAGAAATGCATTTTCAACCTTCACTTTTGATGCTTTCTTTGTTAGTTGATGCTTTTATACATTTCAAAGTAGCTTCTGATTTTGTTTTTTAAACGGGAGAGATACAATATTAACAAAAAAAAAAAAAAAAATGGGGCATTTTATATTGATTCAAGAAGTATCTATTCTTTTTTTCATTTGAACTGATTTAAAAAGTGAAATTTTTCTATACTCATGGCAAGTGATTTTTTATTGCTGCTTCAAGGAATTTAAAATGAAATACAGTTTTAAAGATTAACTTATAATAGTTTGCACCGAGTTTATGAAAATAATTTCAGTAGTAGAGCATAACATATGTTAATTGCTCTTGTGTAAAATAACCTGTACTCTAACTAAAAGCTTTAATATAGTCTGGGGAGAGTAAATCGGTGATAACAATAAGTGATCTAAGGATTATAAAAGATAAGTATATATATATTAAATTTTCACTTTATTTATTTGGCTTCTAACATGTTTGAAATATTTTTATCAAATGGGTGAATATTTCAATTTCTAAAAGAATTGCATTTCAGCTGTGGGACATTCTCTCTGCTTGAGCTTCTTTTATGCCACGCTTTTGCTAGGGAAAGTGAGGCATATATTCAGTAGAAACTAGCAATATCAGTCGTACTAACTTTTGAAAGAAGTATTGCTTGGTTAGCAGAATTTTTTGCTGATGATGTAATTTCAGCTTCATAAGAGTTATCTCATTTTGGGGCCCTTTTTGAAATTACAGTTTCTCTCAAAATCGTGAAGTACTAGATCCAGGTGTTAGTGGCCTCTGGCTGAACTTAAATACTGATTATTTTATTTAGTTAACAAAATTTTTTTAGGTTCAGAATTTCTCTAAATGAGGCATTTTAAATGCTATTCAAATTTTAATTTTGAAAATATATTATTTAAATTCAAATTTTTAATATGATAGTACTTTGAAACTGCTTCTTAAAAAAACATGGTCTATGGTATTCATTTATCAGCTATATAGTTTTAATACTTGAATTATATATTAAGATATCAGTGTCAAAACAATTATTAGCTTTCAGGAAAGGCAGTTTCATTCAATGATGCAGTTTCATATATGATCTAAAAATTTTCTTCTGTTTTGATGCCTAAAGTCACTGTCCATGTGAAATCAGTTCTTTTTTGGGAATCAATTGAAATATTTTAAAACTATGATATGACTTTATATATTCTATTTAATTTTTGCTCCAGTTTTATTTGAAAAAAAATTTTCTAAAAATTTTTCAGGTGATATTATGTTCATTTCTGGTATTTCCAATGTATTTATGGGTGCGTTTCAAAGACACTTTAGTTCAGGAATTTATTGGAGCAGATGGTTTGTATATTTTTTAAACTATGTTTGCATGCAAAGTTATAATATGTGCTAGCTGGTCATTTAAAATCTGTGTTGTATTAAAAAAGTCAAAATGTATTAGAAACATTTTAAATTTTGTTTAGTTCTTTTTTAAAAGATATTGATATTTTATGAGGATTGTAATTTTTCAAAAAATTAGGATTTTATGATGCATGCAGTACTCTTCTTTTTCATTTTCAGAATATGAAGAAAGTGCTCCTTTTCATATGCCACAGGAGACAAAAGAGCGAAGGAAAAGGTAAACTGAGATGTAGCACATAAAAATTTGTACTGGAAGGAAAATTTTTTAAGTAGTAAACATTTTATGAAAGGTTTATTAACAAATACATAGGAAATTAAATTCTTTATTCAATATTTTCTATTTTTAATTTAGTTAAATCAGTCATATGAAGAATGCAATTGTATTAAGAATATATTTGGGAAAATATGCTGCAATACAAAAGTGGAAAAGTTATACACTATTCATAAAGCATTTTTCACTTTACCATGAAAAAAATAATTATATATAAAGACTAAGTAATTTTGCATTCCTACATATATAATGTGTAATTGCTATGACACTTAATGCATATATATGTATATAATACATAATTACTCTTATGCATCAGATCTATACTTATCATGTATCTATGTTTATTATACATATCTATACTTTCAAATGATATATATAGTAATATGTCTTGCATGTCAAGTTGTAACCAGAGTTTCATCTAAAGACTTTGTTTTAGACAAGATTTGAAGTTTTTCTTCATTGTGTTGGAAGCAACAAATCAGTTCAGTATCAGATAGAGAATAGAGATCCTGTTAGGTATAACATTCTTTTAATTGCAGGAAGATGTGGTGATCGCTTTTTTTTTTTTTTTTTTTTTTTTTTTTTTTTGAGACATGTATATAGTTCTATGCTTATAATAAATCTGTTCTGCATTTTTTATTAGCAAAACATACCTACTTTCATCAAGATTTTATTTTTAAATATCCACTATATTATCTTGCTAGAAGATTTTTTACTTCTGTTAGGTCGTTTTAAAGATTGCTTAGCTAAAAGATGATCACTCTGTTATCATACTTCAATTCAGTGCAACCCAGATATTCTTAAATATCATTATCATTAATATTTTGCAGTTGTGGAAAAATATGAGGTATATCTCAATTTAGTTTACTATGTCACTATAACAGAAAAGCAGTGTATAAACATTAATCATGAAAATCTTCCAAACATAAAATAGCTTTAATTTTCTATGTGTAATATGATCTATAAAATATTTTTATTTAAATTCTGGTGTATAATAATAATTTTTTACGCAGCGTACCCCAAGAAGAAGCTGGTCGAACTCACCTTTTAAAGTACCACTATCCTCCTCTGTGGCAAATGATTTATTGGATGTGGAGTGCTCCTATAACAAAATTTTGGGTTTCACATGTAAGTTCATATTACATTTCATCGTGCATTTTTAATTTAAGGTATACTGATATAGGTTTTAAGTAAAAATGTATTTTGAATATAGTTTTATGTCTAAGAGTATAAATTTATGAATGATTTAAAATAATTTTTTAGGCTGATGAATTACATGGCAAAAATCAAATTATAGAAATTATTGCTTAATTTTTTAATATTAATTATTAGTTTAAAGTTTATAAATTTACAATACATAGATGAAGGGATAACTTTTATGAGTTATCTTCATTGTAAATGAGCATATTTCATTTAATAATAAGAGGTTCCTTCTGTTTAGGAACATTAACAAGGAAACATTTGCTAATTGTTTAAAATCTTCCAAAAATTCACTATAAGAAAACAAGCCTATTTTCCCTTTTTTTCTTCTTCTTCTTCCTTTTCCCTGTTTTTGAGAAAAAGCTTGCATCAATTTCTGTAGTTTTGCAGCATCCGTCAATTTTAACACTAGGATGTGATTAAAAAAACAAAATTGGCGTATACCTCTCTCATGTAATTATTTCTATCATCCATTGTGTAGGGATTCATTTGAAGCAATCTTTGCTTTAATGTTAATTACTGACACTGTAAGTAAATGAATTGGCAGTGATGGAAATAATTGTGATTCAGTAAGCCATATCTGAATTTGTACACCTGTTTCTTTCCAAAACGAAGGTTACATAGCCAATTTTTCCTTCAAGTCACAATTTGAATTCATAAGGTGCTTATTTGCACATAATCTTTCTTATGAAAAATATATTTTCTGGCAGAAAGAGGATAGTTGCTTGTTCATCTCTTGGGGAATCTCAAGTCATGAAACCCATCATAATGAGAAAAAAACTGATTATTAAACTGATATTAATTTATAAGTCAAAAAACAAACAGTACACATAACACATCCAACTTCAGTACTACGGTTTACCGTAAACCTTCATCGGTTTGCCTTCCACCACACTTCAAATCATGTCATCCGACTAAGCTTCATTTTATCCCTATGTTTTCCATGCTCTTCAAGTTTGCTCCTCCAAACTATCCCTTGATGAAGAACTAAATTATTTAAAAGTAATACCTATTGACAGGGGGTTTTCACCCTACATTATTAATCAAGCAGTTAAAAAATTCTCATCTCAACACACCAAAAGGCACACTCTTGTTTTAGCAGATTATAAAAATTCTGTGGTCATTCCCTTCTTTCCATCAGTTAGCTATATAGTTGCACATATTTGCAGAAATTTAACTTTCGGGTCGTTTATTCTCCCATCAATGAAATTCCGAGTTCCATACTCAAGGACCCCATTCCGGATATGAATTCCTAGGGTATTTATAGGATGCCTTGCCAGTGTGGTTTAATTTACATTGGCCAAACTAAGAGAGCCTTAAAATTTCGCGTCAAGGAACATGAGGCATATGTTAGAAAAAAGGAAACACAGAAGTCTTCTATTGCTCAACATTGTTGGTCCGAAAATCACACTTTCAATTTTTCTGCTGCCAAAATTATTCAAAAAACATCTTCCATTGGAGAACTGGATTTTTCTAGATGCATTTCACATTCAAAGAAATCTTTCTGTTCTAATTAACGATCCTAATTCCAATCCATCTTTGCCTTCGGCCTTTAAAGAAATTATGTTTTAGTTCGGGTTTCATGAACAGATGGTGCCACTTGCTTATTCTTATCCAGGCTTTCTTATCTTATCTAATCATTAGTTCCTATCTTGTTCATTTGCGGTTTTACAGCTGAGGATGATGGTTCGGTAAAACCATCAAAACTAGTCCTGTGAAAATTTTGAAAATATAACGGTGATTTTTGTTGTTTGACTTCTGAATTAGTACGTTGCATGATTGTTATTGCTTTTGTACAGATATATTTGCATTTTATTATTCATTTCATTGCATTAATTTAAAAAAACAGAAGTTTAAGGGTTAATTGGGGTTTAAAATTATTTGCAATGAAATCTATCGTACTGTTTGTACAGGGTTCGTAGCGGTCTTTATAAGTGCTTATAAGTCCTTATATTTGAAAATAAAATATAAAGGCCCTTATAGGTGCTTACTTTTTCTTTAAAGCCCTTATTTTTTGTTTTCAGTGCTTATTTTTTGCTTTTAGTGCTTTTTTTTTAATGAACGTGCTATTTTTCCCCGTACTAAAGCTGAAACTAAATAAACAACTTTTCTTCCTAATATGGAATGTCAGATGATGAATCATACTCTCCGAAATAGCTTTCCCCCCTTTCTCTGCATTAACATAAACTTTGGTGTGCACGAAGAGTACAGACAGGTGCCCGTCGTTCATTGGTCAAAGAATTGCGAAAGCAGTAGAAAATTCCGGTACATTCGGCATTCTTTTCCTCCCACCCAAATACTACACACGTTTGAATTTCTATTAAGATCTTCATAATTTGCATTCTCGTTCCGCTTGGTCAGTTCATATCCGTGTTTATTATGATCGTTATGCTTATATTATGAGCACATGTATGAATGTTTATAATAACATAGTTGCAATAACTGCTGAAGTATAGTAAACTTCCAAAAATGGTTGTGTTTTAACACAGATTAGCTTTCTAAGGAAAAATATTCGGAATGGCTTAAATAAAGGGAAAGTAATCGAAAAGTCAAAATAATTTCAATTTTTGGCCAATACATTATACAGTACGAAGATTGGGAGGTTCTCCTCTTTCTCCGCAAAATCTCGAATATTGAAACTGTTACAGTTCGCTGCAAAACAAGCAACAGACTTTTTTTTTTTTTGTCACTTTCCAATCTGGATTGAATAGGACTAAAAGTTCTGTGGTCTACCAACCCAAGCGAAAAATGATTCTATTTCGGAAATTTAACGCCGTCTGTTGAAAATTAGAATGAAAAATACCCCAGTTATTTAGTTCTTTATTCTCCCAATACCGGCAGCTGCTGATTCCAATTGCGTAATATCACGTAGGGAAGAATTACGGCGCACGTATTGCACAATAATGTTTGCGATATTTTGCAGAGATAATTAATTTTAATGTTCTGTCCGAGATTTGTTTATGAATACTCAAGGTTAAAAGAGTTTTACATTGCTTGCTAAGCAGAATATTTTTCAGTTCCATTGGTTTATTTTTATATGATGCACATATCAAAATGTCAAAAGCGTTTATTTAGCGGAAAAATCTAAAGAGCCGCTACAGTCTACCCACCCCCCTTCGCTCTTCTTTTTCAAGTTACGCTCGACTGTCCGAATATTCGCCAATTTCCAAGTATGCGGGTTAGATAAGCTTTTACTGTTAAAGGATGACTGCATGAGCAAATTTCTATCTTCTGATTTCAGAAATGTTCCTCTTTTTTACTTAAATTACTTTGCTTGCAATATCTGTTAAGGGAAAACTGATATACAATGAAAATTTAGAATTAAATTATTTAAATATCAATATGAGTGGAAAAATAAATTGTATTTATTATTATGTTCCAAGCGAATACCATAATATGCCTTATTATTTATTTTCTCTATTTTGAACTGAAATTTAATCATTAAATATTGTAATGTAGTTTAATTCTGCATAGTTTTTTTTTTCTGTCATTGTAAATTAGTTCTGTAAATTGAACTGTTATTTAATTTTAAAAAAAGTTATTATTTTCCATGGTTGAGGTAATACTTATTCTCTCTTAATAAATACTGCATTTCTCATATTTTAAATTACAATTCTAATTTTTAAGGTTATGCAGTTGTGTATAATGTAATTAGACAGGTGCTTATTTTTTTTTTCTTAAAATGTGCTTGAAAAGTGCTTATAGGTGCTTATTTTTTGAACTAAAATGTGGCTATGAACCCTGTTGTAATTTTTTCCATTTAATAAGTTTATATTAATTTTTCTCAACATTTCATTTTAAAAATTGATTTGCTTAAATTTTTGTGATAGGGAATATTATATTCTTTCATAGGACTTTAAAATTTTAACATCTAAAAATATATCCATTATAAAGATTTGAAATTTTCATATGTTATGATAATAAACTTTAAAACAAGATAATAAAAAATATTAATTACTCATCTCTTTAGAATTTTTTTTTAAACTAACGACATTTTTAAAAGATTTTTTTTAACTAGCTCATGGTGTTTATTGCTAAGACATTGATTTTTTTAACTATTTCTTGATAAGCATTATGAAATTTTGCACATACATGGTGTGAATGACCAGTGTGGTGCAGGGATATGTTTTCTAAAATTTTATTTAGACTTTTTAAAATTTAATATTAAAAGATTTTTTGCACATATCTTTGTTTAACAAACACCAAAAATCTCAGAATTGGGCTATTTGCACATGGAATAGTGAGGATTAAAAATCTTTGAAATAAAGTTTATATAAAATTTCTAACAATTTTTCTGATTTTTTGATGAATTTTTGAAAATTGCTCAGTTTTTCTGACCAGAACTGCAGAATTATTAATGCAACAGAATTATTGGAATTAAAACACGAATTTTTCATTCTTGAGAAACGATTTTTAACAGAATAATTTAACACCATGATGAATAAAATCATGAGCAGCCAAGTTATAAAAATCTTTTAATCAAATTGCATCATCAAAAGTATAAGCCATTATCTTCATTAATTTATGAAGAGCACCTCATGATTTTGTTTTTATTATTCAGGATATAAAATTTTAGATGAAAAGAGATTATTTACTCATTTCCATTAAACTATAGAATACATTATTTTTCTTCTTTTAGTTTATTAATTATTTTATCCGTTTTAGCCTTTTCAAGCTATGATGGCCATTAAATTGCCCATAGTATTCTTTGTTTGAAAGGATAGGGATGTCCAGTTCAGTGGTGATGTCTTTTTCCTGCATTTTGCAAGCTGAAAGTATGGGATGAATTGTCAGGTTTGACGTCCCTGGAGACTTCTTTTTTTCAAAGGTCTTTGTAATAAGGATCCGGTTTTCCTTATTTATTTCCTGTTCATTGTCTCAATTGCAGAATTCAGGATCATTGAATTCTTAAACTGCAAAAATAGTCTTGTGTTGCTTTGGAATATTCTGTATTTTTACAAGATTTCTTGGAGTTATTTTGCTTCATTTTATAGCAACGTGCCAGAATGAGAAAAAGGACTGACTGAAAAAGAAACATGAAAGCTTCATCAAGAGCTCGTAAAGTATTAAATTATGTAACATAAATAAATGTGAATAATAATACAAAGCATTGATAACTGTGTTGCGACTTTTTTCCCATTCTTTCAAAAACTATGTACACCGCACAATTTTCCTTTTCCAATATAAAAGCTTTCTGTTATGTAGTTTAAAAAAAAATCTTAATTTTGGTGACACAGTTAAATATGGTCTCTTATTCAAACTGTGAATTTAGTTAAAAAAAAAAAAGGCAAAGAGAATTCATAAATGAATATGGCATTTCCTGGTGTGGTTTTGTAATATTAAATAAGTTAATATTTTAGCAAATTAAATTCATTCTATTATTAATAACTGAAAGCTAATATTACTTGCTAATTTTCAGTAAACCTGTAAAATGATACTTGTTCAAAATCAAAAATAATTCTCTATTTTCTAATTTTCATAACCCAGATATACTATTCCAGAATGTAGTTTCTTAGCTTCTGTTTTCCTGCTTTATTCTGCTGATATTTGTTAAACTAAATGTAAATTAGACGCATTTTAGTAACGGAACATTGCAATATGAATAATGTATTGTATAACAAAGTCATTTTTTAATTAAACATCACATATTCTAATTTCTTAACAGCTTTACACCTGAAGCATTGCGCTTTCACACAAATTTTCAACATTTATTTAGACTAAAGTTTAAATTTCAGCTTTTTCATAATTTAAATTTTAAATCATTTCTGTAGTGTTAATCTTTTATTTCTTAATCATTACTTTCACAGGAAAAAAATAGATTTCAGATATTTTTCATAACATATACAGCAAAACAGACTAAGAAATAAAAGTAACTTTGGCAGTATGTAACTATTCTATTTACTTCAACATTTACATAGTGCCTTTTTTTTTTTTTTTTTTTCCCTCCCAGTTTAGAAAACTGTGAACTTTTGTAAATTTAAGAAAAGGAATACATAAAAATATCTGGGGAAAAATTCAGATTTAATAAAATATGAGAGGGAGATTTGATAAAAACTAACAGACTAAAAATATCTATAAAATAACAAAATAGTAAGGAGTTTTATAACTTTAAAATAAAAATGCAGTCAAACTAGTTCTTATTAATACTTTATAAAGACAATTTAATAAGGTAAATTAAAGGTGTTAGTTAAAAATTCAAACCTTTTCATTATTTTTTTTTAAAGAGAGCTTTCTTTTATAATATGAAGAAACAGAATGACCTTTACTATAACATGAATATACTTACCTTTTAGTATCACTGAGTAGTCTGATTTTGGAATAATTGCACCTTTGAAATTTCCCTCTGTAAGGAAAAGCAGCTAGCAGTTTAGTCAATAGTCACTACATTATCCTCCCTTTTGTGAAGTAAATGAACCTCTCTAAGCATGAAACAGCAAGGGACTTCCTCAAAGGGGGAAAGCATTAGGTTCCAGAAACATCTTTTTAAGGAATTTACAGGTTTTGAATTTGAGCCCCAAGCTCAAAAGATTAAATAAAAGTTTATTTTATTAAAATATTTTTAACCTTATTTTATTTTGCTGCCTAATTTTCTGCTTAATTAATTACTTTGTGATATAAATTACTAATAAGTTTTGTATATGTATTTTTAATGATTTGAATGATTTTTTTATCAATGTCTGATAATAGTTGTAGTTTAATTATTCATTTTTTAAAGATTTAAATTTTTATGTGCAATTAGCATATATTTATTATTTTTTTGTACAATAGGTAACAGTCATCTTTATTTTTAGATGCTCTATATTGTATATTTGGGGATTTTTAGTTTAGCTGTCATTTGGACATCTTGTGGCAATAAATATCTAGATATTTTAATTTGTGTTTGGACAAGCTTAATTGCTGTGGATTCATCTTATCGAATTTATGCTTTAATTCAGGTATGAAAAGAAATATTTCACTTTTATTAAATAGGATTCCAAAAACATATATGAAGAAATATGATATGCAAACCTTCTTCTTTGTGCTTTTGTTTATTTAACAAAGCTTAAATTGCATGTTCAGACTGAATGCATTTATTTTGCAAACTTAAAAATATTCCTGGCATATAGTTAAATTTTAATAATTGAATTGAAATATGGATGTATTTAATGATGAATTTTCTGTAAGTGCATCATATATTTTTATAGGTAGAAAAAGTATCAGGAGTATGATTTATAACTACCCAGTTCTAATTAATCAATATTGATTATTTTCTTTTTTGTTGTAAGAAACACAGCTAAAACTTTTCTGTTCTAAAATTAATCATTGCAGTTCTTCAAATTAAAAAAATAATAATAATTCATTTTAATTTTAAGAAAATAAATGAAGTAAAATATTAAAACGTGTCTAGTGAATATTTTGATTTAAATTTATGTATTTAATTAATTCAGTTCACTAGTAAATGTGTTACCTGTTTATCAGAAGTTACAGTAATAATAGGAGAAACGAAACATGATTATATTTCTGTTTGCAGTTCTGTGTGTTATTTGAATGCACTTTTCCTGAATGCTAAATTAGCCAAAGCACCTAAAGTGTTTATGTGTTGTGCTCATGATCTCCCGGTTCTCTAGTTTTTTATGCTTTGTAATTTTGTTCTTGAGAGGTTTATCAGAACTACTGTGTATGGATTACCCCTACCTACCATATTAATTTTAAACTAGTGATTGAAACCTTGTCACTGAATTTCTGCAATACTGCATAATTTTTTGGCAAAGTTTGAATCGCTGATAAAGGAAATCATACATCTTGTAACTGCTTTGCAGCTAAAATGCATGTGGCATGAAATTTATTCTCATTTTAGTATATGTTGATATCAAGATACAGAAGTTTTTCTTCTAAGGTAAAAAACAGTAGCTTGAAGAAATAGGTTGCCTCTGAAGTGGAGGAAATGAAAGAAATTACTTTTTGAATTATAATATTTATGTCATTATAGCTATATTTTATTCATCTGTAGCATTATTATGAATTTAACTATTGGCATTTTCTATATTATTTAATAAGTCTCATTAATATATTTGCAATAGGCTTTTATTTGATAATATATTTATGTACTTTCTATAAAATCTATTATCATATGTGTAAATTTAGATATATTCTGGAATTGAATTTCAGTCATATCAATAACAAATTAGAAAAATAGCAATTATAAAAAAGAATGGGAAATAAATTTTAGCTTAAAAAAGGGGAATGAAATTATAAAACTGAATCTACATTACCTTCTATGAAAGTTCTTCTAGCTTTGATAATAAAGAAAGAAATTTTTATAGCGTGTGTTAGAAAACCTGAACAAACTATTTAAATAGTTAAAGTACATAACTTTTTAATATTTTAAGATTTTGTTTATTATATTTAATATTTTCGGGCACGTTGGAGCTAACATTGCAGAATTTTTTCATAATTTGCATAAAAATTAGTTCATGTATTGTTTTCACTTAGAAGAACATGGACAGAAATGTGTAAATTTTAAAATGAGTGAATTAAATCTGATATGCTTCATCACTAGAAAAGAAACATTTCTTTGTCTGCCTTCCTTATTACTTTTATACATTAATGTTATTTATTATTATTATTTTCTTGGTGCAACTTAAGCTGCAGATGCTTCACGAATAATTTTCCCCTTGGCCTTGGCAGCAATGTCTGTTCTTTTGTGTAACTACAAATTAAACATGTTGTTCTATTATTTATTACTGTTTAGTTTATTAGCCCAAAGTGGCAATTTGCCCAGAAGGGCTGTTAACTTTGTTTTGGTTAGGTTAGGTTATTTAATTATGGCAAAGCCTCGAGGGCTATCTGCCTAAGGGTAGAGATGCCTTCGTGGAGGACTTTCTAAGGAAAACTGACTCATATACATGTTACACATGGGGAAAACTTCGAAAACACCCATGCAGCCAGCCGTTCGCGGGATTCGAACCTCGGACCGAATTACCAGTGTTCAGTGACTTTACCGCTCGGTCAATGGTGAGCCAACTTTGTTTTGGCATTTTGCGTTGATTTGCTATAAATGTCGGTTCACTTTTCAAATTGTTGCCACCAAATATTACAGCTCTGCATTATATATAAAGAAATTAAATAATGAAGAATCTGCATGAATGTATGTATGTTTCTCGCACTGTGAAAAAACAATGGTACCTAGAGACATCAAATTTTGAATAATGTAGTCCTCCATTTGAATTTGGGCAACTGGAAGCTTGAACTTGGAATTTGTTTTATTACCTATTTTATATTTTGTCAAACATTTTTATTAACAAACTGGACAATTTCAAAGTGAGAATGGCAACACTGTACGGGGGGGGGGGGGGAGCTTTTATCTCCAGCATGCAAGACTGTGCATCGGAAATTCTAACGATATGCTCTTTTAAATAGTTTGTGATATTGCTGTTGAATTGAATTTTATGGTTTAAGTGTGAATTTAATAAGTAAAGGTAACACCTAAAACATTAAAAAGATCCCTTTGGGCTTAATATAAAGTCTGAAAGCTTTAAGATTTTTTTTTTATTTTTTTTATTTTGAATTTTTATTCTAAAGGGGCAATTTGCGTAGAAGGATTATTAATTTTGTTTTCGCATTTTGCGTTGATTTGCTATAAATGTCGGTTCACTTTCCAAATTGTTGCCACCAAATATTAGAGCCCTGCATTATATTTTAAAAAAATGAATTACGAAGAATCTGCCTAAGTGTATGTATTTTTCTCACATAGTGATAAAACAATACCTAGAGCCATCAAATTTTAAAAAATGTAATCCTCCACCGAATATGGGCATCTGGAAGCCCAAATTTGGAATTTATTTTATTATTGATTTTGTATCTTGTAACACTTTAACGAATTTTTGATTAACAAACTGAACAATTTCAAAGCGAGCAATGGTAACATTGTACGGGGGGGGGGGACATTTTCATCTCTAGCACGTGAGACTGTGTATCCGAAATTCTAAAGATATGGTCATTTTAAAATTATTTTGCAATATTGCTCTTGAAATGAATTTTATGGTTTAAATGTGAAGAACATGATATTTAATAAATAAAGCTAACATAAACGTTAAAAAAAAGCCACTTTGGGCATAATATAAAATCTGAAAGCTTTCAGATTTTTAGTCCAAAAGGGCAATTTGCCCAGAAAAACTATTAATTTCGTTTTGGCATTTTTCGTTGATTCACTATAAATGTTGGTTCACTTTTCAATATTATTATTATTAGTAGTAGTATTCTTTATTTTTTTTTTATTTGCTTTTACAGGCATTTCCAAACACACCAGTATTTGCTTCATGTCTTGAAGTGTTATACATGATCCTTTTTGTTATTTTTTATGTTGCACTACGTCTTCTAAATATAAAAGGATTTCAGGATCCTTATGCTGGTAAAATACTGCTGTGTGCCGGATTGCTTTGTTTCTATTATCGTATGATTTTCATCTACTTACCTATATCATCAACCCTTGGGCCATTACTTTATAGAGTAAAGCGCATGGTAAGTTGAACCCTATGCATGCAGATTTGATAAAGGTGATTATTTTTAATTGTTTTAAATTTAAAAATAATTTGATGAAACTGATAAATTTTTATTAATAACACAGGAAAATGTAAATTGTGTTTACTAATTTCTTTTCAGGTTACTGTTGATTTTGTGAATTTTTTAAAGCTAGTATTCTTAATTTTGATTGGCAATGGTATCGCTATTCAAGCAGTATTGTATCCTGACTATCCTTTAGTTCCCGAAATGGTTCGCAAGTCATTTCATAAAGCATTTATAGCATTTTTTGCAACTCCAGTTGAAGAACTAGCTAGTAATTCAAACTTTCCTACTATATATTTTAAATAATCTGAAGTATACTTCTATTAAACTAGTATACATAATGAAAATGATGCATAGTAAATTATCACTATGCTGACAAGTATCTCAGAAAATGTTAATGCATTATTTTCTCCTGAACAAGTTTATGTAAATGATTATGTAATAAAATTTTGTAATGCAATATTCATAATTTATCAGCAAAGGTAAAATTTCAGAAAAATGTGAATGTTTAATATTGTACGAAAAAATACTTCAGCATGTAACAAATTAAAAAGTAATGACACTGACAATAACCCACCAGCCATTAAGTGGCCAAAATAGTTAAACACTGGTAATTCATCTCAGATTTAGGACACAGTAATCAAATAGGCCAGGGATGGCCAACCCACGACATGCATGCCACAGGTGGCACGTTAGAGTTTAAACAGCGGCACGTGAAGACTTATTGAAAAATTAAAAGATTTGAAAAATAATAATATTGTCTGTAAAAATTTTGAAAATATAACACTGATTTTTGTTGTTTGACTTCTGAATGAGATTTATTCGGTGTGTTATTGTGTCTTAATATTGTCTGTATGAACTCTGTCTACAGATACACACATAAACACAATAGAATAAATTTAATAACTCTTTGAGTTTTAGTTTACATTTATTTCACTATAGTGACACTCCATCACAGTACTGCTGTAGGTTTCGATCAGCATATATTTGTGAATAAATGTTTTCTATTATGTTCATAATAGAAAACTAGTAATAGAACTATTAATTTCATAATTAATAGTTCATAATTAAAGCATTAAGTTCAGGATTAACTGATATGCAACTAAAACATTTAATTTGTTAGAATCTTCAAGAACTAATCCAAATAAATATACATGACTTGGTAAAAAAATAAATAAATAAACCCTTCATATTGAAAAACCACATTAATTATGTATTGAATGCTTAATAGCTATTGAGAATTGTTTCAGATTATTAATTTTTATTTTATACATAACCTAACTAACTGAACCTTTAAAAATGTTTATTAACAATAAAACCCTAGTCTGTACGTTTGTTTTGTTTATTATATTATTTTTTAAATGTCTGTTACTCAGACTTGCATAAACAAATGTGCTGTTTGCATAAAATTCCAATAATCAGCCTATAAATAACATTTTTCACCTTTTATATTTTTTGATATGTTAGAAAATTTGAAAGTGGCACACACAACTTACTTTTTTCAGGTAGTGGTACTCTTCCTAAAAAGGCTAGCTCTACCCCTGAAATAGGCTGAATGTATGAATTTACTTCATATGTAACTAAAACATGAAATTGTTTCTTTTACAATGTCCTTCTAGAAAGTGCTTTGTGTTATGAACTGACATTTCTTCTAATGAATATATTTAATTCAAATTCATTTAGCTATTGCAAATATTGTGATGGTAGCATTCATTGTTTCACAGTATTGATAATGAAGTCAAAATTACTAAATAACAGATGAAAATTATTATCATTATTTTTTATATAAATCAGAATTTTTGTATGAATGTTAAGGATTAATTAAACGTTTTCTAAATTATGATAATATGCACTATTTACTATAATTTCTGACCTCCCTTCCATTCCAAATAGGGTGCTACAGTATGATTGGACTCTGTTTTTTAATTAAAGAAACACAAACTTCTTTGCTCAAATACTGTTTGTAACATTACATTGAATAATCAAAAGATGCTTTAACTGTATTTGCATTGTACTGCAAATTGTACTGCCCCTAATAATATTATTTCATACATTTCTTCTATCAAGAATATAATATTGCCTTTTGTTAGCCCAATTCAAGTAATGCTAGTTTCTTACCTATGACACCTATGACATGGCTTTTCTGCATGCATTTTAAACTTATTCAGCTTGCCTTAATGTTTACTGACAACAAGCATTAATTTGGGTCTAGTTAAAAGAATTGCATGAAATAGAGATTATCAAAAAAGAAATGTCTTTATTCGATACTGCTCTGTTATCAGGACCGGCTTAAAAAATGTGTGCATGTATGGATGGACAGATAGATGTGTTCATGTATGCATGTATATATGTACATATGAATGTATGTATATGTATACATATATATGCACATACATTTCTGAATCTGATACCGATAAACGGATGAGTACTCTTTATTCTGCAAGGTCCATTTTTTTCGGTGAGCTAACATTCAGTTGTTTCTGACACTTGGGCATGGCCCTATCCCAGCACAGCATTATTTCTTTTCAGAACATTGAAAAATAGCATTGTATCCATTCGTAGTAGTGAAGAAAAATTTCATAGAGCAATTGCGGCAGAAAAAAATGAAGTGATAGCAATTAGAGCATTATTTCAGTAGAAACAGCAGAGTCTATGTAAATTAAATAGCAGTTGTAGGACAATGATAAAATAGAGTCTTGAGTAATGGCGCAGATGGAAAAAGCAGAATTTGTGCTGAAGAGCCAAATTTTCGAATATATCTCCAAGAGCTAGTAGTAGTGGAAGCAGCCCATTTTTAAAGACTGAAAAATGTACCAAAATAATTCAAATAATAAAAAGTACTGATGAAATGTTTTGAAATTTTTGTCTCACTTTAGCAGCGTCAATATTTGCTCCATTTATTTCACAGCACACCTTGAATTTGTATTCAGACTGACGACATTTTTAGTTACAGTTGTGATGATTGGTGTTGATCTTTACTCTATGTGTTGGAAATTCTGATCCTTTTCTCAGATACAGTCAAAAGTCTTTAATCCGGACGTCCATAACCCGGAATGATCTATAATCCGGACCTCAAAGCTACAAACTTTCTGCGTGTGCGTAAACGCATTATGCGCATGCGCATAATACCTTTACGCATGCGTGTTTAATGTATAATGGATGGTATAAGCTAAGCTAAAATTATCTAAATATCTATTTCAGTTAATGTTGCAGATTGCACAGTTCCTTAATCTTCTAATTGGATCCGGCTTATTATTTTTTGCAGACTGTTAGAGCAATTTTATAAAAGTAAGCTTGAACTTCAAAAGGAATTGTCAAAAAGAATTTCCGATTCTGGAGCTGCCAAAGGATCGAAAAAGCGAAAGCATGTTTTGATGTCCATCAAACAAAAAGTGGAATTGTTTCCTTTGTTTCTCTAACCATTCCAAAATCTGTTTATCAGTTTCACGCTACTCTGTGGGGCGAGGACGTCACGGCGCGCAATCAATTGGAAGTTGATCTGTCAGCACTATCCTTATCTTCAGGGCAGATGTTTTTATTTTATTCGGCTTATAATTCCGTACTAAATGTAGTATTTCATCTCGATGTACTCCATCTTTGATATTATTTAAATCAAATTCCTCGTCATTATAAATATCACGAATACACATCAAATAATTTTCTTGTTGCAATTTTCTAATTCCGACTATGCGTAATGTATGCTTTATGCATGCGCGCGTTAAAAGAAATGTTTAATATAAAGTAAACAAATAAATATTAAGCCTTTTTTTTTTTCCCCTAAATTTTGAAACCCTTTAGATCATAATTGCTCTTTATTTCATAAATTACTGTTTCATATTTTTAATTTTATAATTTCCTCCTGCCATCATACCAGATTTAAACTGATGATCTATAATCCAGAAAAACTGATAATCCGAAGACGCCGAAGTCCCAACGAGTCCAGATTAAAAACTTGACTGTATAGTCTTCTTTTTTATTTTCTCATAGAAAATAAGTACAGTGAAATATGATAATAGTAACTGAACCAGTTTAGTATTGCTAGGTTAAACCAAGATTTGCCAGTAAGCAAAACTGCAGAACTATTTCCAATCCTTTCCTATGTCCATGAAGACTTACATTGCTTCTCCCTATTTTAACACTTCAATCATTTAAATATGACAGCAAATGTGAGTAATATGTTTATAAACTGGGCATTCCTTTACATTATTATGTATAATAAAATAAACGAAATTCCATAATGCATGTTGTTATTTGAAGTGCTTGTAACATCAGGTTGGTTGTAGACTTTTGTTATGGTATTAAAAATATTACTTAGAAATTAAATATGGGGTAACAATGATGTAGTCTGTATCAGTGTATAGACCTATTTGAATATTTAAATGGTAATGTTCTTTGTCATTCATGATAGGATGCTCTTTGGTGACATAGTTTTAACATAAATAATGATTCTTGATGTATTTAATAATAATGGATGTGTATTTATATTTATTATTAGTTTTATTTTATGAATTGTGATGGAAAAGTTTTATTTGTTCTTCTTTCTTTAAGAGAAAGATCCTAACTGTGTAACATGGGAGCAAAAGCCATCGGATGGAATTATGTGCAGAGTTGGAGATTGTAAGTTTTTTTTTTTTTTTTTTTTTTTAAATTTTATTTTCACAATGAAGCTTTACATTTGTGTAAGAAATCATATAATTATTTTTTTTTTTTATTTTTACTTCAATAAATTTGAATGATAATTCTTTTAAGTGACATTTTAAATGTTTTTAAAGTATTTTGTTTTAGGAATATTGGGGTTTGTGTTTACAACATATAGTTATATGCTCTGAAGCCTCACATGTATTCCACGTATTCATTAAAGAACTTTTTTCCCCCTTGCCTGTAACGGCAATATCAAGCTCTTTCATTTGTGAAAAGTAATTAAAAGGTGCTATGTTATTTAATTTCTCAGGCTAATAATCAAGATCATGAAACCACTGAAAATGCATTCGGTGTCATTTTAATTTGGGGCAGAGGGAGGTATCAGTGTATATGCATAACATAAATTTTTGTATGATTTTTTTTCCTCTTTTTATGTATATGTAATATCAGTGCAAGTTGATTTTCCTTAAGGAGTCTTTTACATATACAGCTACTACAAGTCAGGTGATTCTTGTTTGCTCTGTCATAATAAGTTGTTCTGCCTTATTCAGCAAACATTTTCCATATTTTACCAAACATATGCTTATTACCTTAACATATGCTTACATTTATCATATGCATGTTTTTCTTTTAGATGTTGATGGAACTTGTGCAACAGCTGATGGATTCTGGCCTTATCTTTTCCTCTTTCAATATATTCTCCTTTTAAAATTGATACTAATAACTGTGTTGTTTGCTCTTTTCAAGTAAGATTTTGTTAATAGTAAATTTTGTTTTAATTACTATATTCTGAATGTAAGCAGTGACTTTTAATAAATGTTATTTAACTAGCATACTGTAAAATTTCTGAAGGAATTAATATGTTCTTTAAAACAGAAATGTAGTGCTTTGTGGACTATCACAGAGTCATCATTACTTTGAACAAGATCAGTTTGCATAGTTAGTCCATGGTCTCATATAATCAGTATTGCTTCCCACAACTCTAGTGCAATAAGAATTGAGATACATTTGATGATGCAAATTAGAGCCATTTACTTTTTCATGCATAACAATAACAGTAATAGGAAATGCATATGTATAATAATGGTTGGCCAGAATTGGCAGGCAAATTATAGCTCAACTTCTGTAGCATAAGGTCTGTTGGGTGTATTTCTGCATCTGCTTATAAACATCGCATGAATTTCTGTATTGAACCAAAATATGATTTACATTCTATTGCAATTTAATTGATCTGTTAGAAATTTAATAGTTTTGCCTTTTTCATTTGTTGTCACTTCATAATGAACTATCAGCCTTTTATTAATAATGTTTCTATAGTCAAAATTTTCATAGTAAAACTTATTTGAAAAAGTTATTTGAAAACTGGTATTTTCAATTGTGATGCAAATATTTTAGAGCCAAACTTTCTCTCTTAATTCCAACATGCTCATTAATGAAAGGGTACTTTTACCTTCCTCCTTTCTAAATGAAAGCATATGATTAATTTTTTTTAAAGTTTTTACATAATTTACTCATTTACTCTTGTCATATACAACTTCAGAAATTTAAGGTTTGTGGTAATATATTATAGCAGGCATTGCCTACTAAGGATACTAGATTTAATTTCACACAAAATAAAATATATATGTATATTTCTACATGCATTAATTGCCCTTTTTTCAAGAATGCAGTATTCCATAGAATGTTATTTTTTTATTTGAATTTATTCTCTTGCATTTGAATCAGAATAAAATATTAATGCTTAGTAACAAATTATTTTATTATGATTGATGTCATTAGCTCATTATTCTGCAATAATTCTCTTTGAATGACAATCAGAAATTAATCTATATGCATTTATTATGATGACATATTATTATTTTTTAATTTAAATATTAAAATTATCAAGTTTTTTTAATGTGAAGTGTAATATATTTAAATTTACAATAAAAACTAATATTTAAAAATGTGATTTTGCTGAAATTGTAACTGAATTGAAGATTCATTTCTTTTTCAGTAATACTGGAGCTAAACTTGGACCAGAAAGTAATTCTATTTGGAAATATCAACGCTATAATCTAATTGTAAACTTTTCCCTCTCATTGCGATTGCCTCCACCTTTGAATATATTTAGTCTAATAATATTAATTTATCGAGGCATTTTTCATCTGTATAAAAAATGCTATGCTCTGCTTCAGTGGAAAAAGCATCAAGTAAACCTTTTTATTCCTCATAAAAAATTTTATTTAATATTTAGCATGTTCACTTCTGATTGCATGCTGGTGCATGATGTGGTATTGTCATCTAATAGCCAGCATGTGGTGAACTATATGTTTCTATGTTAGTTGGCTTCTTGTTATGTTTTGGATATCTACCCTGACAGTGAATACGTTAATTTTTACTGATTTTGAGCATACGTTTTATTGTAGAATAGAACTATGAGAGAAATCTGTGCTTTTAGAAACCTTCAAGCAAAGTTATGAGACCTGTAAATAATATATTTCATGGAAGAAGTGTAGAAAATTAGTACATTTTATTTCATTTCCTGCTCTTTGATTTTTTTCTTTTTTGCTTTAGCTGAAAGTATACAATCAAAAAACTTTTCATATTTTTTATGTATCTCAGTGATGAAAATACACCCTGTCAGTTTTTAAAAAATTGGGAATCAGCTTCATTAACATGTTGAGCGTGGCACTGAACTTTTCTCCGGGACGGTGCCAGTCCCTAGGGACCGGCGTTAGACTTTTCGTTTGGCCAACATCAATCCAGTGGGACCGACATTATTAAAGTTAAAAGATAAATGTCGCCTGAATGAAATGTAGTCAAATATAGTTTTTATGAGCTTTAGTAAAGCATTCTAAGCAAAAGTATGGCTGGGATTTACACACGTAACAAAATGCAACAACCTATTTTGTTATATTTTTGGCTTTCTTGTGCCCAAAAAATCTTGAATTTTCAGCATAACAACCAGAACAACATTTCCAAACTTTATGGACGTCTCCTTTCTTTTCCTGCAATTTATGAAGAATTTTTCCTTCGCGAAGCGGAATTTGTTCATCCTTTCGCTGTGTCAGTCCTCTCACCAATTGTCTCTGAAATTTTGTAACTGATATTTTTTGTCCTGTTACTTCTTGAAAGAGAAACAGCGACTTGATCACAGCAGTGTTCAAGCATAACTCAAAGGCTAACTTTTTATACCATTTGAGAGTTTTCCTCAAGGGACTGCTATACGCACTCATTTGATCTGATAAATCAATGGATGTCTTTGCTTTATTATAATTCAACTATAATTTGGGGTTTACAGCAAATTCCGTGTTTTGTTTTTATTTCTATCATTTCACTTGAATGTTTTGTGGACAGGACCAAAACATCTCTCTTGCCCTTCCATTTCAACACTGTAATACCCTGATTATTATTATTATTATTATTATTATTTTTTTTTTAGCTATAAGTTCTCCACATTTTAAATCAGTTCTTATCATATCACTTGGGTTTTCCCTACGATGTGTTCGAAGCTCTCCAATCAAATTTGTGCTTTTTTTCTTTAGGCGATTCGCTAAATCGATACTGGTGTACCAGTTATCAGTACACAATGTGTGGCCTCTATGAAATAAGTTTTTCATTAGAGACATTACAACATTTGACGGGGTTGTATTTTCCTTATCGAGAGTTTTTCCGGTGTACACATTACAGTTATAAGTGCATCCATGACCACAACATAATTTAAATATTTTTATACCATGTTTGTGTTTTTTCTGTTTCAAGTACTGCCTGAATACAATGCGCCCACGGAATAGAATTAGTGATTCGTGAATGCATAATACTTCTGGTGGATTGTAATATTTTTGAAAATTTGTATTCAATTCATCTATGATGAATTGAATTTTTGATAAATGGTTATTTACGACAGCTGCTTCGTTGTCAACGAAATGCAACATTCTCATTAGAATTTCAAATCTTTCTCTGCTCATTACGCTTTGTGGGAATGCTTGTGAAAATAATGGATCTTGAGACCATTATAGATTAAGGAGGGACGGTTTACCATACCCATCCATATTAGCAGCCCAAATAAACACTTCAGCTCATTTTTGTTAGTTGGTGTCTATTTAATTGTACGTTTAGAAATGATTCTGCATTGAGAGCATAGAGGTTTGTTTGTTCACTGATGTGCTGAAATATTTCGTCTCTAACGAAAAGTGCTTTTGTACAAATCCACACTTTCTCGTTAGTTGTTTTGGCGCTTGAAGTATGCGTAAAGGGAACAATACTTGGCTGATTCCCTTTTGGATCAAACCATTCATTTCTATCACAGATTTTATTAGCACCTGTGCTTCTTCTCCTACTTCTTTTCTCAAGTTACGCTTCCTGGTCTACTGAAGTATCATCTTCTGATGACGATAACCGTAATACCCAGCGACGTTTGAATGATAAGAAAACTTTGCTTGATGAATCACTGTCTTCTCTTTCGAACATTTTCGGTTTTATGGGCAATAAATATTCTCAAGAACAAACTAAATTCTTTACTCTCAAATGATTTGTAGACTTCTGTGACTTTCTTCTAACTGAAAGCCTCTTGGAGGTACGCACGCATTGCTTGTTCCATTGTTTCACTCAAAGAGAGGGAACGAAACTTTTCCCCGCTCGCTGCCGGCAGAGTGAAAAGGTCAGAAATATTGGCGCCACGCTCAACATGTTAATCACTGTTCTATATTAATAGTTTGTTACATGTATATTGCACATATACAAAGTTATCACAAAGTCCCACTACCCATATGTGTTACATAGAAGTTAATGAATTGTTGTTTCTAAATGTTGCATGTGCTGATATACGTCTAAATCATGGCTAATGAGTTCACTTAACCATTGAGGAATGGATCGTAATGAGCCCGTGGGCTCACAAATAATCCCATACCGGAAAATCAATGATAGATATTCAGTATGATTTCACTGTAAGGTTTCAGAAACCTTCCCCTCCAAAACCAACAATTTTATGATGGGAGAAAAAGTTCTTTGAAGCTGGTTACATAAAATGTAAGTCCAACTCAGGATGACCACCAACACGACTGGAAATGTATTTGGAGGCTGCAGCGTCTATTGAACATTCAATAAAAAAGTCCATTCATAAGCAGTCAACACTGCAAAAGCAGATGGTGAAGGATTTGCAATTAAAGGCATTTAAACTTTCACTTGTAAACAAACTGAGTGATAGTGACATGCAAAAACATCAATTTGCTTGTGGGTGAATCCTTGATGTCTTTATAACTCTTCCTGCGAAGGGAAAATAAATTACTTTTCTTGAAAGAGTGTGCAATATATCACAATGCAAAAGCCAGAGACGTTTATTTCTAAAACAATGAAAACCCACATTTTTATGAAGAACCTGAACAAAACCCACCATTTGTCATGATCTGGGCTGCAATGTCTGCAACCCATTTAGTAGGTCCACATTTCTTGGATGGTACTATGAATCAAATTATGTATCTTACCATGTTACATGATTGGTTTATTCAATATCTGCTAGATCGGGGACTGCTTAGTTGTGTATGGTTGCAGCGGGATGGAGGAGCATCAGCCCATTATGCTATTGCCGTTAGAGAATATCTCAATGAGGTATTTTCTGATAAATGGATTGGATGTTGTTCTGCTATTTGCCTGCACCTTTAGAATGGCTGCCCCGAAGTCCTGATCAGTAATCTTGCGATAATGTGTTATGCATTAACAAAAGGTTAAAAGGTCACAATGATAAATAAATAACAAAGGTCGTTAAACAAAAGTTTGCTGCCCTATATTATGAGACAGTTGATGAACTTAAGGATGCTGTGTGATGTGCATTTACTGCCATCATGCCAGCAATGTTGAGAAAATTTACATGGAGGAGAATCATACTGTGTTATGAAAACAATGGTGTACACACTGACATTCTGTAATAAATAAAGAATAGTCACACTATCTAAAAGGTGTCCTCTATCATGATTCCACATTAATATAAAGCGACCATAAATGAATATGAGGACACATGATAGAGAATAAAGCGACTTTGTAATTACGCTGTGTATTGAAGGGAATGTGAAAGGCTGAATATTATGTATGCAAGAAGATATAGAGGTTGAACATCAAACTAATAAAACTAAATAAAAATACTTTAGCTAACACGTGGTTTCAACATGTAAGCCTGAAATATTTCTATCTCATATTAACTTTATTTTAATCTCATTCTAGTCACATGTTAATCACTGTTCTATATTAATAGTTTATTACATGTATATTGCACATATACAAAGTTATCACAAAGTCCCACTACCCATATGTGTTACATAGAAGTTAATGAATTGTTGTTTCTAAATGTTGCATGTGCTGATATACGTCTAAATCATGGCTAATGAGTTCACTTAACCATTCCAACTTATTCTTCAACTAAACTAAAGTACTTGTATCTATAACATAGTAGTTCATTAATGTGGTGTATGTCCTTTATAAGACAATAATGCAACAGTTCTCAGAAATCATCAATAAAAGTGTTGTATAATTATTCAAGCTATTTTTAGACATTTCATTTCATGGTTATGGATAACAAAATTGTTAATCTGTGATCTTCCATACTCTAGGAGATTCAGTGATGATAAGTTCAGGTTATTGTGCAGGACACTGAAGATATTCGAGCTCACTCTCATATTCTTGAAATCATTTTATCATCAATTTTCCATGGCAAACTACTGGTACATTGCTATCTTTAAGATGTAATATTTGAATGTTTATATACACTTGGTCCTCTGGAATGCACCTTTGACAGTGATGCGGCTATCAGGCATAACCAGTGTGTAAAAACTTAAATTATACTGTACCCTAAATTATCACCTGTTCACCCCTATGTGCCACTCGGTCTTTTTTAACTGTTTGTCTCTAAATGCGTTCTCTATAAGTTCATCCAAAAGTGGTAAACATAGAGAAGACTATAAATGTGCATTTTGCATTGCGCACTATCCAAGGTTTTCCCTTTTGACACTACAAAACCAGCATTGGCTAGCAAAAGCTGTGCTATCGCTACCTGATCATAGACATCAAACATTTAAGATTTCCAAAAGGCAATTTTTGAAGAAATGGGCGAGTTTAAAAAAAAAAACTGTTCAGTTCTATCATAATTTGAATAGCTCTTTTGTGCTTTGAGATAATAATTCATTTGAACTATTCTAACATCCTTTTCCCCTCAACAATTATTTTAATTGGCTGAAGTTCTTTGCTTTTCTATGTATGCAAGCATGATTCTGGATACTATGGCTTTTGATACATTAAAAAGATCTGTTGTCTTAATTAATATGGCTAATCTTGTTTGTATATCAGTCGAATGAATTTGACCAATTTGTCTTCTTTTGAATTCCTATATATCTTGCATTCATGTCCTATAATTTTTAGTGCTTGTATTTGGTACCTCTAATGCTGCTGAAAACTCTAAACTTCAGACTCTGCTGTTGTTGATAACTTTTGGGGTTCATAGTTTGAAATTCATGTACTGGCTTGAAATTTGAGAGTGTTATATTTATGAAGTGTTTAAATTTTGTTGTTTCAATTAGTACTTCTATAAGTATTACATACAATGGTGAGCTATGAAAATTTTAGCAAGAACTTACAATTTAACCTCAAAAAACAAAAATTCTAATGAAATGTTTTGTCTTAAAAAAAAAAACAAAAAAAAAAAAAAAAAAAAAAAAAAATGCAAATAATTGTGCATGAACAACAAAATTTTAAAATATATAAAAAAATCACTAAAATTAAAAATATTACAAAATATCAGCTATGATAGTTTCTACAGGATTTCTATCATCATTTTTTAAAAAAATTACAAATTTACGACTCACTTTAAAAAAAATCCTTATATTAATTGTTCAATGAAAATGCTTGCATAAAGCAGCAAAAGCCATTCATAAGCTACATGCTGCTACTGTAATCCAAACACATGGCCAATGTTTAATATTTTGACACCTAGATCTCTAACAATCTCATTTAATTCTCACTAATTTGGGGGAAGGGTGGATTGGTAATAAAAAATGTATAATTAATGTTTTATGATGATTCATTTTATTAATATGTCTTATCAAACATTTTAATGCTAATTGTAAACAATGACATATATAGTGCTAAATTACGTTAAGGAATTTTTGTAGCAATTGATCACAGCTCCTTATTTCTTCCTAACATTACACTTGAAACATAAATCAGTTGAATAATATTTCAGACCGTTATCAGAATTTCAGACCTTATGAATTAAAATCAGTAATTAAACAAGCATATATGTGTGCACTCAATTGTAGCAATTTCTAACACCAAACAAAAAAAAAAAAAAAAGTAAACCCGTTATTGAGTCATGCATTGTTTGAGTTACTATATTTCAGGTAAACAAACTGATATTGGCATAGATTTAAAAAAGTCAAAGTATTTTAATAAATTTGGCATAACTTATAAAACAAGTTAGACTAAAATATTTCATTTATAAAAAAATTATTAATCTAAAACTCCTTATTAATTGTTAATAAGCATTTTCTTCAATTAATTAAATGAATTTGTTAAAAAATTATTTTTAATATTATAGTTATCCATATTGTTTTATTGTACATTATAACTAAATTTTGGGAAGGAAATGATGACTAAATTATGCTTTTATTTTTTTAATTCTTCATATTTTTCACATTTCTTATTACTATACAGGAAGAAGAGTTGAGTGATTACTCTGGTCTTTTAGCATCTTCTGAATACAGTTATTTTAAGCAACTTGCAAGAGACTATTATGCTAAACAGGAGTATGAGAAACAAGAAGAAGGATACAAGAAAACTGAATTAAATACGTAAATATTGTTGTTTTTATATTCAGAACTTAGAATAGAGTATGAGTTAAATTATTTTAAATTGTAGATTTCACTGTAAGTTTTTTTAATGTTTTTATGATTTATTTAAGTATATCTTTGTATATAGTATAAAACTTTTTTTGGGGGGGGGACTGGGTTACCAAATACAAGCATATTAGGAATACAAAGATTTAAAATATAAAAAAGTAGATTAAGCTTTTAAACAATATGTTATATTCTGAAGGTTCGTATATTTTCTGAGTTATGATTCCAATGATAGTGAAAACTTTATACTTCTTTTCTTAATGCTTTTCAATCATTAAGTATACTGTAACAGCAGATAATTTCAGTATCACTGATGATATTGATGGAAAACTCTGAAAAATACCCCATGCTTATTTTCTCAAATATACATACTGTAACTCAGAAATTTTGATAGTCGAAGCAATCAAAAAACAAATTACTATATTAATTTATATTTAAGCTACAATAGAATTTTAAAATTGGAGAAAATGTAAAAAATACCCACCCTTTAATTTAAGCCCTATAGAGTTTTTAAAATTCGAAAAATAATAAAAATGAAAATTACTTGTAATATATTCAGAAATGTAAAAACAAATTTAGTTACTTAAATAGTACTAATATAAATGTAATAAGCTAACTAGTTTATTAAGAATATATTTCAAATATATTGTCAGTTTCATCATCTTCACTTTCAGACTTGAATTCTGATTTTCACTATTACAGCACATTATCTTCAGTGCCATTTAAAATCATTACTAATGCAACATTTTTATTTATTTATTTTTTTTTTTTATTCAGTTAACTCGATCATTGAAAAGTGAGAGATAGGTGGAAAGGAGATGTTAAAATGTTTGCTTTTAGTTTAAACTACATCTAATTTTATAACTTAAAAGCTTGAATGAAGAGTGCAGATTAAATTTGACATAATGTGGTAATAACACCAAATTGCCCATTGTAGAAATTGCAGAGTCTCTGCCTTTAAATTATGAGGGAACTTGAAACTGCTACTTACTATGCATGGCCCCCATAAGTACAAGAGCAAAAGCTTTAGAAATTTCTAAATCTCAACTCTAAAATACCATGTGAGTTTGAAATCAAGTTTTCTAATACTAATATGGAAAAATTTTCAGTGTCTTCAGCTCTCCCAATGTGTTCTTAAAAGCTAAAAATGATTAATTATGATCATATTTTAATGTAAGTTTTTTGGCATCAAGATATGGAAAATACACTGATATATATAAACAATATGAAAAGTATTTACCTAAATTTATAACAATATTATAAATATTTGTATATGATTAAAGATGTATATATATATATAGAGAGAGAGAGAGTGTGTGTGTTTATATTTAATGAATTTAGATTTTCTGCACCATATTACCACAATTATCAGATGACCTCATATGCAAAAGAACTCTGAATTTTTTAAGGTGTCTTACAAGAAAAATACAAAAGTTTAATATAAGACACTGTAACATACATGAAAATTATGAAATGAAGGTGATTAAATAATATAAATAGCATATCTTCAGTTAAAACTACAGTTCTTTTTGGCACAAAAATGAGTTAGTAAATAGTTATTTTGATGTACCTTATAAATGGCGGCATATGTGTGGCAAATACATCTTAGAACTCGCCACCCCTCTATGTGTGTTATTTTCTTTTTAATTATTGCTTTTTTGTAATTTTTGTTGTACATAAAATTTAATTATATTAAAGAACAGCTTATATACATAAAATAATGTTCCCACTCAAAAATGTTTTAGCAAACTTAGGTAATATTTCTTTTATTCATATGGCAACTTGATTATTTTAAAGCAGCTAAACTTTTTTTTTATGCAGATGTACTTTCTACTATACTACATAAAAGGAATAATATTTCAGAATTTTTTTTTAATTTTTGAAATCAAATGTGTGTTTATTGCATGAATGAAAATTCATGAAAAAAGAAATACATTGTGCATTATAAATAAATTATTAAGTACTCCATAAAGATATGTTTGGAATTCTAGTAAGTTCAAACTACTGAAAAAAGTGAGGGGAGAGATATTTGACTTTCCAGGAAAAGTTAACATTTAAATTGCAGTTTAACTTGCCAAAATTTCAGTAATTTTTTAAATGTGTATGTATTAATCATTTTATTTAATGATTTGCATTTTAAAATTTTTAATGTTAAAAACTAGAGACATCCTAAATTTTAAATAATTTAGTATCTTACCTATGCAGCGGAATTGCTTGAAAAAGTCAGTTCATTTCTGGTCATAATATGTTTTTTGCTCTTTACTTTTAAAATAAAATTTATTGAATTACTTCAAAAAAAATTAATTTACATATTCTAGAATTCTATGAATGTATGAGTGAATTATGAAGAATATGAGTTTTGTTTACTTTAACAGTTAAAGATTAATTTCAGTGCAAAAGTTAATTTTCATTTTAAATATATAAAAGAAAAATGGCCAATGATATTAAATAGTTTCTTTGTAATTGCAGAATATCTAAATTGGCTAATGATGTTGATATTAAAGATGCAATGATGTGCACTGTCAAAAACCAAATAATACAGCTTGAAAGTGATATTCGTTACACCCATGCTCGTCTCGAAACGTTGAAATATCGTGCAAAAAAGGATGATGGTACTTCTTAATTCATATATATGTATCTTTATTAACAGTTCCCCTTTAATGTTATAAATAAATAAGCAAATGGAAATGTATTTACAGATGTTTAAAAACTCATGAAAAAAGAATTTAAATTCATTGTGCATTATAAATAAATTATCGTACCATTTAAAATCATATTACAGATGCAAAAACTTGTAAATTTTCATGAAATATTTTTATCTATGTATTAAGTTTTGTTTTTCTAATTTTCAAGCAATATTTTGTTTTGACTTGTCTAATATTTTAATTTACAAAATGAAATACTTGCCCAAGCCCTTAGTACTCATGAATAGGTGATGCTAAGATATAATATAAGGGCGAGTCAAATGAAAGTGAGCCAATGCGAATATATGACAAACAGAGTACTTTATTTAAAGGTAGTCTTCATGAACATTGAGACATTTATCCCATTGACAAATGAGCCGCGTGATCCCCGTCTCATAAAACTCCTTGGGCTGTCGATTCAAAAAGTCTGTAACCGACTCCTTCACGGCATCTTCCGACACGAATCTGGTACCCTTGAGATGTTTTTTCAGTTTTCCGAAAATGTGAAAGTCGCATAGCGACAAATCTGGGCTGTATGGAGGATGTTGCAGCGTGTCCCACTTGAGTTGTGTCTTAACCACATCAGCGACGTGGGGACGAGCATTGTCGTGTAGCAAGATCACACCATTCGTCAATCTTCCAGGTCGTTTGTTCTTGATTGCGACACGCAGCCGATCAAGCATTGCACAATATCGCGAACTATTGATAGTCTCTCCACGTTTAGCAAATTCAATCAGTAATGGCCCCTGACGATCAAAAAAAAAGTCAATAGCACCTTTCCCGAGGAAATGACAGCCTTTTCTTTCTTCGGGGGTGGTGAATTCAAATGTTTCCACTGTAAGCTTTGCCAGCATGTTTCAGGTTCGTAGTGGTGGCACCATGATTCGTCTCCGATCACAATTGCGGACAAGAAGTCGTCACCCTCATTGTGATACCGGATGAGATGAGTCAAAGCAGCACCGAACCTCTCCGTCTTCTGGCGGTCGTTCAAAATCTTGGACATCCATTGAGCACACAAAAGCCGATAACCGAGATGATCATGAATTATGGTGTGAACCGAACCGTGACTGATGATCACACGCTGTGCCAGTTCATCGATGCTTATCCTCCGTTCTTCTCTAATCAGCTCATCAACCTGTGCAATTGTGTCGGGGGTGATTGCAAGGTGGCTTTGGCCCGGTCTTGGATCGTCTTTGCAACTTTCACGTCCTTCTCTGAACCGTTTGCTCCAACGCTTCACAGTGGCCAATGCGATGCAATGTTCACCGTACACAGCAGTCATACGGTGACTAATTTCATGTTGGGAAACAACTTCATCTGTCAAAAACCTGACCACACCACGCTGTTCCTCTTTTGGAGTGTCCATTATGTCACGCTACCGTCTTCAACCCAGTGTAAGAGCGCCTTAAAGAACTTTAACCTCACACTTTCGCACCACTTTCGTAAATGAAGGCTGTCTCTGTGCTACGCGCATGCGCCGCAGATGATGGACCGAACTATTCTTGCTGAGGAGGGGTTAGCTCACTTTCATTTGACTCGCCCTTGTACTTGACAGATTTGCTCATGTCCAAGTGTAATCCTGAAGACTTCAAAATTTGTGCTATTAAAATAGTATATATGAACCACTATTTTTATAAATTTGGCAATAGTGTTAAACTTCTACAGTTTTTCTTTACAAAAACCAAGAAATATCAAATTTTGTTCGATTTAAAAAAAATGTCTAGACTATTTATTCGTGGGGGGTATAAATTGGTTAATGAAATACTTTTGATGGCCAACAGGCACTTGTATTCAAAATTATATATTTTTTTATTTCAAATTTCTCAAAAAAATACCAGACAAAATTTACTGAAATTTGGCATGAATGCAAAGTAATGTCAGACATTAGTTTATGTTTTATAGCAGTGAAGTATCCAATTATGAGAACAGGAATGTCCAAAACTGATGTTGCAAGATGGTACTTAAATGAGGCCAACAGGGAATGTGGTTACTTCTTAAGCACTTAAGTTAATAATGTTACGAAGGTAATGTAAATTAAACAGGAATGTATGATGTGCTGTATATGCATGCATGCATTTATATATATATGATACATTATTAATGTAAATATTTTTAAGAAGTTGAAAAAACAAAGAGAAGAGAAAATGAAATCTATATTTCAATTTGCGCAATGTGCTGCAAAAATCTGAAAATAATAAATCAAAATTTTGAAAATTGGAACAAAACGAAAATGCTGTATTAAATATTTGGAAGTCAAACCTATTTTTTTCTTGTAACGAAATAAACTGGTAAAACGCAAATTAAAGAAAATTACAAATTGAAAATAAAAATTTTCATTTTAAAGAGGAATAATTATAAAAAACAGTAAAACTTGAACATATTAAAACCAAAACAATAAAAAAATTTTTATCTCGTTTGTTTAACCTTCAAGGGAATAGTGCTTTGAAGCCTTAAACCAAGTTGATTAAAGAGTGACAAAAGACATGTTTCGTTTCAATGACAAAAGGCATGTTCCCTGAGACTTTAAACCACTTTAAATTAATCCAACTTTCTTTTCAAGCATAATCCATTTCAAAAGTATCATAAAATTAATTTCTTTTCCCAACATGTTTTTGCCCTCCTATAGTACAAAATTATTTACAAATGTTAAAAAATATCTAAAAAATTATCAAAATAGCTAAAATTGAATCAGTTACTATACAAAAATAAAAATAACATGTGTTTACAGAATTGAACACTCACTTTAATTTTCAAAATTGAAAATTAATTGTGTAGTCTTATTATATAAATCCTAGGAGAAGGGCTGGATCATTTAAGTGAAGTATAAGAACCAACTTCTTTGCGAAATAAAATTTCTTTCAAAATTAAAGAAAGCAATTTTGAGCAAATTTTGCTAAAAAGGGTAATAAATAGTTGACACCGAAAACAAATAAACTATAGAAAAAAGGTCAAACTTACCCTGCTATATGCTATATGCCTGTATTATATATTAACTATGAAAATTTCAGTCGCCTGAAAGGTTTCCAAAATTTTAAATGAACCTTGCAGAAGGGGTTACAAGAAACTGCAAAAATTTGTTTTAGCAAAATTTGCTCCAAAAATTCCTTTTTAAATTTTTTATTTTGACAGGATTTTTATTTCACAAAAAAAAAAGTTGGTTCTTAACCTTCACTTAAATGATCCAGCCCTTGTCTTAGGATTTATATAATAAGACTATACAATTAATTTCAATTTTGAAAATTAAAGTAAGTGTTCAATTCTGTAAACACATGTTATTTTTATTTTTGTATAGTAATTGATTCAATTTCAGACTTTTTGTTAATTTTTTAGATTTTTTTAGCATTTGTAAATAATTTTGTACTATAAGAGGGAGATGGACTCAAATGGGATATGGCTGGGACGAAATGGGACATGGCTGGGATGAAATAGGACTGGCTGGACTCAAATGGGATACTTTGCCACACCTACCATATAGCCCCAACATCACTCCTTCAGACTTTTGCCTTTTTTCACACTGCTGGTGCTATCTTCCATTCTGCATAAGACGTCTGAAATTAGGTTGATCTGTTTTTGGACTCATGACCACCAAGTTTCCGGGCCAAAGACTTAGCAAAACTGCCAAAACGTTGGCAGAAAATCATAGATTTTGGTGGTGATTACTACTCGCACTAAAGATACTGCTTTCAGGTTTATTTTCTTTAATTTTATTAAGAACGCTTTTTGGCAGAAAAAATTTGTTGCAACCAAATATTAATAATAATACAAAAAAAACTCAAATTTATATTTATTTTCTATTTGATATCTAAAGTTTGGTATCTGCAAGATATTTTTGTTGGCTACACTTTGTAATTCAAACATATTGACAGCTAAGTATTAATATTTCAGACTGGCATTAATTTCATCTAATGCGTTTAATTAATTATTAAATAACTTATTTTAATTTTAACTAAAAATAATCACATTATTCAAGTGACACTAAATTTGAGAATAAATAATGACAACCTAGTCTCTTTCACTTATTTATTAAATCTTTTTTTCAACATATAAATTAAAATACATATGCTTGTAAGTACATTACTACAGTAACCCTTGTTAACATGAATCTCAACTCAAAAATCAGTTGTTCATGCTAAAAATATCCATTGTAACTACAGGCTCAAATGTTATATTTTGAATTTTTTAACACATAAACCATTTGCAGTACATAGTTATATAAGCACTACAATATATTATGTATGTCACCATAGAAAACACATTACATTGCTATATTAATTACTGTACTCTTACTTGAAAAAATGCATTCATAGATCACCAATGGTATTCTTGACTTTCGTAAAACTAGTCAAATGTGTGGTCAGTTCAGATGTTGCAGCAAAATGGTCTGCAACGTCTAAGGTGTGTAATATTTACTGGCAGGTGGGCAGAATGACATTGTCCTTCTAAGTTTCTTTTGATGGCGTTTCTTGTACAACTGATTGTATGAGTTGTACAAGAACTCATACAACTGATTGTATGAGTACATCAGATTGCAATGGAGCATGCACAGCAACATCGTCATCTGCACTAACAAACTCCTCAAAACTCATTGTTGTTCCAGTGGTTTTGATTGTCAACCAATGTTATTCATGCTGGCTATGTTTCAAAGAAAACCATGTATTCTGCGAGATCTTGAATTAAACAGGACTGAATATTTATAAATGCAGCAGAGAAACAACAGGTAAAATATATGAAAAATGAACGTCTGTGTTAAATGATAAAAATCAAATGACACAATAAACAAAAAATTAATTCATAATTTGTGCTAACCGAAATTCATGTTAACCAATAAAACTTCCCATAAGATCATATACGTCACTGCTGGACCAAAATTTGTTTCATGTTAGTCGAGGGTTCGCTTTATGCAAGTTCTTATTAAGGGTAGTTTACTATATAAATTTTATTTATAAATAAAAAAACTTTTTCCCATAATGGCCTTGCATTGAAGAAATTACTTAAGATCATCACAGACTGTAGATGCTCATCAGTCAACCGGGTTATTTTTTTTATTAATTTTCAAGTGTGAAGCAAAACTGTTCACATATAAATGTATTCCCAAAAAGTGATTATTCGAAGGGCAAAAACTCGTAACTGAGTGTATTTTTTTCAAGTATGAAAATTAATAAAATCTGTATCTTTACATTTTAATATGATTTATACTATACTGTAAATTAATTAGCTCCATTTATAGATTTTCTAGTGCCATTATTCAATTTTATGTTAAATAGTAATGTAAATAAAATGTTGCAAACTTTGAACGTCAAATAATTAAATTTTTCAAATCTTTGCAACAAATACATATAGTACAAAGTCTGTAATCCGGACATCCATTATCCGGAATGATCTATAATCCGGACCTCAAAGCCGCAAATTTTTTTTTTTTTTTTTATATATACTTTACGCATGCGCGTTTAGCACAAAAAACGAAGCAACTTAAACAACTTACATTGAAAGAAATGTTTAATAAAGTAAACAAATAAAAATTAAACTTTTTTTTGTAAATTTTGATACTCTTTAGATCATAATTGCTCTTTATTTCATAAATTGCACTTTAATATTTTTAATTGTATATTTTCTGGATGCCATCTTACAGATTTAAATTGATGACCTATAATCCGGGAAAACCCTTAATCCGGAATCGCCGATGTCCCAACGAGTCCGTATTACGGACTTTGTACTGTAATAAAAATGCATTCATGGGATGCATGAAATTACTTCAGGGGCTGCATGCAGCTGGAGACCACTGGTGTATGATATTTTGATCCAGTGCTTCACTTAAATGTAGATGAAATGAACCAATATTGATGATCAAAACTAAATAGTATAAAGAAAAAAATAGTAATTGACCTAGATATTATTAGTGAATGCCATGAAAAGGCTCATATTTGATGATGCGTGAAGATTAATTTCTTCTAACATAGTATGTCTAATAAAATGTCATTAAAATTATAAATGTTTAAATACAGTAAAATAAAAATACTACATGGTTAAGAAGAAAATATTTTTGTAGAAAAATATACTTATCTGAGATGCATCTTATTGTTCAAAAGGAATAACGTACACTTAAAAAAAAATTCTCATAAATTTGGAATGTATGTTATCATTTGAAAATATAGTAAATTTTTTTTTCATAAAATTCTCTAAAATGTAACAAATGAAAAAATTATTTTTTAGAATACAAAAAATAGAAATAGAAATTGCATATTGAGAACAACAAGGTATTAATTAAGACAAAATGACATGCCGAACAAGTATTAATTTAGAAGGCAAACAACAAAAATCAGCATTATATTTGCAAATTTTCACAGGACTTGTTTCGATCATTTTACTGAACCATCATCCTCAGCTCCGAACGATATCTTATCTCGATATCTATGAACGATATCATTTGCACTTTGGCAGCTGAGGATGATGGTTTGGTGAAATCATCGAAGCTAGTCCTGTGAAAATTTGCAAATACAATGCTAATTTTTGTTGTTTGACTTCTAATTTAACAAGGTATTAGTTTCACTTTTAGATAACTCAGCTGAGTTATCTTAAAGTGTTTTAAATTTAAGAAGTTGTGATTATCAAGTTTTCTGCCATTGTTATCTGAATCATTCTGCACAATCACTGGCCTTTCAAAATCTTAAAGCTGGAAAAAGTACAAAAGCCAAACTATCAATTATATAACTATAGTATACATATAATCTTAATATGATATAATAATATCTTATTTAATATGCCTTTTAAAGAAAATGCTTTTGATTAACTTACTTTTTAGATGCATTTTTTGGAAGTATTTAATGTTGAAAATCTAACATTCTGTTTGTAACTTTTAAAACTGGATTTTTACTAGTTATTGTGTTCACATCATTAGCTGTTAAAAATATAATAACTGGCATATTAGTTAAAAAAACTCAATGGCATTATTTTAATTACTAGTGATATTTCTTGCAGTATGTTTTTAAGCATTTGCAGTTTTAAAAATGTAAATAATTAGTAGCTTTATAAAATATGAAAAACATTTTTAAAATAACAATGTCTATGAAAAAAGACCAAATATCATGCTGCAGCGCATTAACCATATTTTGAATTTTTTTACGACAATTTCTTGACAAATCACTTTGAACATTCATAAGATCGAATTTTGCTATTTTGTTTGTGAATTAGAAATACAGATGCTTAAAATTAACTAATTACACATGCTTGATCGTTTCCTCATAACTGATTATTGCTAAAGCAATGAAATATATGTCAAAGTTGACTCAAGAATGATCAACTTATTTAATTTTATAATAGTAATTATTTTCTTCATATTAGTAAATTATTTAATAGAAATTTATGAATTATATTTTTAGAACTGACAACAAGTCTCACTGTTCACATACTTTCCCGTGAATCACCATATCCAAGAACCAAAATTCAACGTTTCCCAGTGCCTGATAAATATGTTCCATGGGAAGTCATGTGGCTACATTATGAACCACCTACTTACACCATGCCAAAAAGTGATTTTCCAAGACAAGTACGTCCTTATGTAGATGACGACATTCTTTCGTAAGTCTTAAAATTTTATAAGTTTTGCTGTTATTTTCTCTATCCCTATTCATTCTATAATTATCTTATCACTTTATTGTTTTGAGAGTAACCTCAGTTAAATATCAAAATCCATCAGTTAATATTGTTTCATACTTTTTGTTTTTACTGATAGTGAAACAAGTTGCTAATATATAAAAAGTAAAATCACACAAACAGAGCATTCTTTACTCTTCTGTTTGTATTTTTCATTAGTGAATATAAAAAAACTCCTAATAGGTAGATCAATTTTAGATATAGATATACTTTGTATTTTTTAAATTATACATGGAATCACATTATACATATGTATAAAATACATTAGAATTATATATTTTTAAAATAATCATAACAGAAAGTGAAAATAAAATTGTGGCACTGGAAGTTAATGAATTATAGCATGACATTATTAGCAGCCATGTGGCAGCTTTTGAACTGTAATAGTGTGTATTTTTCAGTGTAACAGCAGTATTTTCATACTTCTCAATGGCAACAAGATAATAGTAAAATTCCATCTATTTGAACTGTGGCTTTATAAATATCAATATGATTAAGTACATCCTTAAGTCTTTGCAGATATATACATATATATGTAAGAAAAATAAGGACTATGTAAAAGATAATTAGCAGTATAAATTTCCTTCTCTATTCTAAAAATCGTAACCTCTATTTGCACTGCGTCATTTCGAGACTAATCTATGTCATATGACTCTTACCTATATATATAAAGGAATTACATCATAGTTATAATCATAATAAAACTGTCACAGATAGGCAACTAATGAATCCCTCTAATTATGTATCTTATGTTAATATTTAGCATAGTGCAAACTGCTAAAGAAGGGGGAGTGTAAGCACAACTTATTTGCTGTGATTATTAAACTCTCTCTTGTGATGCTAGATAATTGAAAGAAAAAGTTGTTTCTGGCATTAACGGAAATAATATCAGAAAAAAAATATAGTGTGAAGATATTGAAAAATAATTACTCATCTAATATCTGCTCATTAGTTTTCGGGTCATTTTCAGGACTTTGAATGTTTGCACACATGGGTAGGGGAACACTTTTGTTTTTTAATTCCTGCACCTAGCCCTACAAAAAAAAGCATTTCCTATACATATATGTGTTTTATGTGTGTTTGTTTGTGACAGTTTAAATAGTATTTTTTTTAGATGATGAACTTAAAAAACGTAAAAAAAATTGCTTAATAAACATGCTTCTTGCTTATTGAATATACTTCCTGTTCATTTTGAAGAAAATTAACTCAAAGCAGGATTTTTAAATTTGTATGAAGTATTTAATTATTTGTCTTTCTTTTTATACATATATTTTATTCTGCGAGGACTAGCAACAGAAGAACAAATGCTAAAGATAGAACTTACTAACAGATATAACATCCACATGTAGAAATTTATACTAAAATTTCCGGGTTAAAAAATGTAGACGTAACAAAATATATGCGTTAGAGCTCATAAAATCGGTAAAAGAGAAAACAAAAGCTTCAAGAATGTTGAATAGATAATAATTTGGTGGTTAAAATAATACTTAAAAAATGGTTTTGTACTGTCACATGTCATATATGACTACAGTATATTTATAATATTTAAATTATTGATAAAGTGTAAGAGAGTGAGTTGTAATGCATATTTATTAATATCCCTCACTAGCCTCAAATTTATGTTAAAGGCTCTGAATAGGTTGTTATGCTGACAAGTTCTGAAGTTTTAATCCATATTCACAAGCTCGCCAGAAATAGAAAACAAACTCATAAGCTTCTAAGTACAAACTAAAATCCAACTTTCAATAATAATGTCTACTATAAATTAAAAAGAAATCGATAGTTAAAAGCTATGTGAATTCAAATTATGAAAAAATATTTTTTTCAATTTTGTCATCAATTAGCATTGTAATGTACTGTTTTTGTTGTACTATTTTATTAAAAGGAGAATATTACATCTGTTTTAAGATCAGTATATGCTTCATTTGAAAATATGCATCTGAACTGCATTTAGTAGTTATTATTTTTATGTTTCATGATCATGGTAACTTTAACAGTTCAGTCTTCCTTATGATCTAATTTCAAATATTTTACAAGTTTTATAACAGTCTCAGCGTTTAAAAACTATATTACATTTAGGAAACTACACTGAAGGAAAAAAAGGATAATTAGAAAAGTTAAAACTTGTATTTTAATGGTTAGTTTTACATAAAAAAATATATATATAAATAAAAAATGGTCAAGAAAAAGAAAAAGAACAAAAAATGTACAAATATAAACAAATAAACATAAATATATATAGAAAATCATACTGTAATTTGAGTTTATCTAGAAATCAAATTTTCAGAAAAGAATATCAAATTTGAGATATTAAAACAAAATATTTTGTAACAAATATACAAAACAAGAATATTTATTTATTATTTATTTATGTATTATTTAAGCACTATCATTCAAGATTCCATTGCAATCTAATATCCAAAAATCAAACTGGCAACTTGAATTAAAATCTTAAGAACAAAACATCGTTCCACTATTGCCACTGAATCACACACAAAAAAAGTAAAAGTGCATGTGACTTGTTGACACCTTCAACCTTGGAGACAGCAGCACAACTGGTTTATGTTTTACAGGGTTTTCCTCTTTTTCTTAACGGTTTGACCAGGTTGGCATTCGCCTTAAGATTGTAGAGTCTAAACCAGAGGTGTGATAGACTCATATTTGTTCGTTAGGTTTGCTGATGCTTGCTATTGCATAAGTGGATGGAGATTTTTGTGTTAGGATAACATAGTGTCCATCACCTCGAGGCAAAAATTTGGTTGTTTTGGATTGCGATGCTACAGGATGAAGTGTGACCTAGATTTTGTCTCCATCCTCTCTCTCTCTCGTTCTTAGCTTTCCCCACCTCTCTGACAGAAATTATGTCTACCACATTGATCAGCATTACCTATAAATACCTCAGTGTTACTGGATGATTACTTGTACTGTTATTAAAATAGGAATCGCCTCCCCAACTCTGAATGGGACCAGGCCTAACTCCTCGACCTCAAACCCTTCGAGAGTTCAAAGTTATTGATCTATTTCTAATTTTTCTTAGTGTAATTTTTCTACTGCCTTTAAATGTGCAAGTGTCCAATAATATTTTGGCATTTGGTATGCTTTCTATGGTTCTAACAACTATAAATGGAATCTCTTCTCTTGGAGACTGGGTTTCTTATCTCCTTCAATTTAAACTCCTACCACACCAAATTTATCAACTGTTTCTTGAATAATGCGACCATTTTTTCCAATAATTTTTCCTACAACCATCTGAGGCATTTGAACAGATTATTCAGCATTATTCTAACATATTTCTAGCTTGTTTTACTTTTTCCTGTGTCTTACCAAATATTTTGAAATTACAACTACAGTCCTCCAAATCAATTCCAGTTATTCCATCTGGTTTCCTCGCGTTCTGAATATTAGCTTCATGAGCACTAATGGTTAATCTCATCAAATCATCTCATACTGTTAATTCGTCACCATAGCCCAAATTTTAGTCAAGGCAAGTACTCTTGAGTTGGCAAGCTTTTAATAATAAAGCTATTTGATGAACATTCTGAAAATGCATATCACTGGGCATACAAGCTCTTTTCTTTAATCCATCATATTTACCTATAATCGGTAGACATTTCTTTTCGTCATTGTATTTACATACAGAGCACATATCAGCTTTTAAATTCTTTATGAGCATATTCAAGTTTGAAGTACTCTTGCACATCTTCAGGTACACTGTGCCAAAAAAAAAAAAAAAAAAAAATTACCTTGCGTCACAAGGAGAAAGAAATGACCAAGGAGAGGCAGAATACATGCAAAATCAGAGTACGTTCTTCATGTCTCGAAAGCTCGACTTAGGATATATATTAGATTTATATATAGCATTTTTTCTAATATAGGATTTTAACACAAAATCGAGCTTTTTCTGAAATAACATACCAATTTTTTTCCATATTTTGATTCAACGACTCAAATTACGCCAAACTACCAAGTTTTGTAAAAATTGCACGAGTAGTTTTTAAAAAATTAGCTCTTCAATGTTAAATTGAGTTTGGTGTATATTTATTAATCTCTCTTTTTTTATTAAACTTATTTGATTCTTCTTTTCACTTTTCGAAATTTAGGTTCATTCCAAATAAAATTCATCCATCCTTTATGATTTATTTTTAAATAATTTTTATAAATTTTTCAAAAAAATTTTTGAATTATAATCTATGAAATTTGTACCATCATATTAAAGTAGACGTACTTCTAAGCATACCTGCAAAATATTACAGTTTTTTATTCAAAATTGAAGATATACTTGAATTTATATATTGGCGCGTTTTGATATTTGGCATATTTGTGTTTAGGCAAATTGCTAAAATTATTTGGAAGTAAAAATGATGTGCCTTTTTTTCAGCTCATGCATAATGTAAAAAGGTAAGAACTAGGTGCCTTTTTTTACGCTCCGGCATAATGGAAAGGAAAGGAAAATTGGTTGCCACATATTAAGAAGTTCGGCAAGGGAATTATTCTTGGCGCAAACTATAAAAATTGTGCCAAGATAAATTTTTGAATTTCTCCATACATTTCGCACCAAATTTTACAAAATTTAATATCTAGGCATAATTTGAAACGTAGAATCAAAATATGGAAAAACGTTGGTATGTTATTTCAGAAAAAGTCCGATTTTGTGTCAAAATACCTATGTTAGAACAATGCTATATATAAAACTACTATACATACTAAGTTGCGCTTTCGAGACATGAAAAACGCAATTTGAATTTTGTCAATTGGCTCACTAAAACAGAAGATATTGAACTGTCCTCTTCTCCCCCCCCCAGTGTACATGAATCTCGGACTGATGAAATGTGCTCTTAGTGGTTAGTTGATTAGTAGTTTTTAGCCATAGCCTGTCATTAGGTATGATTTCTTTATATGTGGTCTCCCACACCAGATATTCAACAACATGAGAGTCAGTTTTTGTCATTTTCACCAAAGCATGCCACCATCCACATGCTTCTTGTTCATTAGCTCAAGAAAATACCTCAACTTCATGACCTTCTATCATACTAAGAGGCTTGTCATCTTTCCGAAGTGCTTCTTCTTTTCAGCTTCTTCTGCTACTTTATCATTATAAATATCAGTAATGTAAGTCTTGTAGCTAGTGCCATTCTCCCCACAAACTTTCATAGTGAGGTCTTACGATTTGCAGAATACACGTACAAGGCTGCATATGTTGATTCACACTCCTCAATTACACCCTTGTCAAAAAGATCATCCGATTTTCTTCACAAAATGTCCGTTTTATAAGGGAAAGTCTGTAAAGAGGTACTGCTATGGGACAGTGATCTCCGGTGTTAATGTAGTGCTTCACAATAGGAGTAACACCTTCCCTTGGTTGAAAGAGTTTTAAAAATGAGCTTAACAATGAATCCAATTCATTTCTTTGAGAACTTGTTAAATTCACTCCTCCAGGAAGAAGAGAGTATATTTCAAGCATGGAGTCCATGTCATTTCTCTTCACTAGAATCTAAGGTCGGAAGGGAAACACCAAGTGCTGAGAACCCTTAGTAGAGAACCAACTGTTTTTGGAGGAAATCCATAAAGATGCCTGCTTTTTGTGAATAGTGAACTCCTAAAAGAGTTTGATTCCCTCTTGCATGAGATGAAAATAACATCTTAGTGACTATAATTTGGCCATTAAATTTAATTCGTACTGCCATCTGTAGAATTTTAGAATAGAAGATATGGCCATCAGCCAAAGGAAGGTGCTGCTTCTATTGTAAAGCACTACATTTATAAAATAAATGTTCTTGTTTGGTGTATCTGTTACAAATGGTGCCCAATGGGAAAAAACGAGTTAGCTGAGACTGTTATGTAAAGTATTACAATATGCCATTTCTCTGGAAAGCCAGAAAGGCTGACCTCGTAATGCTGGCTCCACTTTGGGCGTCATGTGTAACAGATATATGAAACAAGAACACTTATTTAAGCATCTTCATACAACATTTCATCACAATACAATATCCAAAAATCAAACTGGCTCCTTTAATTAAAATATTAAGAGCAAAACAGTGTTTCATTATTGCCACTGAATCACATGCAAAAATGTGAAAGTGCATGAGACTTATTAATTTGTTACAATCTATTTAATTGCTGAATGTATTGAGAAATGTAAAATTAAAATGGATTTTTAATGATTTTTTTTAATGTTTATTCACTAGAATGAAGAAAAATGGTGTTAAAAGAGCAGAGATACCAAATTACCTATGGAATACAGAATCTGAGGACAGCAGTGGAATATATAGAGAAATCGCAAATCATGGATAATTGATAACAAACAACAGGAAATCACATATAGATTAGATGCAGATGATCTACCATGGTAAACTGAATGATAATATGTAAACTTGCATTTTCAGAAATGTTTTATTTCATGTTATATTTTATAATAATTATTTTCAAGATATAGCCTGCAAATTCAGTGGCATTCCAGATTATCTTCTTTAAAATTCTGTATTATTTTTAATATTTAATTTAGTATGTCAATATTAGGAGGCAGGCACATCATCGGCAGCTGATTATCGTCAGCCTAGCTAACCTGGTTGTGTCCCTAGAACGCTGAGGAATTCTCCTTACACCAGGGGGGGAATCCCGATGAAAAACCAACCAGCCCCAGCATAAGAGACATCCCTTGTCATCTTGGATGGTTGCCCAATATTGCATTACATTACACAGGCTGTGTTTAATTTTAATAGAGTGTGTCTTCATTTATATGTATACGTAAACAGTGACAAAATAACACTAAAATTCATCTTCATCATTAACAAAAAAGTATTTTTTTCATCTGCCTTCATACTTAAGCGCTATCAATTTGCTTGTAAGAATGAGGAATAATAATGAAGTATAATTTGTTATTATGCTTTGTTGTGGTATTTGCTACCTGATGGGCATACCTCTATGACTCAAGAAGTGTGCTGGAAAGTTTTCAAATAACATTAAAAAATACAGAAATTCAGATAGGCTACACCAAAATCTAAACAATTCTATACTTACATACATAATACATAGCATCAGAAAAAATTTTTAATTACTAGACTAATGGTAAAAATTTTCATAGACATTATCATTAGGAAATATTACTAAAAAATATGTTTATTGCTTTCAGATCTCTTGCTCTTTTAAGCAACTACAGGCTGAATTTAAGCAGTAGCTGCCTGGTAGTATAATATAACACAATGGCCAAAAAGTTTTAGAAAGACTCTACTAAAAATATTTCCTATGTTAAAAAGGTAAAAAATGTGTTGGCAGAAATTAAAATAAAAAATGTACAGAAAAAAATTATAGGAATGAAACTTGAGAAAATGCAGAAAATATTTAATCTCTAAATCCTGTCCTACCTGGATTAGAATATTGGAAGTGATTTAGGAATCATGACAGAGGTTTTACTTACACCCAGGTTAATTGCTCTAGGTTCACCTGCTCAGTGTTTGGGGGGGGGGGGGGGCATCTAGGCTGTATGCAATACTCTTTTATTTATTTACAATATGCTAATTAATTACCCTACTTTTATTCTTTTACTTTTTTTAAAATTCATTTTTCCTTGCTAGCTTTAGTACAGCCCTATACTAAGACTTAAAAAATTTTAAACTATCAAAATTTATTATTCGTTATAAAATTAGATCTGCATTTTAGCATCTAAGTTAACATTTATGTATATAAAATATTATCCTTAAAAATGATTTTTAACTTGTGATTTTACTTGATTTTAAGTGTATATATTTAAAATCTTTTTTATTGCTGCTTTATTTTGCTTCCTTTTTTCAAAACAAAGACCAAATACTAAAATTCAAATATTAATTTACTGTTTGGCACGTTATAACTGAATGCAGTGTTCCACTGCAAAAAAACGATCTGTTTCTGTTCTGTTTAAAGGCCCATCAGTGTTGAATGGTAAGATTGCTGAGCACTGGTAGTTTGACCACAGTTCGAATCCCAGCAAGCAGGCTGGCTTCATGGGAGCTTTTGTGGTTTCCTCTTGTGTAATGTGAATACAAGCAATTTTCCTTTAAAAAGTACTTCATGAAAACATCCCTTAACTTGGCGAGTACTATAGTATGCTTTGCCATAATCAAGTAATCTAATCCTATCATCTGTTTAAAGTCATGGAGAGGGTTTTTTTATGTTATTATATATATATATATATATTAAAATGATTAAAAGCTAAAATTTGACTTTTCTTTTTATTATTAATTCTGTAAGAAATGTATGAGAAGAGAAATCAGCTATTTTAACTATGTGATTGTAAATAAAATTGGTCATCAAAAATTTAAAAGCAATCTGACAGATAAATTTTGGGAAATCAAAATTAAATTGTAAATGTTATTAACATTTAGAAAAAGAAGTTTATGATTAGAATGTGAATAAATAATTGAAATTATTGATAAAAGTGAAAAACTTCAGAAATTACCTATGGATGCTTTTCATAAAACAAATTAAATAGCGAAACTCCATGACCAGTGATTATATAATAATAAAATATATTTGAAATTAAATTTAAGACATATATTACATTCTTGTTATTACAGCCATTTCAGAATTAACTAATTTTTAATGTTTCATGTCACTGGCTTTTATATATTTGGTTACTGTCTTAAGTATTACAAATATGATCCGCAAAGTCTACAATTCATAGTATTTTAAACACCGAAATGTATAAGCAATTACTGGAAACAAATTTTTATTTTATTTTTTTCATTTAAAATAAAATTTCTTGTTGATCATTTGGAGATTTTTAAAAATATGACTAAATATATATCTGAAAAAAAGTAATACCATGACAATTAAAAATGGAAAATAGTGTGAATCAGACAAGATAATTTTTACAATTTATTCTTATAATAGCAGATCTTATAGATAAATACCAGATCAATAAAAATAGTCTGTAGTAAAATGATTGTAATAAAGTCGATGGGGGGGGATTTCATGATGGGATAAAAAGGCTGCATCACTGCACAGAGAATAAAAAATTGACGACTTCATGGTATGATCTAGCAGATGTCAATATGAAAATTTCTGATAATTCAAAAATATTATTTGCATCGTTACAGCAATCCAATGGGAAGAACAGGATTGCGTGGTAAAGGGGCACTGCCTAGATGGGGACCAAACCATAATATTTTTGCTATCATTACCAGGTAAGCAAAGTCAGATTTTTCTATTTAGAATCATAAAAATTCATAGCTTGTTGTAAAAGTGATTGCAAAACTGTACGCTCTGAAACAATTATACATTATATCAGTATTTAAATCTATCACATTTTCAAATGTTTACCCAACACACATTTAAAATTTACTCTTTTTCTTTTAATAATAATTAACAACATGAAAAATAGTTAACTTTGAAATTTTTGAGACAGGGCAGATGATAAAAATATAAAAAAAAAATTGATATAATAAAAAAATAATTATTAGATATGTAAAATTTTAACTATTTTTTATCCTTAGACAATAATTTATGGGAACAACTGCGATTTATCCATCATAGAATAAATGAAAGATAAGAAAATGAAGCTAATGAAAGACCATTATCACACTATAATTTTAAAGTGGGGTCAATTCAGGAAAAATATCCTCAGTGTCTATAATTAGCATATGAAAATGAAGCTGTGTCTTGTGCTTATGTATTCAGGTAATTTACGGAATTTCATAGCGGTCTAAATTCTCTCCTGTATGAAAAGTACACAGGAAGGCGTCTGGTCAGCTGTAGTCCCAGAAAATGTGTCAGCCACATGAAAAATTTGTATGACAATAATTAATATGCCAACCAAGTGATACAGAAGGAATTTAACATTGGATCCATAGCTATACATAAAATAATTCATAAAGAACCAGATAAGAAAAAAAACGAGTTTGTAGTTGGGTATCCCATAATTTAACAGATGCCAAAAGGCAGATCATAACAGGACATTGTATTATTTCTGTATTTAAAAACCACAACTGGTGATGAACATACATGCCATTTTTTGACATTCCAACACTTCAAGAAAGTAAAGTATGGTTCTTTGAAGATGACCTCAAGTCTGTTGTGAAAAGACAGCGAGCAACAAAAAAGTAATGTATGCCATTTAGTTCACAAGTAAAGTACGTCTGTAAAGTGATGGTGCACTTTTGATTGGTTACAGAAAAGCAACAAAACAAGATAGAAATGTGACATCTTCACCAAACAAAAGAAAACCTCCTAAAGTTTCATAGGTATTCAGTGCAGTTCAATGTGAACTCCATTTGTTGCCGTAAAAACATCTAAACGATACTCAGGTTCTTCTCACACACAGTTCTTTGAACACTATTTTAAATGATAAATGTCATTGATACATTCACTGTACACACACTGCTTTGCACAACCCCACGAGTAAAAATCCAAGGGTGTCAGATCCGTGGATCGTTGTGGCCATGTCTTGACAGAATCCCTGCCTATCTCCACCGCTGGGGGAATGTTTTGTCGAAAAACTTGCGAATGATGTTAGCGCAGTGTGGAGGAGTGTTGTCATGTTGAAAGATGACACCTAGAAATTGTGGCACTGCATACAATTCCAACATGTCAAAGTAGTTGTCTGCTGTCACAATCTGCTCCAAAAGAAAAATGGTCCTATCACTTTATCATGGCTACACTGTTACGTTCGTACTCAACGTAAGCACGAGGATTTTCAGCAGCCCATGTTCGGACGTTACAGCAATGAACATGTCCACTGACATGGAATGTTGCCTCATCACTAAACACAATCTTTCTGCAGAAATCAGTTATCATTGTCGATCTCATGAAGCATATCTGTAGCAAATGTGAATCATCTGAGTCTACCTGTCAGTTTAATAGCGTGCAACAGCTGCAGTTTGTAACCCTTTAAACATAGACATTTCTTTAACACCTCACGAACTATTGTCTTGCTTAGGTGTAATTGTCAAGCACACACACTGGTTTTTTAGGACTTCTTAGGTAACTCTCCCATGTAGCCTTTACAGACTCTTCACTGATCGATGGCCTGCCAGAACGAGGTTTGTGTAACAAATTGCAGGTATCCTTCAACTGCTTATCCCACCAATTAATGTTATTCCTATGTGGTGGAGGTTCGTTGTACATGCAACGATATTCACATTGCACTTTAGTCATGGATTCAAATTTGGCAAGCCACAGAAGACACTGAACTTTCCTCTGTATGGTCCACATCTTGACTTGCGGGGGGTGGGCTGGTCTACTGCTTCGCAGTTCATGTTGTTGTGTCATCACCTGTATGCGCACATGCTTGCACATCATGCTACAGAAACTTGAAGAGTTTTCCTTTTGTTAGGTGAAGATTTCACATTTCTATCTTGTTTTATTGCTTTCCTGTGACTGATCAAAAGTGCACCATGACTTTCTGAATGCACTGTACAGGACCATTCATAGCCATCAAGTTAGAGCATGGGTGTCTAAACTATGACCGCTTGAGGGCTGCAAACGAAAACAATTTTGGAGCCTCATTGCAAAGAAAAAAAAAATTTGTGAGGCCACATTGAAAAGAAAAAAAATTGCGGGGCCACACATACAATATTTTTTTTTTAACAAATTTAAATAAAAATTAGCTCTAGGTTGTTTTATTAAAATAAATTCTTTTTGTTATTAATTTTTTATTTGAATTAGATATGTACATATTTATAATTAATTTGTAAAAGTCTCGTTTCATTTAGTTTGGATTTCATAAAGACAGAAAAAATTTTAATTAATGAAATGGATGAATTTGCTTTTGTTGAACAAGCAAATCGATATCGTGCTCAATAGACAAAGTTGCAATTCTTAATGCATCTCTAAGATGTTTGTCAGTGATCTTTGTCCTATTTTTGTTTTTTGTATGCTTCATTTTTGAAAATAATTGCTCAAAAATATAGGTACTGCCAAAAGCTGAATACATTAATAAAGCATGGTTGTGAAAATTAGGATATTTATCGCTGGGTGGGTAATCTTTATAAAACTCCAGTAAAAAAACATTTTCAAATTTTTCTTTCAATTGAATATCACTCTGCAGTTAATACATCATGACATATTAAAATGTTTTTATTTAAATTTTTATTTTAAAATAAATGCCAATGAATCGATTATATATGAATCAAATTCAAACATGTATATTTTTAATAAAAATGTGTAAATTTAAATACTTTCATAATTTGCGTTTGGGCTGTATTTTAAAGACTTTGGGGGCCGCACTTTAGACACCCATGAGTTAGAGAGGCAGAAGTTACTCGCAACTAAATGGCACATTACTAAGTTTCTTTTAGAATTTCTTTAAGAAGTGACTATTAGAAGCTCATGCTTCATCATGGCAGTTCATCTTATTCAGCAAGACTCACAGCTGCATTTTTAGAGCAAAAGACACCAAAGTGATAGATCATCCATCATCTTCTCCTGATCTTGCTGTGTGTGACTTTTGGCTACTTTTTAATCTAAAACAAAATTTATGTGCCATCATTTTCATTTCAAGAATGAGACTGATGAGGTTATAAAAGCCTAATTTTTATCCATTCCATGAAAGGGATGGCTTTAAGCATTTAATATTTGAAAAATTTCCCTACAAAACTGCACATCTGTCTGATGTAACTACTTTGAACACTGCTTTCATTTGTTAAGAGGCCCACCAGAGGCCAAGCGGTAAAGACGCTAAACACTGGTAGTTCGGTCAGAGGTTCGAATCCCACGAACGGGCTGGCTGCATGGGTGCTTTCATGGTTTTCCCCATGTGTAACGTGTATACAAGTCAGTTTCCCTTAGAAAGTCCTCCACAAAGGCATCCCTCCCTTTAGGCAGATAGCCCTCATGTGCTTTGCCATAACTGAATAATCCTAGTCCTAATGATTTGTTAAGTTTAACCTGTACCATTTAGCTTATCTCAAGAATTTCAGTGTGACCTTTGTATAATCATTATTAGTGAAAAATTTTCAGCAAAGTATTTTTGAATGATGCCCCTTAGAAACATTCATGTCTAACATTTGCTAACTTGCCTGTTTTGTCTACAGTCTGTTGTTACAGCATCGCTACTAATATCTGAATAATTTTATTTTTAATTTTTATGTACTTTTTTGTCTGGTTGCCATATTATAAAATTTATCAAAAGTATCCAAAAGCATTTTTACAGTAAATAATGATACATTATTTTTAGTTAAACAAACTACAATAAACCTTTAAAGTACACCAGGTTTAGGGGCATCAACTTCCTGCATCATTTCTAATCCACATTTAATTTTCGATTCTTCAAAAATATAAACAATTTATAATCCGCCATCGGTTGCACAAGCAATGGATTAATAAAAATTATTTATGTTTATTCAGTCAAATTCTGCTATGATGAATTTCAAGGGAATGAAAATTTGGTTTGTTATATCCAATTTGATAAGAAAAAAATGAATCATTCCACAAAATAATATAAACATAAATGATGAATCACAAGAGAAAAAGCATCAAAATAGTTAAAAATGCATAATTCAAATTTTAAAAAATCGTATTAAAGGTTAATTACAATTATTATTGTGTGCAATTACTAAATTTCTTTATTTGTCGATTTTAGCTTCAGCATAATTTTATACAATAAATTGCTTAGTTTAAGAATCATTCTTTATATTTTTATTCAGTGGTCAAGCAGTAAAGTCGCTGAACACTGGTTGTTTGGTCTGGGGTTTGAATAATAGTAAATGGGTTGGCTGCATGGCCATTTTCATGGTTTTCCATATGTGTAATTTTTTTATGAGCCAGTTTCCCTTAAAACATCCTTCATGAAGGCATTCTTTCCCTTAAGCAGATAAGCCTTTAGTATTTTGTCATAATCAAATCAATCAAATAACCCTCCAATTACATATCTCCATCTAAAATACATACTTACAATTAGCATTTGTCCAGATAAAGACAGTTTGCAGTTTCTTTGAATAATGAATAATTTCAGTAATGCTTCTTTAACGTTAGGCTTGGCCATTTTGCCTTATAGCTATTTTTTTTTTTTTTTAAATGAGTGGAAATTATCAAGTTTCAGTTTTTCTATATGTTACCAACTGTATTCTGGGCAGATATCGATTTGGCGGTATCCTTTTTGTATTTTTTGGATATTAATCACTTTATCTTCAGTACCGAATGTTTTACATTTACTGCTCAGCTACGGATGAATTTAAGACATCTAAAATTTCCTATCGCAGAATAAGCAGGATTATGTAAAAGAATATGTGAAGTTTAATTTTTCTGGAAAATATGAAAAGTTA